AAGGCCCCGAAATGACAAATGTAAAACAATTCAAACGAGAAAGCTAACAGCTTAATTTATGTACAAAATAATGAACGAAAAACAAATATGTTACACAGCAACAAACGATAACCACTGAATTACAGGCTCCTGACTTGGGAACAAACTACAATCAAAGTACTGAAGTACTGAACATCGGATGACCGCAAGTTCTTGTGAATGGTCACAAGCACTTGTCTCAGAAAAAAAAATCACATCTCTATACCTGAAAGTGAGGTTAATGTACAGAGATATATTTTTTTCTGAGACAAGTTCGTGCGTGGATGATGAACAAATGACAGGGAATTCGACCTCAACGTAATAACTATTATATTGTAGTGATACAAATCAGTATACTCTGGTTTGTTATTATATATCATATTAATATTTGTATATAACAGTTACATGTATATATAATTTTCATCCATTTGTATGTCATTCTATTCTACTATTCTAATAATAGTGCAGTGCATGGTGGACACTCTTCTGTAATAATTCGATTTTTCTAATAGATTGGATTTGAGTAGGCATTCATATTTTCCCGCAAAACGTTTTTGAGATATTCTTCCGCATGCGTTAACACAATTTTTCTGTACGTGTGCATAGATATTAATTTTACTTATTTAACATTTCTAACGACAAAACAGTTTCATTTTATTAATTTATGTTCTAAAAAAAATATTTTTATGAGTATTCATTGAAGAAATGACTTTATAACAAGCGATAAGGAATGTTATTTTGCACTCGATAATGTCCGCGTATTTATAGATCGGTTACCAGTCAAAAACGAAAGTTACGTAAGTAGAAATCTATGTGGCAACAATACATCGGAATGCCCTCACGGTCATCGCGATGTAAAAATCATTTGAAAAAGACTTAACTCATCAGATGCGTACAAATAAAAATACATCTAACAAAAAACACAGAGTAGACGTGGACGGGTACTTATAAATCCCCACAACAAAAAGACACAAAGTACAGATCTGAGTGTACTCGCAGTTACTAACAGCTAGTTCAGTACAGATCCAACATCCAATGGATTGAGTGTAAACACGTCATAAACAGTTAGAGAAAAACATGACCTTGTGCAATGCCAAGATACAAGTATCGACAGATTGTAGAGCCATGAATGTGCATATGTATATAAAAATAATATTTAGTTTGTTTTTAATTTACTGATAACAAAATCAATATTAATACCAATAAAAACAATATTCAAAGATCCAATTACAGTGTTGAATTGGTAACCTATTAGAATAAGTTTATTTAAAGGATCGATAAGTTTACTCGGATCGTTTCTAAATTTCCGGGCTCGGTAAACACCATCTCCGTAAAATTGAGGATGTGCCATCCCGTTTGAAATAAGTTTTCTACAGGTAAAGGTTTTAAGTAATTTGTGGTAAATCCCTGACTTGATAATTTACCAGTAATACATAGATAACGTTCATTGAAATCCAAAACGTCACAGCAGACACGGGCATAGCGAACAAGTTGTGATATAACATATATAAAGCATGAGACTGAACACAAAAGCGGCCACTTACATTTTTAGACAAAAACCATCTGAAAAGTGCATGACGTTTTATAGCATATTTGATAGATTTTTCATATTTAAGCTTGAATTTGATAAATGACAAAGGTTTATCAGAATAAAGATATATAGCGTCTTTAATGACCAAATCAGTTCAAATATTTTACATAAACTAATTGAATTGACTGAAGTAGACAATTAAGTGTTTAAAAAATGTCAAAAATCTTTCATCAGATGTACTTCAAATTTTATGCCAAATTTAGCCATTACCGGACCTTCTGCTTTTAAAACGCGAGGCTCAACTGTCGAGCGTGGATACATACCGTATTGCAGGAGATTTAGTGGTGGAATCTGTTTCTCTAATGATTTTAAGACGATATGCAGGCAAACTTAAGTCGATCAGGTGTCTTCCACCATCTTGGATAGTAAAATAGCAGGAAACAATCGGTCTAGATATTAAAAGAAATGTACAAATTTTGATAGAAGAATGTAATTCATTTGTAAGACCTTTCATCTAATTGAAGAGATTTATTTTTTTATCTTATTAATTACAATGTTCTTGTAAAAACAGAACATTTTTTGTATGTTCATTTTTTTTTCAACATTTACCTATTATGGTCCAGTATCCAAAATCTAAATACATGATTGAATTCAGCATATCAAAGAACCCCAAGAATTTTTGATGAAATTAAACAAAGTTTAATTTGTTGACCTTTTTGACCTCAATGTGGACCAATGTCCAATGGCAAAATCAAAAGCTCAAACACATCAAACGAATGGATAACAACTGTCATATTCCTGACTTGGTACAGGCATTTTCTTATGTAGAAAATGATGGATTAACTTCAAGTTGGTTTAATAGCTAGCTAAACCTCTCACTTGTATGACAGTCGCATAAAAAATAGAGACCAAAATCTTGTACACTGGTTAACTTGCATTTGTTTTGTACTTGATTTAAACGAACAATGATTTAATTCAACGAGATATCTATCGCTATTGGAGCAGTCAACCCTGGTCTTGTTGGTCCTATACTTTTCATCTTTTTGTTCGTTATATTCCATTTTTAGCACACTGACCAAAAAGGTCCACTTGTCGTTCATCGTCGTCTGTTCGTTATCAACTTCTAACATATTTAGTCCAAAGACTAGACAACATACACATATTAAAAAATAAAGCATATAACAATCCTTTTCCTCATCGATCTGTAAGAGATTGAAACAATATCTCAGAGACAGTAACAGCTTCACCAACCGACTTGAAAAGTAAGGGCCAGATTAGCCGTACGTCAACCCAGCTAATTTTACAGTATATTTAATTTTAGTTTTATTTTAAGTTTTCAACGGAAAGCCTCCTGTTTAAACGAGCGGACTTATTAATAAATCACTCACTTATGGGGTCAACTCTTCTTACCGCAAGAAATGGGACAGGATGTGGTTTACAGAAAAGAGATTGATTGATTGTTGTTTGATTAACGTCCACTGGCAAATATTTCATTCATGTTCAGGAAAAGAACATTTTTACAATAAATAAAATAGGTAGTCATGCATTGCGATTTGGATGATAAGCGGGGAATTTGGAATGCCACTGGAAAATGAGAGTATATTGGACAGGGACAGGAATTAAGCATTGCATAAGGCCACCTACAGGCCCTAAAAGTGTGTTAACACGAGGCATCGGATTTAACGTCCCTACCTCACCGGACATGGCCTCGAATTTATACATCCCTTACTGCCAAATACCAAAAGGAAGCCACAATTTGGCAAGGTTTTACTGTCAGTCATAAGAAAATTAACCATTTTCATATTTCTTTAATCCAGTCAACCTTTGCGGTGTTACAGTATAGAGATTGATGGACCAAGGACATAAAAAATCGAGAAAAATCGGCAAAAAGATTATAATGGGTTGCTATTTAGCGCTAAAATATTAACATACAATGTATACATCTATGTTTAGATCTTATTGCGCTAAACATTTTGCTTTTTGACTGTTTCTCTCTGTCTTTTACTGCAAGGGTGTTGACTTTTTTTTTTAGATCTTATTTTGACGGACATTTTTGCTAACTATTGTTGCTCTCTATCTATTTTTGTTTCTACAAAAAAGTCAAGCAGTCAATGGACACTTTGGTCATTTTGGCTCATTAGTAGATCTTCTATTGCTGAACATTCATAACTTTCTCTTCATCTATTGTAAGTTTCTACAAAATTTGAGTTAAATGAATCGTTCAATTGACAACATGTTTGTCCTTGTTTACTTATTTGTAGATATTTTGTTGAACATTTTAACTGTAGAAAGATTTTCTTTCAACTCTAGGAAAGACTTAATCTTAATGTTCCGGTAATTTTTACTGTTTGAAATTTGTCTCTATTTGTTAGTTTTCCAGAAAATAACCAAAACCTGCGAAACTGACATTTCAGGGGCAATAACTGCAAGATGGGTAAAACGATTTTAGCAAGAGATCGCAAGAGATCGACCTTGACCTGCTTATAAAAGTACGATTTGCTGTAATTGCTTTAAATTTTGAGATATAAGCCAAAAACTTTGAAATTTGCGAAAAAATGGCATTTTAGGGGTAATAACCCCAAAATAGGTTGTCCGATTAATCTGTTAATTCCAGATAAGATACACCTTGCCTTATGATCTTTTTTTCAGATTTGCTCTATCTACTTTAGTTTTTTAGATATAAGCCAAAAACTGTATTTTACCCCTTATGTTCTATTTCTAGTAACAGTAGCCATGTTTTTTGATGGAACAAATCCCTGGATACAATTTTTAAACTCAATACCTTAAGGAACATAACGGTTACTTTTGTAACATTTGACCCTGTAGTTTCATAGAACATTTACAAAATATTACGGCGACAACAGACGACGGATGACGGACAGAAGATGATGGACGCCGAGCGAGGACAAAAGCTCACATGGCTTTAAAGGCCAAGTGAGCTAAACATAGACAGTGATGGCTAATAATACAATTAAAGAACGAACAAGAAGCACACGCTGAAATGTCTCGACTGCTGTACTTATAATTAAATGTTGAAAGTCTGAATTATGAAGGTTTCACTACATTAAGTATCAAATAAACTTTGCATAATTAAAACTTCTTGTAAATGAGGTCAAGGTAAGATGAACCCTGTCAGACAGACATGTACACCTTACAATACCATACACCAAATATAGTTAGCATATTGCTTATAGTATCGGAGAAACAGACCTTATTACCAAAATTTAACAATGACCAATGAACCATACAAATGAAGTCAAGGTCAGATATACCATGCCAGACATGAAACATTCAATATATATTTAACCCTGATTCATGTTTTAGGACAGCAAAGGGTTTCAGATCACAAATTTTGTTGAATGATGTTTCCCCAGTTTAAAATGCCTGACATTTAAAGCTGTAATTGAAAACTTAGAATTCAATTTTTCCATACAGATTGATAAACAACACATGAGATTTTCAATTTTATTTTATTAAAAATCACAAATAATAAGTGTAAATAGCCAAGTCGCAACAACTGTCAGCAAACAATAATCAGAAATGAAGATTACAATGACGATGATGGGTATTCTAGGTTACTCACATTGCTAAAACCTTGAGGATCAGTTAAGCCTTTTACAAATTGTACTTGAAGATAAGTCTGATTACATTATTTCTAGAATGTAGTTGAAAATATTTTGTGGCTCTGTCACAAGATGTAATGATGTCAATTATTTCTGCTTTAGGTTTACAATATTTTTATGATATTATTTATTTTATTTTGCATGCTTACATAACTCATTGTCACCCATACAGTGAACACATATAAAGTCACAATGATATCTACATTTATTCAATTACAGAATTATTTGATCAGTCCCTATTTGGCTGAATAATAAGAAAACTCGTTAAAACTTATAGAATTGGGACGATTTAAAGCTGGACAAATTGTATAGACACCTGTCTTCTGTTGAATACTATATGTTGTCCTCTACACTCTAGATATTTTTTGGTTATTTTGGTTGTCAGGTTGCTGCCTAATTGACCTATACCCAATATCTTTTATTGATCTTTGTACATCAAGAATGCTTTCATTTAAGGTGGATAAACATCAAAACTGATATAGACAATAAATTAAATCTTACTCTTGTAGGTTACACTGCTTTTTCTCAAGAAATATGGGTTATAAAAATTAACTATTTTATAGATTGTATATAATGTAGGCATGATAGGGGACGTCATTCTTTAACAAATACAAATGAAAAACATTAACTTATAAACAAAAATTCAAAACATTTTGAGTGGAATTTTTTTTTATATCAATTGCTTTCAGGATAAATCTGGGAGTGCCCATACTTCGTTCTTGCTTTTAACAAAATAATGTAAATTTGGTTGATTTGTAGTCATAACCAGTTGAATTATCTCCCCATGATTTGAACACATTTGTGCAGACGTTATCTCCCCTCAATATTCATGAATAAGCAGCAATTATAGTAAATATTGTAAAGGCAACTTTAAAAACAAGACAAAATATTTATAACAAGTGCATTTCTTAGCTTGAAACAAATTTCTGAATAAAGTTTACAAAATACATAATATCAACTTACAAAACAACCAGCAATCTCCATAAATGGTCATTTTAACAGAGTCAGTCTTCTTTTAAGTACATATGTTTAAATGCTGTCAAAGTACTGGATTCAATAATAATTCAATTTATCATGTGATAAAAATGTTACGTTTATTTTTGGGCAATTTAAATCACAGAATTACTATCTATCATCACCTGACAATAGATCTACATGTACCTATTTAACCCTTTGTTTCCACTCCAGTAACTAAGTGACTTATATAGCCTCTCAATAATTGATATAAGTTATTCCAGTATCTCAGAAACAACTATATATGAAAAGTACATGGTTATGTACACAAAACTATGTATACAGTTAATATCAATAGAAAAACAACATTTTGTTATCTATAATAAATCCTAGATTGTCTATATAAAAATAAGGGGATGTGGTACGATTGCCAATGAGACCACTATCCACAAGAGTCCAAATAAAATGGATTCAAGCAACTATAGGTCACTGTATAATTTAAATAGTTCCTTCCATCTTAAATATCTATCTTCTGTATATCTAGCTATAGAATTCTTATATCTCCTTGTCTACAAAATGTTTTTATTGTGTATTATTTTTAACTTTTTACATTGTTCATGAATCAGTGTTTCTTTCCATTAGGTATTTTTAAAGTGCTAAAAATAATAATAACTGAAATGCCACACTTTCCACAAAGAAAGAAAACCATGTCTGCTTATAAGTAGGTGGGTCCTTCTTTTTTAAGTACAAATGCTTATACATTTGATTTTTCATACTAGTTTAAAAACTGATGTCATTTCTTAACCCTAGTACTGCAGGACGTCGATATAGTGATTGTCTATATAACTTTACTCTACTGCCCGTCGTCCATATATTGATAACTTTCGGTAGTTTCATTCAGTGCGGGTCGTCACTATATTGACTTTCTATATAAGGTAAAGGTTTCGAGTTCTAGCCAATCAAATCACACAGATATTTTAATTTTAAGTCGATATTACGTCAGAAGAAGGATTTCCCTGTTGAAAGATGTTTTCAGTGGTTGCTTCCCGCATTCCATTCTAAAATTATTTTGATCACAAAATTGACCCCGTAGTTTTTTTTTACATTCAAGTATGAAACAATGGAAGTATTTGTAGAAGTAGCGGATGGGGATGCGTTTTAATAGGAAGTAGACCATGAAAATCGTGAATTTGAAAGATAAATATTTCTAAAAGATGATTCGAACGAAGAATTTATAGGTTTTGATGAGGATAATCTAGAAAAGGATGAAAAAATAGCGCCGTTATAGGATACGTAAAAACCTGGATACACGTGGTCTCGCTTTAGATTCTGAAAAGAAGTTAAACTTTGATGTTGGAGAAAATACACAGATAAAAGATTTCTAACATTTATAATTGTTAATTAAGATTTCATAAATAAATTAGTTGAAGAACCAAACGGATGCACACTAGACTTTTTTGAGTTGGAGCAAGGACAACAATATTGAAAAGTAAAATAACGATTTACAAGGGAAATTTACACTCGTGGTTTAAATTATTGGATGATGTCAATTGGGTTGACATGAAGCAGTTTGTCATGAGATAATAAAATATATTATTTGTATTTTTTTGCTAATTAAATGAGATTTACAAATATTTTTAATAAATAAATTAATAAAAACGTAATTTTTCGACTTGCATTTGATATATCTAAATAATTTCATAATCCACTGTCACTTATTTTATACTGTGAAATTCTGCATTCAATTCTGCAAAACAAACTCATTTAATGTTATTTTCTAAAATGTTCAAAAATCACAGAAAATTGATAAAACAATTACATGGTGTAACACTGATAAATTTCTCTAAAACAACTCGGCACAGTGAGATGCAGAGGCTAATTAGCATCGTGGCACTGCAGTGAACTGATAATCTATTAATAGCTGGCAGTACTAAGGTTAATATAGATATAATTGGTATACGTGCATTATTGCAGGTAGGTCATTGCAGGGTAGGTCTGAGTTATAGTTTTTAAGTTGCAAACGTGATTTTCAGAATATATCATCAAATAATACATATCAAATTTTGTAATATGACATCTCTATACTTTTGTAATAAAATTTATTTGTAACATTAATTCCAATTTGATCTTTTATAGATACTGCATGTTATATGACTTACGTCTTTTACATAAATATTAATTTCAAAGCAACAAGTGTCTTTTTACAGCAATATAAACAGAAAAAAACAGATTATTAAACTTGGCTCTAATGAAGGGTAGGTTGATTCTATCTTTTTTCTTGTTTGCTTGTAAATATTAAAACATATTGAATATTGCAAGATATAAACAACATCAAGTCAACAAATTCATCACACAAAGTTCTTACATCCAAAACAATACCATACTTAAACACTGAAATTACTTGTTTTAAATCTCATACAGATAAAATAAGACAAATTCAAACATGATAAGCTTTAGACCGTTTTGATTCAAAACAACAGTTTATATCATAAAAAATACATTATTGGCACCTAAAATGACACACACTTTTTCCCTATGCCGCCTTCATAATTGCCCCTGAAAGGCAATCTACACTTCACTTTAGGGTTTTCATCTCCTCTTTCAAAAATAAGATTTTTGTTATAAAAACTTGTATTTTATGAAATAAATATGCATGTTCTATACAAAACAAATTATATAGTGACGAGTGCTTTTGTTGTTGTTACTCAAACGATTTTGAAGATCAATTATTTGAAATCTTGCTGCTTCACTGCAAACAAATGGCATCAAATATAATCACTTTCAGTCAACAATGAAACATATTTATTTTATCAAAATATAGTCTATGTGATGTCATGGAAAAAATTTGGTATTTTCCTCATTTGATGCAGCTATGATCATTTGACGTATACAAAGGTATGAAGTGGGCAGACTGAATTTTACATATCATACTTCTCATAATAATAATATGTAGCAAGATACCACAAGATTCAAATCCTTCCTACTATTAAAGCTATTTATATCTTTCCATGAATTATTTTTTTATTGTAGAGAGCAACCTAACTGCATACCTTTTTTGAAAATTCGCCTTTAAGAACAAACTCAAATATCATCAAACTCAAAAGCCATTAAAATTTCTAACTAATTTTTAGACATCACTTTACTATATATATATCAAACATTTTGGTTATTGAGAACAAAATAAAAAGCTTACACAAATTTTTTAATGGCTATTATAATAAGCAACAAAGATATTTTCAGATTTTTGTCAATATCTTATTCTATTGATATTAAAACAGCTCATGTGAGATTTTTGGGGTATGTAAGTGCTTGAGACACTTTTTTGGCCTATTATCCCATTTTAAAGGATAATGTTTTTTTAATAAAATGATCTACAATTGATTTGCATATTACGACCAACTTCATTTAAAATACACAAAAACAATTTTTTTGTTCATCAAAGTTCATTTTCAAATCATTTAACAATGATACAAATGAGTAAATCACAAAAATGTCATAAATGTTCTTATTTTACACATGTGTATTAGTTACATGTTATATCTCACAAATATTAGGTCTTTTGTTTTACTGTTAAAATATTGAGACAAAATCCGGCTATCTGCCATTCAAAGGGATCTTTCCTTACTTAGGAAACAAAAACATATCAAATAGCATCCTAATGCCCATGTGTTGCACAGAACGGAAGCCTTTTGGTTAAATCTAAATAGTTTAATCAATCACATATTATCCATGAAATGTGGCTGACCATTATTTTCTCGTCTTTGTGTTAACACATCAACACCTGTATCTGTCACTAACAATGTATGTTCAAACTGTGCTGAAAGACGTCCATCTTGTGTCACAGCTGTCCAGTTATCTGGCCACATTTCATCGCGCCAGGTTCCTGTTAAAAATACAAGCATAAATACTATTTCAAAAGGGATCTTTAATTAATAACTTTACTTTTACAAAATTAACAAGCATTCTGAGAGTATTGCATGGCAATACATAGTCCCCTACCAGGTAAAAATTCATTATACTGGAACAAAATGCTAACTTGTTCTATAACTTGTCATGGTGTAAACAAAAAGTAAATATCATGTCAATATCTTCAAGCCTGACTAAAACCAGTGTTGAAAACTGATTATATGAGTGAATTTTTCAAGTCCAAGGACCATAACTCTGCACAAAATTATTAGACCGAAACAAAAATTTGAACTTGATCTGTAACTTGTCATGATAAAACTATATACCAATTATCAATCAATATCTTATAAGCATGATGAAAAAAACATTAGATATGATTAATAGTTCTCTAGAATTAGATATGATGTAATACAGTGTATATCTATTTCAAATTATAATCAGATATAATTAATAGTTCCAAATATTTTTTTCTTTCATTTGTCACAAACTAATATAGATTTGTAACTTATCTATAAAATGTCAACAACTTTTATCTACACAATGTAATGTATTGAAATATATACATTAATAAAAATAGATTATTATCTAATTAAAGGATTTCTCTTCATAATTTTTTTTGATGTATATAGCATTCAGAAAATTAGTTTATACTAAATAACAAACAAACCTGTCAAAAAATTCTTCAAATAATTTAACAAAGAATGTCTTTTAAAAAATGAGTTATCTCCCTTTGTACAGAAATATGGTTTAACATAGTACTCTAACATAAGATATGGTCCATAACTCTGGACTAAATCATCAGACCGGAACAAAATTCGAACTTGATCTATAACTTGTCATGATAAAACTATATACCAAATATCAAATCAATATCTTCAAGAACGAAGAAAAAAAGTGTGGCAAGCTGATTTGCCGGACTGACGGATGGACAGACGGACAGATGGACAGACGGACGGAGTGCAAATCTAAAGTCCCCTTCGACTTTGTTGGTAATGGACTAATAAATGTTAAGCACATGATAAAAGCTCTACCATTTTATTGTTTATGACTTAAAATTATTTAATCAAACAAAAAATATTACAAAAAAAGATTTAATTGAACAAATAATCTTATATATTATTTTTATCTTTCAATAGACTTACATGAAGATTAAATACATGGTTTAATAGTTCCCTATCAAAGGCTTTTTACAGTGAACTAGACTTTTAAAAAAAAAAAATTGCAATTCTTTTTTTTTATTTTCTTTTTCATTTTTCTTTCTTTCTTTTTTTTAATTTAATTTTTTTTTTTAACTAGACTTTTTTTAAGATTTTGGAGGGATGAAAAGGGGCTGCATAGTATACAAAACTGCTTACTATACACGGCCAAACCAGGTAAGCAAGATGAATAATACAATGTACCCCTATTAAGACTGAAAATATTTTACTGCATTTTATCTTAATAATTTTGTGATTCACTAAATTAAGGGAATGGTTTATACATATTTGATAATATCTATCCCAACTTTTCTTGGCTTGAAGCAATACAGAGAATGTGATGTTGTACATACACCTGTCTAATGTTGAAGATATATAATGAACTCTAGATGTCTCTTATGCAAGAAATACCAAATTTGTTAGATTATTTGCTTGTCATACTCTGTAATCTTATATTACCCTGTATCAATGAACAGATGTAGAGCTGGCTATCCACAACTAGCAGAGAAATATACATTTACATATTGTCATCTTTATATATGTAATAAAAACATAGAATAAACCAATTTAACTATTCTCTTGTTTGCTTTTAATAATGCACATTGACATATATTTCATGCACATTCCAGGTGAACAACAATAAAAAAATCAAAAAATAACCAGAATAGATATACAGTAGTCACCATACAGTCTACAAAAATAGACAAGCCAATATATCATGTAACAAGCTCTACAAAAATCAATTTGAGTTTAGATAACCTGTGAATATTTGAACAGATACAACTAAATACAAATGTACTGTATGGATAACTATTTATGGATGGATGGATGGATGGATGATGATGATGATGATGATGGATGGATGGATGGATGGATGGATGGATGGATGATGGATGATGATGATGATGGATAACTATTTAAAGTTCAGTAGAAAATTTAATGCATATGCAGTATGAGAACATGTGAATGCAATATGAATATGAACCCCAATTTGTACTAGACTGACTAGCTGAATCCAATTTTTATATGCTAGTTCACAAGGTAACAGTTCTAAGGCTAAGGAAGACATGTCATCCTACTCAGACACAATATTCTGACTCCAATCCGACCTGTCTTTGCTCTAACTCCTTATTACCACATGTGGAGAAGCGGCAAATACTGATTTTAAAGTATTTGGAATACCCAGCCCAGGATTGAACCCTCATCCTCTCGATTTCCCGGCAAGCACCCTACCAAACTACCACTGAGGTGGTTCAATAGACAAAGAACATACAGAAAATTCTGAAAAATAAATGTGGATAATGTCCACATGTCGACACAGATGATGCCCCCGCTTGCATATCATATAGTTATAAAGGGACATAACTGAAGAACGGTAAAAGTGACGATACCCAAATTTGAACTTGATCTGAGTTTTGTGGTAATAAGCATTGTGTGTAAGTCTCATAACATTTGGTTGAGGCTAACTTTAGAGAACAGAAACTAAAAATTCAGCAATTTTTCTATTTGTACTGGTAAACACGCATAACTCTAGAACGGTTGTGTATAAGTTTTATAACATTTGGTTGAGACAAACTAAAGTTAGAGAACGGAAACGAAAAAATTCAGCAATTTTTATGTTTATATAGGGACATAACTCAAGGAAGGTAAAAGTGTTGCCACAAAATTTCGTACTTAATCTGTATTATGTAGTAATAAGCATTGTGTATAAGTTTCATAACATTTGGTTGAGGCAAACTAAAGTTAGAAAACGCAAACAAAAAATTTGTACTTGATCTTAGTTTTGTGGTAATGAATATTGTGTATAGGTTTCATAATGTTTGGTTTGGGCAAACTTAAGTTACAGAATGGAAACTAAAAATTTTGCAATCTTTCGATTTATAAAGGGGCATAACTCAATAATGGTTAAAAGTGACACTACCCAAATTCAACTTGATCTGTGTTTTATCAGTGGAAGTCAAAATTAAACATTTCATTGTATAAAGCATTGATTGTAGTTGATTCAACTATAATCATGGACAAAGGAAGATAACTCCAATTTTAAAAATTACTTGATATTTAGAAGAAAATAAAATTTTGGAATTTTTCCATTTATAAAGGGGCATAACTCTAGAACGGTAAAAGTGACACCAACAAAATTCGTACTTGATCTGTGTTTTATTGTAATAAGCCTTGTGTATAAGTTTCATAACATTTGGTTGAGGCAAACTTAAGTTAGAGAACAGTAACTAAATATTTTGCAATTTTTCCATTTATAAAGGGGGATAACTCTAGAATGGTTAAAGTGACCCCACCAAAATTCAAACTCGATCAGTTTTTTGTGGTAATAAGCATTGTGTATAAGTTTCATAACATTTGGTTGGGGCAAACTCAAGTTAGAGAACGGAAACCAATTTTGGGACATACGTACAGATGGACAAGGGTAAAACTTAATGCCCCCACCGCTACGGCGAGGGCATAAAAAATATGATGCAAACTATTAAATATCCAACATATTTGAGACTGTGGTCAAAATGGTAAGTGATATAATCATACAATTCAGTTATGAACTAGGTAACCTGAGTAAAACCATTTAGACTTCCTACCTTCAGATATCATAGGTTCTATCGTGAATGAATGTCCAGGTTTCATAACACCTATAGCTTTGTTCTCTGCAACGAAAATCACATCAAATAGTTATCAATAGGTATACATTTACTAAGTAAACAGAATTCAATATGGAACAAATAAAAAGCTATAAAATCCCCTGTAGTACCTCATCATAAATCTATCATCTAAAATAATTTTAACAAAACATCTCAAGAACAACTGTGACCAATTTTGGTTCACATTGGCTTACCACTTTCGAAGAGAATATTGATAAAAAGTTAAAAATGGAAAGATAAATTCCAAGAGATGAGATAAACTAAAACTGACCCTTTTATCTATGTGAGATATCAATCATTGTCCTGAATGATAATATGTTTTACAAATGTTTTTATCATATGACCTACTTACTTGAGTAATGAGGTACACTTGGTGCTGTGTGAAACAACCTAGTCAAATATAAAATGAAAAACCATTAGCAAAATAAAATGTATTCATAGTATCTACAAATACAAATTTCCGTAAATAAAATGTTTCCACAGTGTTTATAATTTTGATACTATAATACAAAAGTTGATTTAAAAGTGGCAATACTATAACATGTAATCTATGCAATAATAAATGGAGAATGTGTACAAAAAAACAGAAGTAATCTTGCAAATTTTATCCATAAGCACATGTTAAATCGATTTATATCTACTTCCTGTCATTTAGGCGGGAAAATAGGGAGACTTAGTTGTTGACATTGAATATGGTTACTTATAGATCTATAGACCAAAGATAAATTTATAGATTTAGGAATTCTTTTTAAATGGTTCATGACAAATAAAGATTTAGATTTTAGGGCAGTATTAAGTCTGTATCTATGTTTGATTATCACCAAAGACAAGAAAGTTTAATATTTACATGAAATCTATGGCAAAATGTTCTAAAATTTATGAAAAATTTCTTTTTATCAAAATCTAAGATAGAAACTGGTTCAAATAATAAAACAATATTTGCAATTGTTCTTGTTAATTTTATTTCTTCTTATGACAGGAATCCTTTCACATACAAAAACTTTTTTTCTAGAAACTAGAAAGTTTTTTAAATTGAACATTTTTGTTCTCTTTTGAATGATATTTTGGATTTTATAAAAGCTTTAATTACTTTAAATTCAGATGAATATTTTATTATGAATCATAATTTATTTATTTTAAAAAAATATTAAAGTATACAAACTGTTTTTTGATTTACTTCTTTTTTACCAATAATTTTCTGAATCAATGTCTACATAACACAGTACCACAGTGTTAAAACAAAACAAGAGACATAAAAACTACAGTAACTAGAGCTAAGCGACGCGACGCGACACGACACAACTGATTGCATGAAATATTTCACCAAGAAGTCCACACGCGTTACCCTGGTGCTATCCAAAAATCCTGGGGAGAACACTGAGGGATGCGTATTATACATAACTATAGATAGTTTTGGATTTTTTTTTTTTTTTTTTTTTTTTTAATATCGTTTTTTTTCATCATTATTGTTTATATTCCAGACGTTTTTTATATTAAAATTTTTGTTTTTACTTTTTTTTTTATTATTGTATTTTTTCAAATTTTTTTTTACTTTAAAAATTGATTTTGGAGAGCTGAAAAAGGGGTGCGTATTATACACAACTGCGTACTATACACGACTAAATATGGTAGTCACAAACCATAACATCTAAACTAAGCAAAACATCCAAAGTCAATGAACCATTACAAAAGGTTCAGGGCTAAATAATCTAAGTGGAAATGAGATATGCCAATGCTACTTTTTTTTGGTGGAAACCAGTTTTAATGCTTTCAGAACATTTTGAATATCAAATGAATTCATTTAGTTGGATTTTATCCATTATCCTTTTGAAGAGCAGCCATAATTTTGATTTTCATTGAGTATTAAGAGTTTTGCTCCTACTCACAATATTTACAAAATACAAAATGATAATAAATCAACAGAATAATGGTCATTTCTTAGAAACGTTTATCATTTAAAAATGTGGGGGCAAGTTAATATTTTGAAAATTTGACATGAATTAGATAAAAATTTCATATTGAAAATGTCCTTATGCCAAACCATACTGAAAGTTGGAAGATACCATGACTTACTGGTGAATGCCGTGTCCACAGTAACTTCTAACCACAGAGAAACCATTAGCCTGTGCATGTTTCTGTATAACATTTCCTATATCTCTGTATCTAACTCCTGGTTTTACTTTGAATACAACATAAAAGAAATTATTTGTTGGATGTTACACATATTCATCAAGTTCACAGATGTTAAATTAATTATGTTGAAAATTAACTATAAAAACCTAATTCTATATCACACATTTATAATCTTAATTACATATACTGTAAAGCATATCTGCATCACTACACATTTATACTCTAAATACATATACAGTAAACCATAATCTGCATCACTACACATTTATACTCTAATTACATATACTGTAAAGCATAATCTGCATCACTACACATCTATACTCTAATTACATATACAGTAAAGCATAATCTGCATCACTACACATTTATACTCTAATTACATATACAGTAAAGTATAATCTGCATCACTACACATTTATACTCTAATTACATATACTGTAAAGCATATCTGCATCACTACACATTTATACTCTAAATACATATACAGTAAAGCATAATCTGCATCACTACACATTTATACTCTAATTACATATATTGTAAAGCATAATCTGCATCAAAACACATTTATACTCTAATTACATATACAGTAAAGTATAATCTGCATCACTACACATCCATACTCTAATTACATATACAGTAAAGTATAATCTGCATCACTACACATTTATACTCTAATTACATATACAGTAAAGCATAATCTGCATCACTACACATTTATACTCTAAATATATATACAGTAAAGTATAATCTGCATCACTACACATTTATACTCTAATTACATATACAGTAAAGTATAATCTGCATCACTACACATTTATACTCTAATTACATATACAGTAAAGCATAATCTGCATCACTACACATTTATACTCTAAATATATATACAGTAAAGCAAAATCTGCATCACTACACATTTATACTCTAATTACATATACTGTAAAGCATAATCTGCATCACTACACATCTATACTCTAATTACATATACAGTAAAGCATAATCTGCATCACTACACATTTATACTCTAATTACATATACAGTAAAGTATAATCTGCATCACTACACATTTATACTCTAATTACATATACTGTAAAGCATATCTGCATCACTACACATTTATACTCTAAATACATATACAGTAAAGCATAATCTGCATCACTACACATTTATACTCTAATTACATATATTGTAAAGCATAATCTGCATCAAAACACATTTATACTCTAATTACATATACAGTAAAGTATAATCTGCATCACTACACATCCATACTCTAATTACATATACAGTAAAGTATAATCTGCATCACTACACATTTATACTCTAATTACATATACAGTAAAGCATAATCTGCATCACTACACATTTATACTCTAAATATATATACAGTAAAGTATAATCTGCATCACTACACATTTATACTCTAATTACATATACAGTAAAGTATAATCTGCATCACTACACATTTATACTCTAATTACATATACAGTAAAGTATAATCTGCATCACTACACATTTATACTCTAATTACATATACAGTAAAGCATAATCTGCATCACTACACATTTATACTCTAAATATATATACAGTAAAGTATAATCTGCATCACTACACATCCATACTCTTATTACATATACTGTAAAGCCTAATCTGCATCACTACACATTTATACTCTAATTACATATACTGTAAAGCATAATCTGCATCACTACACATTTATACTCTTATTACATATACAGTAAAGCATAATCTGTATCACTACACATCTATACTCTAATTACATATACTGTAAAGCATAATCTGCATCACTACACATTTATACTCTAAATACATATACAGTAAAGCAAAATCTGCATCACTACACATTTATACTCTAATTACATATACTGTAAAGCATAATCTGCATCACTACACATCTATACTCTAATAACATAGACTGTAAAGCATAATCTGCATCACTACACATTTATACTCTAATTACATATACTGTAAAGCATAATCTGCATCACTACACATCTATACTCTAATAACATAGACTGTAAAGCATAATCTGTATCACTACACATTTATACTCTAATTACATATACTGTAAAGCATAATCTGCATCACTACACATCTATACTCTAATAACATAGACTGTAAAGCATAATCTGCATCACTACACATCTATACTCTCATAACATAGACTGTAAAGCATAATCTGTATCACTACACATCTATACTCTAATTACATATACTGTAAAGCATAATCTGCATCACTACACATCTATACTCTAATAACATATACTGTAAAGCATAATCTGCATCACTACACATCTATACTCTAATTACATATACTGTAAAGCATAATCTGTATCACTACACATTTATACTCTAAATATATATACAGTAAAGCATAATCTGCATCACTACACATTTATACTCTAAATACATATACAGTAAAGTATAATCTGCATCACTACACATTTATACTCTAATTACATATACAGTAAAGCATAATCTGCATCACTACACATTTATACTCTAATTACATATACTGAAAAGTATAATCTGCATCACAGAACATTTGGAACACCTTTTAGACTTATTATAATTCAACACTTTGTTCATATAGTTCTATCTTTAGTTTTCAGTTTAACCCTTTTTCTATGATTATAAGGCTTACTAATAAATGTTCATCAGCACACGAAAATATGTCAATTGTGGATTTAAAAAAAATTATTTTGGGTTACTTTTGGCTGTTTAAAAAATTTTGGAATTTGGCTGTTTTTTATACCATTTCATGGATCTATGTGCCTAATGACTTAACTTCTTTCTTTTTTCATAGCTTAATAGCATTTGCTATTGCCATTTGTATCGTAATTTCTTGACATACCTAGCATGTTGTTAGATACACATATTTCTATAGTTTGTTTTACCTTCAGCAATAGCTTGTGACAGACATTCATGTGTTGTTTTGACTAGTTTTTTAGCATTATCTGATACTTCACCAACAAAAAATGTTTCATTAAGATCTCCATGGAAACCTCCGTGAAATGTTGTAATATCAACTGAAATAAAAATCAATTATCATGACAAAATAGAAAGCAAGTTAAATCTTTATGAAAATAAAACAGAATTATTAAAAAAAATCCTCATATTCCAAATATATGAGAAAAATTGATTATACATGTAAAATGTAAAATGTAAATAAGTATAACAAACCATTAAAATAATGACAAAGAACTCAAAATATCAGATGAGTCAATATTTTACTGTGGTCTAAAACTTCATTCCATTTAGAAATGTTTACTTTAAAATAAACATTTTTCGATGCCTTGAATAAAATTTACTATTCCCACACCAACACTCAACCAAAACAAGCAATACATTTTCTTCCATTACGTAATTTTTTAAGTTGTGTCCTTTTTATCATTGAAGGCTTCTAATGAGTCTAATGAAGGAATGACTGTAATATTTTTTCTGTCTATGAAGAAATAACATCAAAAATGTGGTGCATACTGAATAACCCGCGTAGTGGGTTATTTTAAAGTGTGCACCACATTTTTTATGTTATTTTGAATAGACAGAAAATATATTACAGTCATTTCTTATAATTTAATTCTAAATTCCATTTTAAACCGGAGTAAACCATGAAAAAACGTTGATGACGTCACGGTCACATGACAAAATTATGTCTATGAGCTGATAAACAAAACAACGTCAGCCAATCAGAAGACGCGTTGCATCCAAAATTAAATTATCATGAGATATCTCTAGCTTTTTTATTTATTTTGTTTTCTGGTTGGTGCTTCATTGACATTTATTCGTCATTTCCATTTGTTTAGTAACTCAGGCACGTTTTCCTTACTGTGAGCTTTGAGTTGACAAGTCTTTGCTCTCACTCCTTTAATCCTGCATGATTAAATAAGAAACAGCAAGTACCAATTTCAGAATCTTTGGTTTGACCTGGCAAGGATGTAACTCACAACATCCAGCACTCCAAGTGAGCATGCTGTCATGAGATCACAAAAGCTGTTAAACTTTATTACTTTAATCTAGTCTATGTGATGCTAACAATGCAAGTCAGTCAAATCTTAATGGTGACATCTCAAAGCAATACAGATTTGTCAAATTAATATCAACAGAATCACCTTCAAAATTCACTCAAAACATTTCATTTTGTATTTGCTGTATAATTGAAATATCCATGCAATATCTCTTTTATTTCGAAACAGGATGGAATCTCACATTTCTAGATTGTTTTTTAACCCCATTAAAAAATGTTATATCCTAGATAACATATTCTATTCTTATTCTATATATTTTAAGACAAACACTTCCTTACCATTTACAATGTCACCATTTTCTAAAGGTCTAGCATCTGGAATTCCATGGCAAATTACTTCGTTAACAGACCTATAAAATGCAATTGCACAATTTACAATATAAATGCTATACATTCAGTTTTACAGTGGATAGAATATTACTCATGTGTCATTAATTTTTGTGATTTTGTTGGTGAACCAGGTAATCAAGTGATTTTAAATGAAATAATTTTTCCAAAGGCTGCAGAATTTGTCAAAATCACAAATTCAAGTATCCACACAAGTACAATTTCTGCTCTGTTCCACGCACATACATGAATCCAATACACATGTGTACATTTGTATCTTTCAACAAAATTAAGAGAAACTAGTGTGAACACTTGTGGAAAAAAAGAAATAGAATTCAAATTCCACTATAAATTGTAAGCTATCAAGCTTTTCATTCATAACTTCAAGAATTTTGACCATGAACTAAACTAATATAAAAGAACAGAGTTCCAATGTCCCCCGTGTTGCACATATTTCATATTTCCAAGGGCACAACTCTTTTAAAAAAGTTGATCGTCCACAATTATAGAACTTGTCCGAGATATTGCTCATATTAACCTATAGTATAAGTTTTATAAAAATCTGGCAAGAATTGTACCCGTGAGAGTGCTAACGAGGCCATTTTCCATAAATTTAATACTTCCAAGGGGCACAACTCTTTTAAAAAAAGTCGATCAGCTACCATTATAGAACTTGTTCGAGATATTGCTGATATTAACCTATAGTATAAGTTTTATAAAAATCTAGCAAGAATTGTACCTGTGAGAGCGCTAACAAGACGGGACAGACGCCCAGTATTTCCATGTCCCCTGCAACGCGTTACGCGGGGGACAAAAAGTCCAGAATATCAAAAGATCTTCTGATATTCCTACAAGCAGATTATCCCTTTCTTCAAATTATTATTTATGAAAAAAAATTACTGGAAACTATTTAAAAAAAACTTTAGCCTGTGCATCAAGCATTAAGCCTAAAACGGCTGTAGTCCAATTTATTAATACATAAATTGGACTGTATTACAGCAAGTATTGATATCTTCGATAAAAAAAATTTCATAAAATTCTATATAGATTTGTTCTACTTACGTGCAACAAGATTTAGGAAAACAGTAATAATTTAATGGTGATGGATAACATTCTCTATCTATACAGGCCTAAAAATAGAAAATACCATTATAACCTGTTGAATATAGCACAAGTAAATATATATTCCATTACATATATAATACATATATTAATTAGCTATCAAATTTACAGTTCTTATCAATTTTTAAAGTATGCTTAATAGGTCTTGTTATGGCATTTCATAATATATATGTTTTAGGGGTGGGGATCTGAACAGTTTTTGATATCTTTAGTAATTAACAGTAAGGGACAGAGCATTACTCATATCGAAAATAATCTATGGAGTACTTTATAGGATATATATAGATTTTACAACTGCATAGAGTATGATAAGATATTTCTCGAAACAGTTAAATTTATAAATTTAAAACACTAGGCTTGTCAACTATCATGAGTCATGACTATTTTAAATATTTAACACTTAACTGTTGAGAGTGGAGAAATATCCTATTGCACAAGATTTGGTGTCAGAATCTGTTTCTCTAATAATTTTTAAACGATATGCAGACAAACTTAATCCTTTTTTTCCAATGATCTGCAAAAAGATATAACATCATCAGGCTTGGTCGTATTTTTTTCGTGACGTCATAATAGGAAATACAGTGGAAAGAAAGATAATTTGATGTCATACCGGTAATTGAATTTTGACTAATAAAGAACCGAGAACAAAAATATTTAATCATTAATGATATGCACGAGGCAGAAAACATAGGGGGACTAGAAAGGGCTCATCGAGACTATATATGGTTTAGGGGTGGAGATCATCAAGACTAATAATGGCTTAGGGGTGGAGATCAAAAGCTTATGTCAAAGGATAAAATAGTTATGTTCCAGAAATAAAAGTGTAAAAGAAAACCAACAAGATTTTTTTAGTTGAAAACAAAAGTCAATCCCTCTTATGGTAATACATGTACACCTTCATGCCAAATATCATGATTAGGATTATTAAATTAATGTTCATACTTGCATTTTATAACTATAAAAGGACATTTTATTTGAAAATAAAAACAGAACTGCTGTTGAAATTTCTTGAAAATGTTGACTGTTTTCCTATATACTGACATTATTCCTGTACTTACTTTGTGTACTATACGATCAATCTCCTCTGTGGTTACTCCTATATACTGACATTATTCCTGTACTTACTTTGTGTACTATACGATCAATCTCCTCTGTGGTTACTCCTATATACTGACATTATTCCTGTACTTACTTTGTGTACTATACGATCAATCTCCTCTGTGGTTACTCCTATATACTGACATTACTCCTGTACTTACTTCGTGTACTATACGATCAATCTCCTCTGTGGTTACTCCTATATACTGACATTATTCCTGTACTTACTTCGTGTACTATACGATCAATCTCCTCTGTGGTTACTACTATATACTGACATGATTCCTGTACTTACTTCGAGTACTATAGGATCAATCTCCTCTGTGGTTACTACTATATACTGACATTATTCCTGTACTTACTTTGTTTACTATACGATCAATCTCCTCTGTGGTTACTACTATATACTGACATTATTCCTGTACTTACTTTGTTTACTATACGATCAATCTCCTCTGTGGTTACTCCTATATACTGACATTACTCCTGTACTTACTTCGTGTACTATACGATCAATCTCCTCTGTGGTTACTCCTATATACTGACATTACTCCTGTACTTACTTCGTGTACTATACGATCAATCTCCTCTGTGGTTACTCCTATATACTGACATTACTCCTGTACTTACTTCGAGTACTATAGATCAATCTCCTCTGTGGTTACTCCTATATACTGACATTATTCCTGTACTTACTTCGTGTACTATACGATCAATCTCCTCTGTGGTTACTCCTATATACTGACATTATTCCTGTACTTACTTCGTGTACTATACGATCAATCTCCTCTGTGGTTACTACTATATACTGACATGATTCCTGTACTTACTTCGAGTACTATAGGATCAATCTCCTCTGTGGTTACTACTATATACTGACATTATTCCTGTACTTACTTTGTTTACTATACGATCAATCTCCTCTGTGGTTACTACTATATACTGACATTATTCCTGTACTTACTTTGTTTACTATACGATCAATCTCCTCTGTGGTTACTCCTATATACTGACATTACTCCTGTACTTACTTCGTGTACTATACGATCAATCTCCTCTGTGGTTACTCCTATATACTGACATTACTCCTGTACTTACTTCGTGTACTATACGATCAATCTCCTCTGTGGTTACTCCTATATACTGACATTACTCCTGTACTTACTTCGAGTACTATAGATCAATCTCCTCTGTGGTTACTCCTATATACTGACATTATTCCTGTACTTACTTCGTGTACTATACGATCAATCTCCTCTGTGGTTACTCCTATATACTGACATTATTCCTGTACTTACTTCGTGTACTATACGATCAATCTCCTCTGTGGTTACTCCTATATACTGACATTATTCCTGTACTTACTTCGTGTACTATACGATCAATCTCCTCTGTGGTTACTACTTTTATACTGACATTATTCCTGTACTTACTTCGTGTACTATACGATCAATCTCCTCTGTGGTTACTCCTATATACTGACATTATTCCTGTACTTACTTCATGTACTATACGATCAATCTCCTCTGTGGTTACTCCTATATACTGACATTACTCCTGTACTTACTTCGTGTACTTTACGATCAATCTCCTCTGTGGTTACTACTATATACTGACATTACTCCTGTACTTACTTCGTGTACTATACGATCAATCTCCTCTGTGGTTACTCCTATATATTGACATTACTCCTGTACTTACTTGTGTACTATACGATCAATCTCCTCTGTGGTTACTACTTTATACTGACATTATTCCTGTACTTACTTCGTGTACTATACGATCAATCTCCTCTGTGGTTACTACTATATACTGACATTACTCCTGTACTTACTTCGTGTACTATACGATCAATCTCCTCTGTGGTTACTACTATATACTGACATGATTCCTGTACTTACTTCGAGTACTATAGGATCAATCTCCTCTGTGGTTACTCCTATATACTGACATTATTCCTGTACTTACTTTGTGTACTATGGGATCAATCTCCTCTGTGGTTACTACTATTTTCTGACATTACTCCTGTACTTACTTCGTGTACCATACGATCAATCTCCTCTGTGGTTACTCCTATATACTGACATTATTCCTGTACTTACTTTGTGTACTATGGGATCAATCTCCTCTGTGGTTACTCCTATATACTGACATTACTCCTGTACTTACTTCGAGTACTATACGATCAATCTCCTCTGTGGTTACTTCTATATACTGACATTACTCCTGTACTTACTTCGTGTACTATACGATCAATCTCCTCTGTGGTTACTCCTATATACTGACATTATTCCTGTACTTACTTCGTACACTATACGATCAATCTCCTCTGTGGTTACTCCTATATACTGACATTATTCCTGTACTTACTTCATGTACTATACGATCAATCTCCTCTGTGGTTACTCCTATATCTATAGTATCAGCTGCTATATCTAACACCTCTCTTCCAAGCTGTAAATAAAATTTTTAAAATAGCAACTCTTTTTGATAAATGTTTTCACATATATTTAATTTTGTTCCAGAAATTAAAATATAGGAACTTAAGAATAAATCACATAATTAAAATAAAAAAACACATTATAAAACACTCTCATTTTAAGAGTTTTAATTTCTAACACCAAATCTATTCTAAGCTACCCATTTGTTTATTATGGTTTCTCTATTAACAAGAAAGAAATTGCATGCATAATTAAGTGTTCATAAATACAATAGACAAATAGTAAAATTTAAAATTGAGAATGGAAATGGGGAATGTGTCAAAGAGACAACAACCCGACCATAGAGCAGACAACAGCACAAGGCCACCAATGGGTCTTCAAATAGTGTCTCTTTCTATTTTGTATTTATTTATTACCTTACAAGCAACTCTCAGTCCTTCCTGTTCCTCTTCCGATAGAATTTTGATATTTGTTGACCCTCTCATCTGCCTTTCTGTTAAAGGTACACCTAGAATGAATCAAACATAAATGAATTCTAAAAGTGTTTTTAGATGAAAGTATTAAATTTTGTTTTTCGGATATGTTTGCAAGCAAGTGAAAAAGGTGAATGTCTTTGGAGTTCCTCTTTTTTATACTGTTTGATCCTGCACAACATATCATAATTTTTGCTCTGGCAGTAAGTTTCTAATATAACAAACATAACTTTTTTTTAAACCATCCAGTTCTTAATTAGCCTCAAGTTTTGTTTACATATATGATAATAACCTTCATGATGTTCAGCATAATCAGGTCTGGCTATATGGTCAGGAACAGATCTCTTTGAACTCTGTAATGTAATAAATAATTTGTATACACAAAGAATACAAAAGGGTCTAAAATAACAACTGAAGGTATGACTAAACTTAAGAACAGATCCTAAATATTTTACACATATGTTACAAGTAGGGAAAGAAAACAAGCATAAAACGGATGGCTATGCAATTATTCATTTCACTGTCAAGCAGCCAAATTTGGTGAGAAATCTACCTTTTTTTAATGTCAGATTTCAATTATCCCAGATAACTATAGAGGAAAGTGATTCTGTTTCATTACATAACATTAATTTGATTGAACCGTGCACAACTTTTGAAATATGAAAGGATATCAGTACTGGATGAATCAACTAGCCAGCATTGCTCACTATGCTTCTAGATGCATTATTATATTACCTTAGTTTTTAGTTCTCTGGTAAGAAAAAAATTTATTAAAGAAAAATTAGCAAACTGGACACTTTCGTAATTTGTTAGTAAAAAAAATTTGAAACACAAGACATAAAGTCCACAAATAATCTGCACAATACAAAAATAAAATTCTTTTGCTACTTTTGTCTAAGGTGATACAAAAAATACTGGTTCTTCTTATAATCTAATCAAGTAAACTACAGTGACAAGTAAATAATAATAAAATTACCTTAATATGGCTTAGGCCACACTTAAAAATATTTTGGTTTGCCCAAACCCTACTCGAAGGTAGAGACAGTGGGTAGGTAGGCAGGCCTTTTCTTTTTTTTTTTTTTTTTGGCAAAGAGAAATTGAAGTGTCAATTGTTTATTATATCATGCCTATCTGATTAAAAAAACAAACTTTTTCACATCAGGACAATAAAAGATTTTGAGTAGGCAGCTATTTTCTGGGTAGGTAGGGTTAGGGCAAACAAACATATTCTTTTTTATGGCCTTATTTATATGTTTAACATTTCTTATATAAGTTATAATTGTGTAAAAATCTTCCTACTTACTACAGGGTAACCTCTTAACTGTCCAGTATACTTAAATCCAGGCCATGGATTATAGGAATCATTATTTATATCTGTACCTTGCTCTGGAATAAATCAATAATTGATATATTTTTCTACTGTAAGGCTCAGTCTGGAATAAGTCAATTATTGAGAGATGTTTGTATTGTAAATCAGACTGTCATAGTTTAATGCATAATGTATTTTTTTCTTTTGATTAAATGCTTTTTAATTTTCCAAGACTTAAGTTAACAAACTTTTATATCATGAATAAATACAAGATATTTTCTGCTTTTGGTATAATGTAACAGACAAAAGAAATGGATGCAAAGTTATGAAAATAGCTCATATGGGGCTTCATGTCAACGGGAGCTTATAACAGTTAGTTTCTAAACATGTACTATATTGCAGAATTAATTTCTTATATCAATACTATGGCAAAAGAATCTTTACCTTAATAACTGAGGATTGGAAAGCACTTTTTTTTAATTCTCTACTTACTTGCTTTTTTGTGGACCTTCTTGTGTTCTGTCCAAAATCCTTTAAAACATTCCTGAAATTCAAAAGCAGTACATATAACTTTGGACACTCAAATATCTTAAACATGCAAATTACCTGATCTATAATATTCATGCATGATTTACCAACAGAATTGGGTAGTAAATTGTTTGGTCTAAATATTTCATAGCTTATCCAATTAACATGCTTTTCTCACAAGGATCTGAGAACGAACATGACAACATATACAGAGAACTTGATGAAAAAGCTTCAAAACAAAATTTGAATCAAATAAAACCTTCAAGTGGTACAAATCTTAATAAAAATCTGAACATGAAATGACCCCACAATAATAAAATGTGAAAAATACTTAGGGCCACTTTTACTGTCTTTATTAACAAAATTCTTTGCTTTATTAAACAAAGTGATATGTCAAATGTATGTATAATTCTGCAGATGACAACACATGATCATTATATCCACCATTTTGATGAACTTAATAGTACTCTACAAAAAGAGAGTAATATTTCAATTGATTGGTTTCATTTTGACTGTATGCAACTGATTGTTGAAAATTTGCCAATTACTCATTTTGATTCTGTTATTACACACTTCAAACCAAGGGTCCGGAAACGGTCATATTTGCCAGTCATGTCCTAAGATGAAACTATTTGTCCTAAACGAGTAATTGGGATTTAGGACAAATTTTATTTTTTTACAGAAGTAATTTCGGTCATTTCATTGACTCAATGTTTGAAATCGGATTTCTTAATCGCCATTTTGCACTTGTGATCACTTGTTTTTGTTTATAACCCCTTTCCTGTAATAAAACTGCCACTACAGTAGTTTGATAATCCTGAGGGCCCTCCTTATATCTATATCAATGCCTCCGGGAAACATTGGCTAATGATCACTAATCACTTTTTACCTGTGGTTTCAATTCACACCTGACAGTAATCACAAGCTCAGAATAATATCTTTAAAACATTAAAGTTCCCTGACAAGTGTATTCATTATTTATTTACTTTTCATCAAAGACAGTCATCAATTCTGATTTAAAAATTAAATCTAAATTTACGTAGAAAAAAGTATTTTTTCATGAGTAACACATGTGCTTTATTTACTATGCAAAGCGCATGCGTGAAATTGTCTTCAGCAAATTTAATATTTAATCGTAAAATGAAAATTGATTTCATGCTAAATTAAACGAGTGCAACTATTATCTGTTATATTCAAACACTTTTAAAGGTAATAAAATAAAAAAGTCATAAAAAGCCGGTGATTTCCTGTCAATTTGATAAACAAAACAAATCCCGGAAATGAATCTGGAATTATTCGTACTTTAAAATATCGCAAACTTCCAGTTTTAACTTTTGTCAAATCGAAAGAAACGTATGCAATCATGCAATGTCTGGAGAAATTAACCATAGAGTCATTAAAATCATTTCAATTTTAGACTGTTGCCTTCCCTAAACTGTCCTTCACGGTAATGGTAGGACATTTACTTAGTAAATGCGATGAAACAGCAATACAAGTTCGTCATGTTCGTTGATGCTATGAATATAGTCAAGTTGATATTGACAATTTGAAAAGGGGCACCAACTTTTCAAACATCTCAAAATGACCGAAATTGTCTGGAAAAATTTCCGGATCCTTGCTTCAAACACAAGTTTTTTCCCTTTGCCAATATGTACATGATCAGTCAGGGGACTTACTTAAATGAGTGATTTTCTAAATCACTGATTCAAGTAACATTATGTCCATAAAGGTTGGAAGTAAGAGTTGTCTTTCTTTAATAATCACCTATTTAAGTAGTACAAATTAATCACTAGACTAAGTGATTTAATTTTATTGTAGCTTTAAATATAGAATACTAATGATCCAGGGACTAATTATGTTGTTAAAATTATCAGAACCAACATCTGTGTTGATAGGATGACCAGGTCATGTCAGGTGATGACCTTGTACCAAATCTAGGATAATGACATAAAAATCACTTGTTTAAGTATCATACCTCAATTTCCTTCCAAAAAATCACTTCTTTAAGTATCATTATTTTAATAACCCCCACTAATTTCAACACCCCCAAACAGTGAAATTTTGATCACGAACAGTAGAATTTTATTACATAATCTATAAGATGAAACCTTGAATTTAACAGGAAAAATACTCCCACTGCTGGGAAAAATCTGTTAAGGAAGTATCAGTTCATTATGTAAAGCCATTTTTAAAGCATTTTTTTTCAACTAAAATAGAATTTACAGCTAAATGATTGCATCAAAGGCATAAACCTTGCTGCTTAAAAGAAGCAAAAAGTTCATTTTTATCTATTTTACTAATAAAAAGATATTATCTAAACCTATGTGTTTAAAATTTTGGTAAAACTACAAAATCACAATTTGTGACAAAACTTCGAATTTGCTACTTAAATAAGTGATTTAAAAATCACTTATTTCAATAAGTCCCCTGACTGATGATGTATATTGGTCCTGAACAAGACAAACTGGGCTGCTGCTACCCTTACAAAACATGATTAGTTGAAAGTTACATATAGTCATACAGGGGATTTAACCATTATTATTGAACTATAACTAATGATATAAACAGTTTTTAGCTGAACAAAAGATTCAATGTAATAAAGATTTGTAAATATTGCAGATTATACATGTATAAATTTATCTTTCTGCTTGCTCTTCATTGGCAATGAAAGTTTATGTCCTTCCTAAGGGAAATAATTCAAATACAAATGGAACTCTAATAAGATCAATAGACCACTTTCGAGTTTGTCCTTCACCAGAAAAAACTCGTCAATTATGCGCGCCTTAATGACGTCATTTACCAGATAAAGGGGATCGCCTGTATCCCTGCACTATAAACGTTCATCAAGCGTCTTAGTGATCGTCATTGTGCAGGATAAAATAGAAATAATGTTTATTCTGTAGGTACTTAATCACAATTCCCTAATGATAGCAGTGCTGATTGTCAATTATGAGAATTTATTTGCCGAATAATTTGTGCAATATAGCATCATAGTTTTCCAACCACTCACTCAACATGGGAACGGAAGTGACGATGCCCCTAAACGCACGAATGATGTTCACTAAAACCAAAGTTTTTGACGGAAATGCATCGAACTCGAAAGTTGTCTATTGTGGAATTGGCAATTGACTATTACTGTTGGATACAAGATTGCTGAGATTGTTACTATTTATTTTGGTCGAACAAAAATCCATACTGATGAAACTTTTAAATATGTTTTTCAGATTTATTAGTGTCTTGCATGCCTTAAATGTGTTTAGAAAAGATGTATTTACATGCAGGGCTTTCAATAACTTTTCAATGAACAGGCTGTTTACTAATTTGAAGTGGCTGATCAAAAAAGGGGGAGTCAGGGGGGGCTTGCCCCCCCGAAAATTTTTTTGACCTTACATTGAAAATGGTGCACTCTGATGCATTTTCAAACTATTTACAAGTGCATAAAAAAATGGGGTTTCATAGGAATGTTATCTTTTTTTTTTAGCTTGTAAGGTCAATCTTGTGATATTGCATATTAAAATAAGACAAATAAAAATATATCAAAAATAATCTTAATTGTTATTGTATTGCCAGATTTCGCAAAAAGTAAGAAAGCAACGGAGGGTCAGCATAAACTATTAATACCAAGACTCCGTGTTGAAGGCCTTACTTTGACCTATAATGGTTTACTTTTACAAATTTTGACTTGTATGGAGAGTTGTCTCATTGGCACTCATACCACATCTTCTTATATTTATGTAAAGACCTACATATATATGTCATCTGCAAAATCTGACAATTTCAGTTTTGATCCAGAAAAGAAATACTATTTTCATGTGTTCTATATTTCAATAAAAACATGCAAATCTGGGAAAGGACATATATGCTGAAGTGGGAAAATGTCTCCCCCTTCTGAGTTAGCACTTTTAACAAAGGCTTCCATTCGAGATAGGTTAATGTAAAAAAAATTCAAACTGAGGCAGGACCCATCCTAACATTGGTACTTTTTTCAACGAGTGGGCTAATGATCAGCAAGGGGGAAATTATAACTGAAAAAAATAGAGAGAGCCTTTTCCATAGCCTTGGCATTTACCCTCCTACCTACTTTTTCAGTAAAACTTGACGGGAAAGGTCCAACTATAAATAAAAAATGGGAAGCCTTCCTCCTATCCTAGGCTTCTTTGATGGCCCCATCCACAACAAATGGGCAATGACAAACCTGGAACTATATACTACAAACTGGAGAGAAACTTAGGTCCAAAAAAAAAAAAAAAAATGGGCAGCACCCCTCCTAGCCTTGGCACTATTTTCAACCCCCCTTCCCTCCCCAAGAGTTAAAGGGTGGTAATAATTAATGAAATACTTGTTAAATTATAAAAAGGGCATAGAAGGCAAGCTTGGGCAGGCCTCATTTATATAAACATGAGACTGTACAGACCTTCTAAGGCTTCTTTGAAATTTAATAACTTGAAATAAAAAGTTTAAGCTGTAAATGGCTCCAATGATTTTGTCTTTTTGCTGGTAAAGAAATCATTTACTTTTGGTCTTTCATTTCATTCACTTTCATTTAATTTATTTACATGCAATTTAAAAAATTGCCTCCTAAAACTTTTTAATTTTGGTTTCTCATGAGTTATCCATTGATAACATGCGTTTTTATTTCGATATCTCTCTTGAATTTACCATTGACAATCTTGATCATTCAAGCGATTGATTGAAGATCGTATTTGAATGCAGGCAAACGTCTTACTGACGCCGATTATAAATTTACTTTCAGTCAGACAAAATCCAGTCAGTTATAAAAAAGCCATCGTTTTTGAAAAATCTATGAAACTAAATACTCCATGAGACAAAAGGTTAATAAAACTTTGTTTTTATTTTATTCTCTTAAAAAATATTTTTTGTTTAAGCATTTGAACCGGTGATTTCCGTCTTTTGAAACGGCGACATTCCGCCGGGTGCCGGCTCTTAATGAAAACCCTGTACATATATAGGTATTTAGCTGAATTGTGAGGCACATTTTGCAGAAACTTCTGTAATTTTAAGTAATGGCATAAAAGTTTGCATACAAGTGTAGACATTCTTAAATTTTTGTAATTTGTGTGTTTAATATTTGTTTTCGTGTTTTATATTTATGTGTTGCATCTTTTGCAAGTGATTGGATTTTCACGTGTGTATCATGTCGGTTCAAAATCTCAGTGCAAACTTTTTACCAATTTTGTCGACTTTTGTGGCTATTTACAAATATCTGTACCACTACCAGTCAAATTACAATTCTGTGTTGCCATTTAAGTTGGAATATTAGACTAGAAAATAGATATTAAGCCTTGAGAATTGAAATGTCACTTTACCCCATTCTATTTTTCACCATACAAGTTTTTTTGCAAAATTTGGGTATTTTTACAATTTGTGTTTTTTTTTCAAATTCTGGATTTTTATGCTAAATTTTAGTTCTAATATTTTTTTATTGCACAACGTAATAAGTCAAAAACTATTTAAAATTTTAAGCTACCTGTTTTTATAATAACACAATTTAGTGTCAAAAAACCTTGCACTTTTACTCAGTCAGTTTTGTCATGAGATAACAATGCAGTGTCCTATCTAATTTTAAACAAGAATGATGGCATTAAGCCAACTTTTAAAATCAACTCCTTTTGTAATGAATGGGATAAAATTACCTTTTAATTATATTTGCTAATATCTACTTTGTAGGCTTAACTAACAACTTAGAAGGCAACATAAAATTGTAATTTGACTGATACAGGTTTTTTTGAAAATAGCCATTAAAATAAATCTTTATATATTTTAGAATTTAGTAATATTTAAATGTTAATGCACTGTATGGTGAAGTGTCTTTGCTGGTTTATATGATTGTAACTTTTCCTTGTGTCAATTCAGACCTGTGAACAGAAAAATGATCCCTGTATCATTAACTTAATACAAGTAGGGCATTGAAGTTTGGCTGCTTTGTCACAGCCAGGAGTTTCACAGACTCGTGCTGCAATAGTTGTTTCAGCCATTTTGACAGCTGCACGCAGTTATCTCCCCTGAATTTTATTATTCTTCTTGATTATCACTTCAATGTTTGGATAACCTCCACTCAATGGTGTGAATCTGTTTGTCAAAATTTTTAACAGACTACTAAAAGGACATGGTGCTATAAAAGGCAATAAAAGTACAAAAGCAACTTCATAATCACATAAAATGTCTTCTCCAACTTTAGCAGGGACATAAAAAGGAATACGCAACAAAACGTGACCCTTTTGGGACAATGTCAGTTAAGAAAAATTGACAGGGGTTCCTCGTACCATACACATAACAGTATAGCTCAGCTTCTTCTAGCATTCACACAAATACTGCTGCAAAAAAACAAATAATATGTCATTTGAAATATTTTCAGCCCCGAAAATGAAAACGGTGACCCTTTTGGGAGCCTCCTCATGGGGTTTTTAATTATGTGATTACTTGGCCGTTTTTATAGTTATTATTTGATTACCAGACCAAATATTTCATGATTATGTGATTATATGATAATTAAGGACTGGATTTTTGATTATCTTGTTTAAAAAAATAATTAATGATTATATGTGATTATATTGGCAAAAAATGTGTGATTATGGGATTACTTGGACCCCATCAGGGGCCTCTTTTGGAACATAATACAGAAAAAGAATTTAGACTATATACGGATGGAATGTGCTAATCTCACCATTATACTGCTGGGGGAGGTGGTTACATGAATAAGTTGGGAGTTTAATTAAACCATCATATACCACGTCTCCTTATTTTCATGTGATTTATTTATGGGGAGGGGGGGGGGGGGGGGGGGGGGGGGGGGTCGAGACAATTTTCGGGACGCCGGGATCGGCCGATTTTAACAACGGGAAATCGGGATTACCTTGTTTTAAGGTCGGGAATTCGGGATAGAAATACATCGGGATACGGGAAAGCCAGAAATATCACAAAATTATATAAGTCAGATACTTACTTGATTTTTTTAGATTTTTAAAACACGTTTTCTTCAATTTGACAGAAAAACATGCTGCGACAAAGATCAAAGTTTGACTTTTTGTCTTTATACTGGAAATTATTGTATTCGCACAATGCTGGTTAACTTGAGAAAAATCAGAAGACATAAATTATATATAAATTCTGTTAAGAAACAATATCGCTTTCTAAAAGTACTTGGAAAGGTCATGCAGTTTTCATGGTTTCCATATTAGTTAATTAACAGTTATACCATTCAGAATGAAAAATTACTTGAAATTTTGGAGCTCCTGAACCTCACCCCAATATAGTTGTTACTTCATAAGAGTACATTTTGAGAGAAAAAAATGACATAAAAAATTGAAAGATATTCATATATCAGGATTTGAAATCGAAACTATAATTATAGTCCTTTATTGATGTAAGAAATAAATTTTGTACATTTCGTTTATTCAAAATACCAACAAAACTTAGAATTAGGGAAATTTAAGTGCTGAAAATTATACAAGGAAGACACAACACAAAATAGTTTCTCGGGTCACATCTATGTAAACAAGGAGGAAATGGATGCATATGAGGCCCACTATATGTATAAGACGTAAAAGATAGAAACTTAAACAAAAATGTATTAAAGATCTTTGTAAGACACATTCTAATAAAAAAATGTAATCAAGAAAATATGTTCATCTGATAAAAAACATCATTTGTATAGTTTGTTGACCAGTCGGTGGATAGAAATAAATTTAATTGTAAAAGCAGCATCAGTGTGAATTAATGTTAGTGCACTGACCTAGCTGGTGAATCATTCCAGGGCCAAATTTAAGTTTTTGTTCACTTTTCCTCATATGTCATGATAATTCGCCTATAGTATAATGTACACGTGTTCTTTTTTTTATGTTTTTAGTTAACACTATTTTTTTTTCTATTTTACAATTTATAGATAAGCATTGCATCAAATTGTTTGTAATTTCTCAGCCTTTCGTGACAATAAATTTACCCCGAAAACACTGGAGTATTAAATTGGGTGCAAGGTCAAATGATGTAGGTTAGATAACCAATCCACAGTCATATTATAGTTGATCCATCACTGTATCCAATAGTCGGAAGATACATATTTAGTAGCTAATCATTGTATGTTTGTAACATTTTATCTAGTATTTGGTGTTTGTTTTGCCTCAATGTGTGATTTTTTAAAACTTTATAACTTATGTATTAAATGCGCCTTAAGGAGAATACATTATTCTATACGACGCTATACACATTCTAGTATTGTGTTTGTGTTGTGGGTCACCGAGGGAACCGACTAATCGAGAAAACCTAACCTGACCACTTGAGCATGACCATGAGGTCAGGGTCAGGTGACAAATATAATTATTTCAATCGGATTTCCGAAGGAAAAGTCGGTTATTGATTTGGGGATGTACGTTGAGCGGGCGGACGGGCATCCGAGCGGGCGGACGGGCATCCGGGCGGGCGGGCGGGCGGGCGGGCGTCTGCCAAACAATGTCCGTGCATTTACTCATGAACCGTTCAACCAAAGCTTTTCAAATTTTAATATGTTGTTACTGATGACAAAATGGAGGTCAAGTTCAATATTGACGATTTTCACTATCACTGTTCAGGAGTTATGGTTCTTGAAAGACTGAAAAATGGTCTTTCCAGTCGTGTCCGTACTTTAACTCATGAACCGTTCAACCAAAGCTTTTCAAATTTTGATATATTGTTACTGATGACAAAATGGAGGTCAAGTTCAATATTGACGATTTTTAACTTTCACCGTTCAGGAGTTATGGTCCTTGTGATATTGAAAAATGCCAGGACACAAATAAATGTTAAAAAATCCGGTTTCCTGTCGCTCTGACAGCCTCTTGTTGAAAGGGTCTCATGAACTCGAGCATGAACTATTTCATATAAATTGTAGCCATCCTATATTAAATTGAGGTGGATGGCCTCGTAGGCGGATTTGTCTAGGTAGTTCATCTACTGTTTCACTAGTCTGTCGCATTGAGGTCTGAGCGTGGTAGGTGCGTTCAACTCCAATATTCGACCATGATGGTCAGTTTTCCATGCAGAAGGTCGGTGGTTCTCTCCGGCTTCCTCAAGCAATAAAATATTAACCCAACGATATAACCAATAATGTTGGAAGTGGCGTGACACACAATTGATAATCAATCAAATTAAGGTTATTTGTAATTGCCAATACCACAATCATCTCTTTGTCGAAAAGTAACACCGATATCTTGCTTACCGCGACTTTTGTCGTAGGTAGAACCTGTAAAGTAATACGCATTTAAGTTGATGGTCACATCATAACTATACCAATTTAGCACTTGCACTTTTCTCTAAAAAATACCTATATACCTCAATATAACATGTCACATTAAGGTTTATAGGTAATTTTTTGTCAGAGACCACTGCTTGTGCTATTTAGCCTTTGTTGGGAAGATAGATCGATGCAGTTTAGCATTCCTGATAAAGTTAAATCTACAAATGCCAAAACAAAAAAAAAAAAAAAAAACAACATGCGTTTTTACATTGAATTACTTTTTTTCCGGTTGATACAATTACTGGTAGACTGCTTGTCCCCGAGGGTGAATCATTTCAGTTTTCCATGTTTCTGAATTTGACCACAAGTTATATGATATTTCACCTGACACAATTCTTTGATAACTAGGTGTTAAAATTCCATCCATTGAAGTATAATTCATTTCGACCATTAGTTGATGATAGATAACTGATTTTCAACTGAAGAAGGTGCTTTTATGAATATGCCATATATTTAATGCGGTTATCATAATGTGTGTGTGTGTGTGTGTGCTAGCCACTCATGATTTATTGATTAAAAGGGTTAAATAACTATGATGTACACGCATAAATAACAGCGATCAGGAAATTATATGTCCCTAAAATCTTTAATCCATAGTGATGGCCATATTGGATTACAGATTAAACATATTAAGTATGACTGTATCATTCATTTATAATATTAATGTTGTCTGTGAAACTGTTTACAAGAATCTTTTATTTTTTATACTGATTTCTTGGATGGATGGTTTAAATCTAGTGACAAATATTACATGCTTACTGAGGGCAATATCTCACGAAAACATTGTTTGTTGAACAGGATTTGCTCCCTTATGGATAATGTCTATTGTGAGAAATTCCATCATGTCTTTTTTCTCCACACTGGGGAAAGAAAAAACACATATAATCTAAATTAAATATATTTTAGTGTTAGACATGTAGACTGCTTTATATCATTAAAGCAACAGAAGTCTCAAAAGTTCAGTGTCTGTACTTACTGAAAAGACTATACTATCAGTGCTCAACTTTTATCATATTAACTTTGCAAAAAAAATGTCAACAGACAATGATCCAAGGGACAAGGATATTTCCATGGAAATGAGATGTAATGATATCTGAATATCAATTTATCATGAGGGCTCTTCAAAAACTGACCAATCAGAAAGTCGTTGAAGTTGCAAATCAAGAACAGCACCTTCTATGTCTCTACATTGATGAATGATGATTGTGGTTAAAGATAAGACAAACAAACAGGTCTATTCGTATTAGTGTTGATTTGTTGAATTCCCGAAAATAAACCCTATAAATCTGACAGGTTAAAATCTAAAAAAAAAAACAATAAAAAATAAAGAAATGGTACTTATCTTATTGTTTTTCATCATGGAGAGTAAAAGACTCTCTAGCAATGTAGTTTCAGTAAAAACTACCACAGGGACATTTTTATACTATAAATAACTATTCAATTATAATTCTCATAAAGTAAACATTTTTTTCTCTATACACTTAAATTCATTTGATCGTATTTGTACTATGTGTGATAAAAAAGTAATCGAAGATGAATATCATTAGTGTGATAAATATTTAAATGTCAGACGTAAATATATTGAGATATATGAGGGTCGGAATGACCTTTACCGTCAGGCGTCAAACGGTCTTTTTCGGCTACCGTTAACGTCAAATTGGTTAAAATTTTACCGTGATTCGTCAAAATATCCTTATCGTGATTCGTCAGAGGTCTCAAATAATTATCGTTACCGTTATTTTTGGAAAAAATTTAACGTGATTCGTCAAAATCATTTTTTTTTATCGTCTAAAAGAAAGTGTACATTTTATCATCATGCACCGAAAAGTACCGTTAATGTCATTATGTAAATTGTATGGCAAACTCCGCTACATGTTAGAAATTCATTAATGCTGTATATGTATATGTAAACAGTATAAATTGTGTATCTAAAGTATTATTATTATTAAATAAGTGCATGCACATAGTTGTCACATGCATAATTGAAGATCTGTGAAAGTGCAGATCACCAACATCTGACTGAAAAATAAAAATAAAAGTATCAACCTTTTTCAATTTCACTTCTCAAATATAACCAAAATCTAACATAACTCATTTAAAAAAAAAAATATCAAGGATTTTAATGGAAAAAACTACTGGTTTTCATGGGCTATTGTTTGATAATTTATCAATGTAAACATGCTTTTTGTCGAGCCTGCGACTTTTGTCGCAAAAGCGAGACATAGCGATCCTACATTCCGTCGGCGGCGTCCACAAATATTCACCCTGAAATTTTAATAACTTTCTTAAACTATCCTAGATTTGTTCCAAACTTGGACAGAAGCTTCATGATCAAAAGCTAGTATCTAGAAGGAAATTTTGTAAAAATTTATTTCCTGTTTTTCCGTATATTACTTATAGATGGACTTAGTTTTATTCCAGTTAACATTACGTACAGTCTGTAGTTAGATTGATTTCATAAACCTTTTTGGATTTTTACCAAACTTGAACATAACTTCTTACAATCAAAAGATAGATTCTAGAGGAAAAATTTTTAATATTTTTTTCCCCATTTTTGTTGAGCCTGCGACTAACAGCAAAAGTACGCGAGACACTGGGTTCCGCGGAACCCTTACGAATTTTTAAAATAAGAATGATATATATTTTTAGCTTTTTCAAGAATATACATCAAATCTCTAATGATGGCATAAAATCAATGTCTTACCATCCTTGGGATTTTTGTTCTATAGTTCATGATGATGAATGGCTGTTTAACCTTCCGTGGCAAATTAATTGCATATTCAGGATAGGAACATGTTAATATGATAAGAATATAAACCTTGCTCTCATTAGACCAAAATGCTGAGTCCAATCTTAAAGGGGCATAAGCTGTCAAATTCATGTTCACTGAAATGACTCAATTTTTCATAATTGATTTATAACATACTAAAACATATATCAAAATTACAATAAACATTTCGTGTGTATTTTTGTCTAGGCGTCATCTTATTAACCATCGTGATGACCTCTGACAGTCATATAACCTGATATAAACATATACATAGTGGCCTCTTGCAATTGGATTTTTCTAGGTCTGTTTGATTTCATATTGTAGGTTTAAAAAGTATGTTTATCATCGTTTTTACCTGTACAAGGATTTTTTGTGGATCAAATCAGTCAACCAAATGGTTCATCCTTGTTTCACTTTTCAATGTTGACATTCTTTTCCTTTCTAAGCTGAATACATGCGTAACTTATCTACAGCTAAGGGGTTAAATTGAAGGTCACATGAATATTGATTCAATGAGGTTGGATTATTCACTTGCACATCAGCGATGTTTCTTACCTTATTTTGACAAAATTGAACCAAATTGGCTGCTAAAAGCGAATTATCATTTCACTTTCATTAATGATTGAACAAAAAAAAATCATATTTTAATTGTTTTTTAATATCTCGTAGCTAATGCCCCTTTAAACGTGCTAGTTCACAAGGTAACATTCTACAAGAAGACATGTCACACTACCTGGACACATTATTCTAAATAGGGTGACCTGTCTAGACTTTGCTCTTACTTCTAAATGCCATGTGCTTTAGGGAGAAGCAGCAATACCAAAATACTCAAGTCTTTGGTTAGACCTGGCCAAGGATTAAACTCACGACCTCCTGCAGTCCCTGCCAGTACACTTCAACAAGACCAGCAGGGTGGTCTGATATCTTTAAGTATTCTGTTATGAATTCACATCTTATCTTAACTTTGAACAGGATGAGCATTTCAAGACAGACACACTATTTACCCTAATGATAGCTAGATGCATACACATATAACATAAAAAAAGAGGCAAGATGGTATTAAATACAGAATTTAATTGTTAAATCTTTTCATTAAAATCACTGACCACATATAAAAGCAGTTTTCACATGTTATTATTAAACTGGTATACATGATGGCTCATTTTTCAAAATTGCATTAAAACGGTTTCGAGTTTTCAAATAGTTTCACAGATCATGTGAATATATCCGATTGAAACCCGCAATACAATGAGTCACAAGTATATGGTCAAGAGAACAAAAACAGTGACTCTTTACTTTACACAACAGTATAAAAAATCAAACAGTTTACAAAAACAGTAACAGCACTATGACTATAAGGGCTATTCCATAAATATATATATTTTATATTTGTACGTGGGACCTAGGAATGGCACTTCTAGATTTCTAATATCAGTGGTGTCAAATACTTCTATGTAGACTCTATAGGTGGTTACCCCATTTTCAAAGTAATTTCTAGGGGGGGGGGGGGGGGGGGGGGGGGCATATAAAATGGAACAGCCCTTTTACTTTGAAACAAAAAGTAGAAACATCTGAAAAAAAAAAAAAATCATCATTGTATTGGTCATTAAAAACAATAAACAACTCCTGTATGATGTCTTTCAAGTAAACTTTTGATTCACAAATGTTTACTTTCAAAATGTATTTAAAATTTTGTGAAAATTATATACCAGAAATAAAAATCAACAGAACACAATATCAACAACAAATAAATAAGTTACAATGAACACATAGGTGGGTTTACTTTTAGTTGTTCATAATGCCTTGTTGTAAAAACTGGGGGGAAAGTACACTGTGTATGTACACTCAACGTTGCTGAAATACATTTATAAAGTATCAAGAAGCTATTTGTTGACTATTCTAAATTGACGTTATAAACATTATGAACTACTATACTAGTCAATTTTAAAATTAATGATTTTGTTTCGAGTTTTTTGTAAATAAAAGGAACTCCAACATTGCAAGTAGGATAAACTATGGTCCCTTATTGCATGGGCATGGTGAAATGGGTGGTGGTGGACAATAATTTTTAACTAAGTGCATCACACTTTTAAGGTGAAAGGGAATTCAAATTTAGTTGTTACAGAAAGAAATTCTTAGCTTAGATACATTGAAACAGGCTTCTTCCATCAGGTGATATATCTGTCCTACAAAGAGTTATCTTTGCCAAAAAATCTTAGATTCGAATAAAGTCAGTAATTCTAAAATAGACTACTGTGCTTACGCAAATAATATTTGTACATTAATTCTTTGAAAGTAAGTATTCACTATTGACTTGAAGTTTATAGATTACACTCCTAATACAAAAAAATTCATGCATTTGTAGTTGGTTTAATTCTTAGTGTTCTCAATATTAATCAAACTTTATAAAAGAAAAAAACATTTACTTATTAGAATGACTGCTCCATCAACTCCATATGGACATACAAAGAAAAGAAATTAGTCATAGAAAGATGAAGGAAGAATATTATAGTTTTTTTCCCTGAACATAATATTTTGATAAATAATAATAATTTTTTTTATCTACAAAATTGTCCATTTAAAAATGTTCTTCCCTTCAAATTGCCATTTTGTCTTGTATATCGTGACTACAGACAATAATACATGGTAAGTCATAAAATTGTTGGCAATCAAGACAAAATACCATAGACATTTCTTATTGCACATTATTGTCCTATGTTGAGGTGATACTTGAGGCAGGCAATGCTGATTTATCTAAGTTAGCAAAGTAAGTGTGATTCAGTGCTTTCTTGGCAGATATTCTTTGTGCTGGATCATATATCAACATTGTCTGAAAATAAAATGAAAAAGATACTCAACAAATCAGTTTTAAAGTTTTGACTTTTTAATTTCAATTTCCTTGAACTTCTACTGCAAAATGGTATCTGTCAGAATGAAGATGTAAATAATAACTTTAATTTTTTTTTAATACAAGTTTTTTTATTTATATTGAAATTATGGAAATAATTGTTTTTCATCACACGGTATAAAATATGTGTATTTCATCAGCTCATATTGCAAATTTGTAAAGGCAATACTGTTATCACTGTAAATTTTCATCCTCAACAGTATTACAAGTAGAACCGTCCTGAATCTAAATATTTAAATGATAAATTTGAATTTTAAGTGTGTTTTCAAAATATTTAACCTAGCTATAAAATATCTCCCTTTAATGATCACTTGCTGAACATTAAAATGCATTTTATACAATAAAATATGCTATACCTGCAACAGGTCTAATCCTGTATTGTCCAGCTGTTTGACAGACTGTGCTAAAGAGTTATTTTTCCATGTAGGAAAAGTTGGTTTGTAGTCTGGTAGTGAGGTTACCCCTGGCCAAACTTCTTCTGTTGGGGTTGTAAGAGTTCTGAAAAAAAGACAGCAAACCTTTTATTAACATACGTAATACAATAAATATGAACGTTCACATAGACAGCATTATGCTTACTAATAAATCCTGATTGTTAAACCTTCCAATCTACATTTAGTTCATTTTTTATTAACATTCTGAAATTCAACATTTTGTTTTTAGTGCAGGTAAATTTCTAGCATATATATGTAGGACTTGGAGGTGCGATGGGGACACTGAAGTGGGATGGTCAATATGACTCGTTATGGTTAGTTTAAAATCTACATAGAGATTTGCATTTTTTCATTTAATAGTTAGTATATATATATACATTTGCATTCATTATTGTTAATAAACCATTTATATATGACACTTTGGTATGGATGATATATTTATGTGTATGATTGAAACAAAAGAATCATTCCAGCAATAAGCCTGCAAATTAGGATTACTATAATAGTATTTCATAATCATATACTGTTTCAATATCATCTAGAAGTACCCTGCTAGTACTATAGTTTCATCGATATCTTTTATGTACAGCTCTTTAAAGTGTTTGCAACATTTGAAATACATGACTACAATATATTTCATATTATTTAAGTTTCATACTAAATAAGAGATCGTCCTTTTTAATTTGCTGCCGCATGCTTGTGATGATTTACTTAAATTCTAACAAACAAATTAACTTCTACATCGACATGTGAACATCAAAAACATTGAAAACATGTAGTTTATGTCATCCATCACACTTCGGCGTAGCTATAAAAAAACAATGCCATTATCCTGCTTCAGCTTGATAAATAAATGGAGAATGTGTCTATGGGTCACAGATGCCCCTGCTTGTAAATATGCATGTCAACTTTCACATACAGATGCAGAATTCACGTAGTTAAGACCATTTTGTGATTATAAGTATTGCGTATAAGTTTCTTAACATTTGGTTAAGGCAAACTAAAGTTAGAGAACGGAAACTACAGATTTAGCAATTTTTCCATCTACAAAGAGCGTTACTCATGAACGGTAAAAGTGAGGCCACCCAATTTCGAAATTGATCTATGTTTTGTGGTAATAAGCATTGTGTATAAGATTTATAACATTTGGTTGAGGTAAATTAAAGTGATCAAACGGAAACGAAAAATTCAGCAATTTCTATGTTTATAATGGGGCATAACTCATAAACAGTACAAGTGACACTACCCAATTTCGAATTTGATCTGTGTTTTATGGTAATTAGCATTGTGTATAAGTTTTATATTTGGTTCAGGCAAACTAAAGTTAGAGAACGGAAACCAATTTTGGGACGTATGCAGTGTCCGACACTTACGGTTGTCCGATTGCCCAGGGCAAGTTAATGCCGTATTCGGACAAGTAAAAATATCATCTTGGTTGTCCGATTAGTGAAAACAAAACTGTTATATGATTAAAATTTCACAAAATCAATAGTATCTGTTGTTTTGTCCATAGATTACTCAGTGATAACACCGCACGGTCGAGTAAAGTGGTCTTAACCCCCCTTCAATGCGTATATTTCGTCATTTGTTCGCACTGAATTCCCCATTTTACCAAAAATAGATCACGTTTAAAAATATTGGCCAATCAGGCGGCAGCAGCTTTGCTTCGTCATTATCGTTATCAATCGGGACACCACTCTGGCGTTTCCGACGCACGTGTTATTCCCACCGATCAATGGAAAGCGGAGGTCTATTTTCATTGTTCCAACTTTAGAATTTGACATCGGATGTGTATTTCCCTAAGATCATGAAGATGGAAAACATAAAAGCTTGAAAGAGAAAATGAAATTAAACTTTAACAAATTTGTCAGTTGTTGTCAGTTTATTAAAAAGGGTTTTTTTGAAATGGCATTTCTTAGATAAATTATTATGAAATAAGTATCTCTATGTAAATGATCCAATTCCTGTATATTCCTCGATCTTTTCCCTTCCTCCTTGGCTCATATATGCTTCATAGTATCTCAGTGGTCAAGTCTAGTTGCTGCCATCATGGCACAACAATCAACCCTGGCATGTAAAAGTTTGGGCATGTAGATTTCACTTTCGGACAAGTAAAAGTAATAGGGCACATAAAAGTTAATGTCGAACCCTAGTATGGGTGGGACAGACGAGGGTAACACTTAATGCCCCCGTCGCCTAGTGGCGGGCCATAAAAACGCTCTTCAGCGTGACAATCAAGGTTCAAAGTCCTACATATATATTTTCCTTCAATTAGCATGATTAGTACCTGAATATTCTGAAGAGCTGGTCAATTTCTGAATCACCATGAAATAAAGGTCTTTTTGTGACCATTTCAGCAAATATACATCCTATACTCCACACATCAACAGGGGTAGAGTATCTTTGACTTCCAAGTAAGATCTCTGGTGCTCTGTACCACAATGTTACAACCTGCAACAATAAAACTGATTAACAAATCTGCATGTTTAAAAGTGTGCACTCAATGGCAAACATTTAAAGACAAATAACGATCTGCTTGTATAGCATCAATTCAGAAATATATCAATTGTATGTATTTTCTATTTTGTGATACACCATATCCCAAAAATTCATCTTGCAAAAATCCACTCTTGTCTTGACTGAATTTGATGAGTCAATCTGAGCTACCATTTTTATTAAAATATATGTGAGCTTCTACCTTAAAAGATGCAACTTTTTATCCCCACCCCCTTAAAAAAAATTGTAATCAGTAGTTTTACACAACATTTTTCTTACATGCTCTTTTTTTCTTAAGGTTTCACTTTTTTCGGATTTTTTGAATGCAGCCTTTGTTTTTTTTTAAAATTCATACAATGGGTAATTATAAGCTGAATTGTAAAGTATTCAACATACATGACATATGAAAATTGTATAGATTGATTTTTTGGGGCTTAAAATTCAGAGGCAAATATTTCATGCATATCTTGGACAACCAACAGTTTAAGGTTTATATATAAAGGTCAGAATAGGATGTTCAGTCCCATTCCTATGCTCGTAGGCTAGAAGTCTGTATGTGATCTGTTGCAAAGCAAATTTTTCTGCCCCTATCCAACAAACCCCTTTTCCAGTATCAGTCCAAATTTTCCATCATGCATCCATTTTGCAGAATCTTCCTTTTATTTATGGTTAATTTTCTCTTGTCCTTTAATATGCATGAAATATTTGACTCTCTGGTGTTAAGTAAAAAACAATCAATAAATGGTGTAAACATGCAAACAACCCTGCAAATGGTCACCCTGTCAGTATTGATTTTACTGCAAGACAATAGTCCAGGTACATGAAACTACATTTCTATACCTAATTCTTCTTTGGAAAAGGGGGGGGGGGGGGGGGGGGGGTTTGAATAGTTCAGTACAGAAACTTTTCTTGTTACATTGTTATAAATATCTTCTACCATGTGGCTGCTATCCCACAATAATAACTTTTGATCAAAAAGTAGTTGTCTCCATGATGAACAATTACCCTATATGAACATGAAATCCAAATATGTTACAACCTATGTATACACTTAATAATAGGTATACTCTTAACCTTTTCAACGCTACACAAAATAAATGGAAAATTTGTCCCCATGGAAACAGATGATGCCCCCGCGTGCATACAACATTAAAAAGGGACATAACTCAAAAACAATAAAAGTGACGCTACCCAAATTTGTACTAAGTCTGAGTTTTGTGGTAATAAGTATTGTGTATAAGTTTCATAATGTTTGGTTGGGGCAAACTTAAGTTACAGAACGGAAACTAAAAATTTTGCAATTTTCAATTTATAAAGGAGCATAACTCGATAATGGTTAAAGTGATGCCACCAAAATTCAACTTGATCTGTGTTTTGTGGTAATGAGCATTGTGTATCAGTTTCATAACATTTGGTTGAGGCAACTTAAGTTAGAGAACGAAACTAAAAATTTTGCATTTTTTTTTCCATTTATAAAGGGGCATAACTCGAGAATGGTTAAAATGACCCCACCAAAATTCAAACTTGATCTGTGTTTTGTCGAAATAAGCATTGTGTATAAGTTTCATAACATTTGGTAGAGGCAACTTTAAGTTAGAGAACGGAAACTAAAAATTTGGTTAAGGCAAACTCAAGTTAGCAAACTGCAACCAATCTGGGACGTACGTACAGACGGACAAGGGTAAAACGTAAGTCCCCCTCCGCTATGGCGGAGGGCAAAAATAGAAAAATAGCTGCTGCTGTTCATTCATTAGAACAGTATATTCCTTTTCAGACTGCTGTATCTTTTTTATTATTAGAGATACAGACAAAGTTAGTGCATGAAAAATGCTCAAGAGAGCATGAACTGTAATGTTACGCAATTATTTTAGTAAAATTTTCATCAAGCTACCTGCATTTTCAGGTAATTAACAAGTAAAAGGTGTAAATTATTGTATTTGTGTTGAATTTTGAATAAAAACAACTTTTAATCTTCATTTATTTCGTTGTTTTATCTGCCATATAATAAAGAAGACACCAGTTGCTCGATTCTGTAGCGTATTTGCACCATACACAAATTATAATGTAAACGTGGCGCAAATAAGTGGCTCTGTCCTCAAAATTTTCAGTCCACCTCCTTTTCCCCCCTTTTTCTACGTCTCGTAAAGATCGACCAAATCATATTTCCCACACGAATTGAATGTAATTAACACATTGAGATAACGGGAAACCTTTTAACTATTCCTCGATGTCAGTTTCGCCATAGAAATGCTGAAATATTTCCATATTTACAGCGTCTTTTTTGATTTCCGCCATTTGCATTTGTCAAATTTTTTTTCTTTTTTCTTTTACTGCATGCTTTGAACCATTAAAATTCCTGCAATTTCAAGCGCAAACGGGACCTTGTATATCCTCAATTCATACGAGGAAAAATTAGAAAGGATCCGAATGAAAACCGAATGGTTACAAGTCTGTATGAAAAATCCATCGTCATCGCGACATATGCCGCGAACAGCAGTGGCAGGCGGCGTACGTCATCACGGCATATGCCATGTATAGTGTTGAAAGGGTTAACATCACACTCTAACCTCCTGTGTACATACTCCAACAGACATACTATTAACATCATCTTAACCTTACCTTATGTGTATACACTCTGATATATATCGTGGTGTGTTATTTGGCTTATATTGTTGTAAGTGTTATTTTGCATAACTAAATTAATTTTTACCTATGCTGTGGCAAGTACTCGACATGTTAACAGTCTGATTACAGTATTTGTTTCAAAATAATTGTTATTAGCATGTCACTAGGATAGTTTTTATCAAAACATTATAGGATAATTGGCTTTGTTAATTAAAGTCTATTTTTACTACTGAGAGTACTATTTACATGTCGAGGCATTCGATTTTTTTTTGGTTTTTGTATAAATATCGTTCTGAAATTTTTGAAAAGCAGTGAGTGTTTCAGAACTGTAACCTCTTACTACTCATGTCATTATACTGGACCTACAAGACTGTCTACCAGTCTACGTTGTTGTGTTGAGACAAAATTTATCTCGACTCACATTTTTAATTTGGCAATTTCTATTTGAGAATGATTATATTTTGATACCTTTACATTTTAAGGTGGATGGGGGTGTTGTAATTAAAATCCATAGAATTTTTTAATAATTTGTCAAAATGTAGTTTTTATCAAGCTTTTTTCCAAAAAATAATAAAAAGTATGGGTTAACAGGACTTTTATTCACGCTACAGGTTGTGCAAAATTGTCAGATTTTGTATAGATTATGCATGGAAAATCTAATTTTGTGTGATAAAAAGAAAACTACAACATAGAATTTTAAGATAAAATGTGAGAAGATAACTCTTATAACATGCTTTCAGATAAGAAAAAGAAACAAGAGGCTCTCAAGAGCCTGAATCGCTCACCTGTATTTCAGAGGAGAAGATTTTTAAATGTTAGCAAACTTGATGAACAAATTGTGTAAAATTGCCTTTAAAGGGCAATAACTCCTTAAGGGGTCAATTGACAATTATGGTCATATTATCTTTTTTGTAGATCTTACTTTGCTGAACATTATTGCTGCTTACAGTTTATATATATCTATAATAATATTCAATATAATAACAAACAAGAGTGCACACGCTGAAATGTCTCGCCTTCTTTACTAATCATTTTTATTATGTTGATAGTCCTAAATATAAAGCTTTATTACAACTGTCACATAAACTTAACATTAACCAAGTAAACTAAACATTGACCAATGAACCATGAAAATGAGGTCAAGGTCAGATGAACCATGTTAGGCAGGCATGTACAGCTAACAATTCTTCCATACAACAAATATAGTTGACCTATTGTTTATAGTTTAAGAAAAACAGACCAAAACACAAAAACTTAACACTGGGCAATGAACCTTGAAAATGAGGTCAAGGTCAAATAAAACCTGCCTGACTGACATATAGATCATAAAAGATTTCCATACACCAAATATAGTTGAACTATTGCATATAGTATTAGAAAAAAAGACCAAAACTCAAAAACTTAACTTTGACCACTGATCCATGAAAATGAGGTCAAGGTCAGATGACACCTGCCAGCTAGACATGTACACCTTACAATCATTCCATACACCAAATATAGTAGACCTATTGCATACAGTATAAGAAAAACAGACCAAAACACAAAAACTTAAAACTGAGCAATGAACCTTGAAAATGAGGTCAAGGTAAAATAAAACCTGCGTGACTGACATACAGATCATAAAATATTTCCATACACCAAATATAGTTGAACTATTACATATAGTATTAGAAAAAAGGACCAAAATTCAAAAACTTAACTTTGACCACTGAACCATGAAAATGAGGTCAAGGTCAGATGACACCTGCCAGCTAGATATGTACACCTTACAATCATTCCATACACCATTTATAGATGACCTATTGCATATAGTATTAGAAAAAAAGACCAAAACTCAAAAACTTAACTTTGACCACTGAACCATGAAAATGAGGTCAAGGTCCCATGACACCTACCAGTTGGACATGTACACCTTACAATCATTCCATATACCAAATATAGTAGACCTACTGCTTATAGTATCAGATATATGGACTTGACCACGAAAACTTAACCTGCTTCACTGATCCATGAAATGAGGTCGAGGTCAAATGAAAATTGTCTGACAGGCATGAGGACCTTGCAAGGTACGCACATACTAAATATAGTTATCCAATTACTCATAATAAGAAAGAAATTAACATTACAAAAAATGTTGACTTTTTTTTCAAGTAGTCATTGAACCATGAAAATGAGGTCAAGGACATTGGACATATGACAGACGGAAACTTCGTAACATAAGGCATCTATAAACAAAGTATGAAGCATCCAGGTCTTCTAGCTTCTAAAATATAAAGCTTTTAAGAAGTTAGCTTACGCCGCCGCCGGATCACTATCCCTATGTCGAGCTTTCTGCGACAAAATTCGCAGGCTCGACAAAAACTGCAAAATTTTGTTAGAACTACCAATTCGGTGGCAGCAACCCAACAAGGGGTTGTTCGATTCGTCTGAAAATTTCAGAGCTGATAGATCTTGACCAATTGAACAATTTTTGTCAGATTTGCTCTTAAAGCTTTAGTTTTTGAGATATAAGCCAAAAACTGCATTTGACCCCTATGTTCTATTTTTAGCCATGGTGGCCATGTTTGTCCATGGATCAAAACTTCGGATACAATTTATAAACTAGATACCCTAAGGAACATTAATTTAAAGTTTGAAGGTATTTGGCCCAGTAGTTTCAGAGGAGAAGATTTTTGAAATAGTTTACGACGGACGCCAAGTGTTGGCATAAGCTCACATGCGGCCCTTCGGGCCCTGGTGAGCTAAAAATGGGGTCACCGGACTTGTTTTCTTGCAACTCTTTCTATTATCAAAATTACTTTATCTGAGTTATCCCCCCTGATGTGGCAAAGTTGAAAAAAAATGAATCAAACAAAACTATTATGTTTTTTAGAAAATACATCCATAAATATGATAAAACACATAATTTTCTATATTCATGAAAAGTCTTACACATGAATTACATACTACTCTCAAAATTTGCACATTTCATTAAAGATCTAGACCAATTGTTATGTGCTACTTCAAAATCCAAGATGGAGGAAGACACCCCAGCCAACCTTCCTTGCGTTTTAGCTATGCCTATCAGAACATTAAGTCTAGCGATAGACCTAACCCCCTGTCCCTTGGTTCAAGTACATACGAGTTAGCTCCCCCTTATCTAACAGTGCTCTGGACCTTGGTGACAGATACTCTTCCACCTTACTGTATGTGTATACACTCTGATAGGTATATTACCTCATGTGTATACACTCTGACAGGTATACCAAAAGCTCTAGCCAAACCAAAATCTGCTAACTTGATAATGCCTTTATTATCTATAAGTAAATTCTGTGGTTTCATATCACGATGTAATACTCTTCTCTGATGACAAAACAGTATTCCCTGTAGGATCTGGTAAGTATAACTCTGAAAATACAACATAGATAATAAAATATACAAACTATATACTACTGTTAAACTTGTGAATGGTGTTTATTCTCAATCCAAAACTTATTTAAATCTAAACGAGTTTTCTTTTATGTTCACAGCTGCAGAAATATGTGTTGTGAAATCATTAAGCAGGCACAACTAATTTTTTATCAGAAAACTTTGTATAGATCCTGGCCTGTAGTAAAAAACCTTTCAGACCGTACACTTATATCTCATAAGCCTGGGATGGTGGGCGTGTAACTGAGCCTGACTACTGACTCATTAAGTGTCTAATTTGACATATTCAACCTAAAAATAACTGTTTACAAATTTAATATGAGTTGCAGCCTTATCCCATTATTTTGTTTACCCTCATTTTAATAACATCTAAAGCAGACATATATGGTGAACGTCTTTTTATAATACTTTTAAATTGAATTCAATGTGACAAAAAAGAGACCTTATACAATCTCCTTTAACAGAGACTACCATAAGATCTGTCATCAACATCAAATTCGTTAAAGGACATTTACACTGAGATATAACTATAAATGAAAGTGTGTGTTGTGAACTAATATACATGTATAAACAATACAGAATTTAGGTTGCCTCTTTTACTTTCCAATACAAATTGATACCTATAGCTCATACAAAGATACCTGCAGGAAGCCATTCTGCCTATCCTCTTCCTAAATTCCTGTCAGATAATGTATCTGCTACATTAGGTATGTTGTATATAGTTTTTGCTTACTTTAACTAGCATTTTATCCATAAACTGTCCACTTGGAATGGTGTCCATATATCTTTTCAAGTCCATAGACAAAAATTCAAAAACCAGATATAATTTGTTCTCTTGCATCAACACATCTTCTAAACTGAAACAGATACGTTACAACATTTAAAATAATGATGTTTCTGAAATAAGATAGTAGTTTTAAATATTATAATTTTAAGTGAAATAAAAGCTGAATGTCAAATTTATATAAATTTAACAAATCTAATATAAATCACTTATTTTTAGTTTTTTAAAAGTTGTTTTAAATGAGGAGATTTGGCCATAAAGTTAGGTACTAATCATCTTTAAAATGTACTCTGCAATTAAATGGTCAAAAATTAAAAGTGTAAGATTCACTAGCTTGATATATTATATATTAACCGCATGTACATTTGTAAATCTGTTTGTGACTCACAGAAGAAACTCACTGAATAAATCTAGATTCTAACAATATAGGAAAAAGAACAGAAGAAGGACACTAACTTTGTTTAAATCATCTTGTAAATTGAGCCTTGCATGTTACAACTAGAAGTTGGGACATGATGAATGATGACTTGGTACTAAACATACCTCCACTATTAATACAAAGTAATGGAAAACAGGTATATGTCAGGTCTGAAAAGCAGTCACATATTACAACTCATCACCGTCAAGCTGTTGACTAAACATAAAGTCATTCAGTTCAGTAGTTCAGGAAAAAATATGGGACAAAAAAATAGACAAAGCTAATTCAGCATATTGAAAATACCAAAGTATCTGCAAACAGGAAGTAGGTGTCTGACACACCTGAAAATGTGAACCCTTAACAACCCATCACTGTAAAACTGCTGACCAAATATAAAATTTAAGAAGTACATGAAAAAAGTGTGACAAAAATATTTGTTGGATGGAAGGAAAAAATTGAAATACATGCAGATAGTAATAGTTATTTAATTTTTTACCCAACAATGTTAGGATGTTGAAGTTCTTTCAGGAGTGATATTTCTCTGATGGCTGTGGATGGAATTCCTTCCTCTTCACTTTCTAATCTAATCTTCTTCAGTGCCACCAATCTGTTTGTTTTCTTGTGTCTACCTTTGTACACTACACCATAGGTACCTTTAATTGTACATTCAATAACATGAATAAGCTTTACTTCAGTAATATTTTTGAAGAAGGGCTAATGCACCAAAATTTAACTTATATAAAACAGACATTCTTTCTGATCATAAAATGAACACGACATGTCCAAAAATGGTTGAGAACAACTAATAAAATGTGAAATACAAATGTACATGTAACCCAATGATTTATGTGAATTCTGTCGTAATCATAAATTGAACACAACATATAAAGGCATTGTCCCTAAAATGAGAGTATATGCCAAGATTTTGTGCTTCTTTTTAAGATACCAAAGAGGAAAAGTTACAGAAGATATTTTTTTTCTTCCAGTAAATTAATTAATGAGTGATGGTTTTCTCTTAAAAGAAATTTAAAGGTCTCAGTTAAAAATTTTGAATTACACAGAGAACAATAGCTATTTATATATTTCTTCAATGGGACAAAAGAACTGCCAACAAAAGTTAAAATCGACAGGTAAACTGCAAATGATTCTGTGGAAAAGTTTCATTTCTTTAAAAATAATAGCAAAAAATCTACCATACTGGGAAATCAATAGAATGATGCTAAAAGGAAATCAAACAAGGCTTCAATAAAAGCTATCCCTTGTGCACCGTTTCGATCCTGAAATATTTATTGTCAGAACTGACAGAAGTAAGTTCAAAAGGTTCAAAGAACCAAAAAACAACCACATTACTCTCAAATTTACAAAATGAACATATATCACCTGAAAAATATTTTTTAATAGGCCTTATGATAATTGTATTGCTTCATTTGAACTTGGTATCATACAACGATCATTTTTCTTTTGTGGCGTCCGACATTTTCTCTAGCCCTTAGAGTGCCACCTTTTTTTTTGTTAGAATACCGTTGAGTGTCATGGGATAGTCCCTAGATTTGAAATTTGAACAAAAAAAGTCATAAAAGAAGTGTAACAATGCACAACGTCATGCAATTGTTTTTGTATAGAAGCAGTTCTTTTTCGGCGTATGTCAGTTAGATTACTTTAGGTAACAGGTAAGAAAATGGGCAATCAAACAAGATTTTTATGAATTTTTGCAGGCAAGTTGATCCATTAGAGCTGCAAATAAATATTCAAAAAGTATGCAAGTTAATTTTAGACTTTCGGAAACAAAGCAATCTGATTATTCTATTAAATGAAGTACAAATATATATGTATAAGGATGCATGTAAATACCCCAAACACTAAAATAATTAGATAATTTGACTTTAATTTGACTTTTCTCAAAAACATTCAACTTTAAAAAATTATATTTCATTGTCACTAAAACTTCCGTTTTATTTTTGTAGTACAAATCCTTGAAATGTATAATTTTTTTTGCCATAGCGCTGTCCGTTTCTCTTTGACTTTATATGTTTTGGGTGTCCTTTTGATATCTTCTGCATCTTTTTTAAAGTCAAAGTTGCTGAACTTCTTTTGCGATATTTACATGGATTCTATTCTTTCGTGTATCTCAGATTTCCGGATATTTAATTTGCTATATATATCGGAGAGTAAGAAGCTACATATATCGTTTTTTAATACTGATTGTTATCTCTGCAAGTTGACTCAGACCTTGTGAATCTTATCAACATGTTACCTTACTGAATAAAATATTTGTCGCTGGACACTTAGTTACAAATAAAGAAGTTAATCCATAATTTTACAAACATGTGTACTTTTTTTGGACTTTTTAATTATGCACTTTTGTCAAATGTTTAATTCTTCCTTTCTTTTGTTTTCGATTGATTTTGTTTCGTTTGATTTATTGTTTATTTTTAAACGCTAGACACGATATTAGAATTAGATTTGCAACTTTAAGTTTTAATAATACTTTTTTAAGGTTTGATCGAAAATCATTACAGTCAAGTCGTCATTATCTTTATTTAGCCCACACGGTTGTCACATTTTTTTTAGGTTCAGTCTTTTACAATAAGTATTCGTAAAATCTTTCAATTGATAACACATTAAAAACATATTATTTTGAATGCATGCATATATGTATGGTTGGATTTTAACAAACTATGCGTTGAAAAAAAAAAAATTGTTTGAATGTATTGGTTTATTTGATCTTTGTCTTCTTTTGTTTCTTGTTTTATTTTATCCTGATGTTATCATGTATAATTATTTTTTACAATTCAATCTGGTTGAAATATATAGCAAATTTTCTGACAAAAGTAATATTTGTGTTTATATCATAAGGGGAAAACACTTCTCATAAAAAATTTAACCAAATAAAAAAAAAAAAAAAAAACTATGACAATTATGTTTCTATTGGTACCAAGTTGATTAGAATTCCAGTCAGAATTGATCTCACAATATTTTTTTGAAAATACGTAGCTTTATGGGAAATATATGACAAAAAAAGGGGACGAATATTCATTGCATAACTCTGTAAATGTTGTTGAAACATGATTTTGCTTCTATTTGTCTTTGTGCTACTTTGACTGTAAGGACATTTGTTTTGTTTAGCTGATGAGAGTTTTTATATATCTTCATATGCATTCAGTAAAGTTGCAGTGAAAAGAGGACACAAAAGAAATTTATCGAATTCAAGTTAAGTCATCGAATTCAAGTTAAGTCATTTCAATAGTTGATACTGGTAAATTTTCAAAAATTACTAATGTTATTTTAGTATGAATTTTTAAAACAATAATCCTCAACATGCTCAACAAAATATAAACACGACATCATTTTCTTTATTAACTGAACATAAAGAATTTCATATATACATGTACCAAGCTACAATGTATCAGGTGCCATCCCTTGCCAAAAGCTAACTTAAAATAACAGAGAAGTTCTTAATCTTAGGACTAAAGGGAAAGAAAGTCTTCCTTTTTCGTTTTCTTTTTTCGTTTGAATAACTTTTTGAATACAGATAAAGTAGTTTGTTTAATGATGAACATAAGTAATATCAGAACAAAGTTGCAACATCATGAACATGTTTGTTCTTCACGTAAATACTTTCATCATATCTAAAGAGAACAGTAAATAAAAATAAACTATTGGCGACGATGAGTGTATGTCTAGCATTCTTATTGGTCCCCTCTGGTTGTTATTTAATTATGGTTCTTTTTCATTTTTTGGTTGCAAAACCCAAAACCATGCCGGAGTTGGAATAGAGTTGACGCCGGCCATCTTCCAAATCCCGCAATCTAGAGTTATGATGTATTGTTTATTATCACGTAACATCAAAATACCGTTGGCCTTTGGGCCTATGTCGTGGCACTCAAAGGTAGTGTTTTTGAATAGGCCGGATAGGCCGTATGGCAGAGAAAAGGCTAGTAGCAGTGTCTAAATTTTACAGGATTAAATGTGATGTCCTGTGGCAGACAAATAGTGATAGTTAATGGACAGCAAAGGAAAAGAACCCAGCTCTGAGTCTGTGAAGAGATTAGACATATTGAGCTGTTCTTTCATTTACTGTTCATATAATTTCAGCTTGTCGAATATTCTGGCATGTCTACTGAGCTTTTGTCGTTTTGACCAACATTATAAAAAAATAGAAAAGGGGTTTAATATCCATCAATGGAGGATCAACTTAAAACTGGTGTACGAATTTGCCCCATTTTTGAGCTTGATATATATCTTTTTTTAGTTGCAGTATAATTTATAGTCGAAATAAATATTGTCATATTTACCTTCACCAATCTTTTCAATTTTGACATAATCTTCCATTATTCAAAATTACTCTACGTTGCTGTTAACCTATAAGTGTAGTATCTGAAAAATAATACATATTTTAAATAATAAACAAACGGTTGAAAATCATGTGAGCAGATAAGGCATGTTCAAACAAAATTTGCGAATTCGAAAATGGCGCGATAAAATTGAATATCCTTTATCACGAATTTATGATGCCTCTATTATGTCTATGAAAAACAACTAGCAATTGTCTAACAAACTATTACAAAATATAGATAAAACTTAATGATAATTAAGCAAATAAAGCAAGAGTTAAACCTCTTTTTCTTTTTTTCACCGCTCCTACATTTAAACCATATGACCAATCAGAAATTCGAATATTTTCTAAACGTGAGACCGACCCAAATCAGAGAATATACTATCGAAATCAACTCCGGAATACTTTTTCGGAAATTGTACTTCTGTCCTCTACAAGTATTATCCTCCGTTATAATCGAAGCACCCCACTTTGGATAAGAGTTAAGCGTGTCATTTTGAATTAGTATTTAAAAGTATTAGTAAGAAATTTGAAAGTATGTTAATGTACAAAAGATAGACCGCCGCAGTATTAGTTAAAAAAGCAACAAGATTTTATTTTTGGTTAAGTTAGCATAGGTGTTTTCCGCTAATTTGGAAGAGGGGTCAGTGATTTTCTAAATCCCGCTTTTTTTGTAATTTTCCCCCACTTTTAAGTTAATCCTTATATCCCATTTCCCAAAAAGAAGTGGCTATTTTGCCGGTACCGACAAAATAGAAAATATGCTATTCTGTCGGCTCTAGTTAAGCGAAAGCCAATTTCGCCAATAAAAAACGATTTTGTTTACAGATATGCAATTCAAAGAACTGACTATTATTTCAAAAGCGAATAAATAATTAAAACATTTTTGATTTGAAGCTATGTGATTGGTTTTGTTAGATTGTATAATGTTTTATCAAATTTATATGCAATGAGATTTTATATTTTTATTTTTTAACAATATACAGTTAAAAAATCTGAGATTTTATTGTTATGCATAAATGTAGCATTAGACTGTGACTGATTTTAGAAGTGATTTCAACTACATGTTTTGATATGATTTCATTGCTACAAATGGATGTTCAATATTTTTATTACTATTTCTTTTTACAAACTCTTATTCTCACTTTGACTCATAAATGTATTAAAACGATTATATGTATCTCAAATATTGTTACTGTTATCTTATTTAACTATATGAGTAATAATTTGATTCTTTTATGTTGACAATATTGACATTTTCGTAGTACTTTTCGAAGGTAAATATCACTCCCACGTGAAATTCATTCTTAACAAGGAACCAGCAAAATAACAAATTCACTATTTTGCCGGCTTTAATCAGAGACATATATACACATATGTGTATATATGTCTCTGCTTTAATTAAGATATTTTTAATCAGAGCCGGCAAAATAGCATATTTTCTATTTTGCCGGCGCCCGCAAAATAGCCACTGCCTTCCAAAAAATTTGTCACCCCCTCTAGGATAGGAAATGACCGAGAATATTAAATAAGGAGATGTGGTATGGTAACCAATGAGACAACTTTCCAACAAAATCCAAACGACGTGGATTTATGCAATTATAGGTCACCGTACGGCCTTCAACAATGAGCAAAACCAAAACCATATTGGTAAATATAAAAGGGCCCGGCATGGTAAAATTAGAAACAATTCAAACGAAAGCACCCAATGGCATCATTTATGATAAAACAATAAACAAACAAAAAACAGATATATCAGATAGCAACCAAGTTGAACGACAACCACTGAATTACCGTGTACAAGAATTACGGACATTTCAAGGCTCCTGACTGGGATATGCACTGGTATACAAAAGGTTGCGGTGTTGAATAAGTCCGTGAGCGCTCCAGATTTTACTAAATTTAGCAAATTTTGACGCAGAAATGCCATTTATCTATGGGATTTTTCGTTTAATGAAGACCTTTGTGTTGGCAAAAAGAAAAAAAAAAATTATCACGATGATCACATTTGTTACATATTATTTTTCTGAAAGATTTTATAAGAGCCCAATTTATTTCATAGCCTGTAGCTATTATTTACTTTAATTTCTTTCCATGCCAAGAAATTGCCTCCGTTGAAATTCTGCAAATATCCCATAGAGCAAATTACATGGATGATTAATATTGACCATTTGGTATATGGCTGTGTTCTAAGCGACACGTACATGAAGGTCATAAATTAATTTGTTGAATGAAATCAAATCTTTAACTACTAATGGGTGCCGTAGGAGGTCTACCGGAATTTTTAGCTTGGATTTCTTGGCATGGGTAACACAATAATATGGACACCTTACAGAAAGAAAGAAAGAAAGAAAGAAGGAAAGAAAGAAAGAAAGAAAGAAACACACACACACACACACATATCAATCAATCATGTTTCAAAGGGGGAAAGACCGTTTACAATTGCTTTTTTAAAGCAATTGATTTATATTATAAATCAGCGTTTTTAACCATTCTTATGTACCGTTTATATCACAAAATGTCTCCCTGGGACCCCCTTTTGCCCCCCCCCCCCAACCCCATTTTTTTATACCCTCCACTTACAACTCTTGAATGAAGCTGCATGTGTGCTATCCTGTCAACGGAGACGAACGACAACTCCACTTTTTGTCCTTTAATATTTTTATTAAATATCTTCTGAAAAAAAAATCCACATGTATGTTATGTGATCTTCTCGAAAACTACATGTCCAATTGACCTCAAAATCTGCAGTTAGCAGGGTATACATGTATTAAATCTTCATATAACAACGTTGTGCAGCCACCGCCCAAGAATTTTCGTAGAGAAAAGAAATTGCAATGCCGTAAAAATCGCTTGCTAGCTCCGTAAATGTCAATGAAATCCTACAATAAAGTGTCTGCTCCTAGATTAAAATACAAATCTGTGTTACAAACTGGTGCTGAAAAATGTACATTGTATGAAAATAATCGATAAACGTGTTTTAAATGTACACAGGATCAATTAAATCCAAAGCATGCACTGCTCGTGAACTTTGATCAAAACATCAATTACCTACAATGAGGAAAGAAATACATTGTGTGTATTCCATGCTATATATGTTGTCTGTCCAACGTGTCCACCTAAAAAGAAATAAAAATGCTAAGTTTTCGCTATTATAAAGCCTCGTCACGTGACGCCACAACCTACATGGCGCGAGACAAAGACGCGCGCGGGACCTGAAATAGAACAAAAATTTTCCAAACTAAATATAAAAACTTAACCATGCCAAGAAATTGCCTCCGTTGAAATTCTGCAAATATCCCATAGAGCAAATTACATGGATGATTAATATTGACCATTTGGTATATGGCTGTGTTCTAAGCGACACGTACATGAAGGTCATAAATTAATTTGTTGAATGAAATCAAATCTTTAACTACTAATGGGTGCCGTAGGAGGTCTACCGGAATTTTTAGCTTGGATTTCTTGGCATGTATTCATATTATTGTCCTTTTTAATGTTTGATGCTAACAAAATCAATTTCAAAACAAACACTGTGACTTTTATCGTATTTTTGAAATGCCACAATTCAATAATTCAATTAAAAAATTTTTTGACGAAGTAAAAAAAACAAAAAAAAAAACAGTCCCATTATTTTTGTTGTTGTTTATACACCCATATCAACCTGACTTACTGATAAATATAAAAATAAAAAGATGTGGTATGATTGCCAACTTATGAGACAACTCTCCAGAAGAGACCACATGACACAGACTTTAACAACTATAGGTGACCGTGTATATACGGTTAAGAAAAAGTTTTAAAAGTCTTTGGTGCGTTAAAATATAAAATGATATTAATCAAAAGTAGTATGTACACAGCACAAATGCGGCAATATGATTCACCACTATGATTAAAAATGTTATTTACAACTAACAAAATAATCGATAAGTGCCCTACCAAGGCTAATATTAAAAGTATAAAATATGTAACTTGGTATGCTGGTATTTATAGACTGAACAAGTTTGCTTGGCATCCCATGCAGACTCTACAGACTATATTTAATATTGCGGTCTTGGTTTATTGATGTTTATATAGAGTACATGCCGGTTAGCTTGGCATCCCATGCAGACAGTACAAACTATATTTAATATATTTAATTATTGTAATGAAGCGTATAATTTATAGGTCATTAGCAAGTAACATTTTTAACTTAAAAACTGGAGAAGTTAAAATCTAAAATGCTTAAAATATTAATAATTCTCATGTCACTTTGTATCGCATAAAAGTTTTGTACGCCTCATTTGTAAATGGTAGCATAGGTCTTGTGTTTCCCTTTCTATATCAAGTATCTTGTCTATTGGCTGATTACTCAATAAGTCTAGTGCAGAGCAATCCAATATAATTTCCAATAAATCAGCTCTTAGATGCCAAGCCTTTTAGAAAAGCTATTACTTGTTTTATTTTATTAATCTGCGCATGTGTCAATTGGCACCAGTTTGTTTATTTCCGGTTTCTGTTCGAGAGTCGGGAATCAATATCGTTGTTGCCTGCATCAACTGAGATGTATTACGACCAAGGAGGGATGGAATATGAACTTGAAGAGGACAAACTGTAAGCCCTAGTCCCATTCTCAACTGATTCCCGAGTTGTCTTCGGAGGAACACAACCCGTGGCCACGTGTTCATATTTTGTCCTGTTTTAACGAGTCTTTGACTTTATGTTATTGAATTTAAATTTTAATAGTTTAAATCCAAGTGTATATATTGGTATATATTAGATGATGTACGTTGTATGATACCTACTCTGGTATTAAATATTTCTGTACAAGTGTATTCCATAATTTTTACTGCTTATTTTCATGCTTCATTTGTCAAAAATCACATGACATGATGATTTAAATGACAATTATACGAACGTATGGCACATAGAGGGACGTGGCACAGTCACTAAGTATTCTTTTTTAATCAAAGTTATTCAGTAAAGATTGTTTTTTTCAGCCATGAAGTTTTAAGGTACTGAAATGACCTTGAAGAATCTTTATAATGTATGCTACACTTACCTTTAGATTGTCCAAAAATTATGACCTCTTAAAAGCTATTTTAATTTTTTGCTGTGACGCCTTCTTTCAAGACATAATTTTTTGGACTAACCGTTAGAGTGTTATTTACATGTCTTAAAAGGGTTGTTTATGTCTAGCGAGCATACATTTATAGATAGAATTGAAAAAAGATCATGTGTCCCTTTTCAATCTAATAAGTCCACTTTTCCCTGTACACATATACATGGGGGTATATAAACCAGAAGATAGAATGTTATATGTATATGTACAGTGTCTTATTCTAAGGGGAGAACTAATAGAGGGGTGCTGTACCTAATCCTCAACATTTTATGTCTAGTGCTCATTTGAAGAATAGAAGTAAAAACCATGACATTCTTCCTCCAACCCTCACCCATGCATCAGATGCTTCAAATGCACACAGCTTAGTATGGACACCTGGCCTGATGTAGATATGATATGTGTATGTACTTAATAATGACACCATGAATGAAAGTTGATTCAATTTTGAATAAATCCAACATGGCATTTCAGGAGAAACAAAAACATAGATAGACCAACAAAATTAGTTTCATAACAAAAAGCCAGAAATACGTTATTTATATGCCAATTTTGTATAATTTCTTGCATATCTACCTGAATCTATGGGGATGACTATTTGCACTTAATCTAAATTTACATATAACTTTGTTGTCTTTCAAAATAATATGAGAACACCCCTTCCCATGATTGTTTCTGTGGAAATATTTGTTTTTAATGAGTCTGATTGGTTTATCAGTATTCTCCACAGGGCAATCCAGCATCATCCTTAGGGAGTCTGGATCCTAACGAAGATGAATTTTTCTTAGGTTTTATTGTTAAAAACTTAGTTCATCTACCTCTATAACAATGTGCTATAACCTCTATGCCAGGATGGCAGTGGGATTTTTTTGGGGAAAACTAGGTGTAAAAGGCTTCAAAGTCTAGTTTCCATAACTTGAGATATATATTTTTACCTTCTATCTCATACTTTTTTTCTGACTTTATTGTATCATTTTATTGTAAGTATCCTGAATGCTATGTAACCGCAATAATTATTGCACAAAATTGCTTTAGGTGTGTAGGTGAATACTTTGAGACATAAGAATATTAGTGGCTGTGTTAAAGTAAAGATGAACGATTACGATTATGACCTATTACCAACATTTGACATGGACGAGTATGATCCAAATGAGGATGGATTATTAGAGTTTTACTACCAAGAGGACAAACTGTAAGATTAATTAACATTGTCAGAGTTGTACTATTTTCATGTACATTTGTAATTTATTAATGCATGAATGAAATGATAATACACAATGACACAATAGATTGGTTGTCAAGCCATTTTAAAAGAAGGCCTTGCCATAACCAGGCATCCATATTAATTCTTCCAGATGAAGGGTTAAAACAACTGCCAGCCTGTGTTATGATTGGTTGGGGCAGTCAGATACCAGATCAATCTTGGCCTTTGGGATTATTATTCATGACTTACCAAATATTTTAGAAATAAGATTTATGTAATTGTTTAATTTAAATATTTAAAAAAAAAATTGCTGCTGGACTCTCCAGTCTCCAATTAAGTAGTTGATGATTTGGTTTTAGTAAAATGTCTAAAAATTAAATCTTATCAGGAAAATGTATAAACCTTATGAAAATCCTAACAGCTTGGCATAGCTTCAGTATATACCCACAGGGTTATAAACAATTATTTTTTTTATATAGGGGCATGACAGTGACATCTGGCAGTGTAGTACTCCAGAAAGATGGCCAGAATTTGATTGGTATAAGTATTGGAGGTGGAGCTCCACTCTGTCCCTGTCTGTATATAGTACAGATCTTTGACAACACACCTGCCTCTAAAGAAGGTACTCTTGCCTCTGGTGATGAACTGGTAGGTGTCAGTGGACAGTCTGTTAAAGGGAAAACCAAAGTAGAGGTGGCCAAGATGATACAATCTATAAAGGTAAAGATAATATACAAGCAGGTGTACATATTTGTATTTAATATGTAATAAAAATATTAAATTTAATGTGCTTTTTTTGTGGATTAAGTATATTATAGGATTAAAAAAACATTTTTTGGGGGTTAACTGATGTTTAAACTAGGGGATTAACTCACAAACTGAATAAAAGTCCAAAGGCCTATATGTTAAGTTTGTGAGTAAGCGACGCAGCTACACATCAATAACCTCTAAAAAAAACATGTTTAATCCTTATAATTCTTAAGCCAAACATTCACAATTTTTAAAAAACAATTTTTGTTCATTGGCTCCTATTTACCGGTACCATCAAATGCACAATTGACATTTTGTAACTAAGGAGTTAGCCGCCAGATTGACTTTCTGTAAACCATAAATGTTCACAATTGATTAAAGCATTAGAATCTAAAGTGAATTAACACTTACCTCAAAAACTTCATTTTAATGAGATATTATCCGAAGTTGAAGTGCACAAGTAACAGAATAATCTTCAGCTTGACAGTTTTCATTTGTATGATGTCATGTTTTGCCATGACGTTAATGCGCCAAAATCATTCATGAAATTTGCAGAATTTTTATGCCCCCGTCGTAGCGGTGGGGGCATTAAGTTTTACCCTTGTCCATTTGTACGTACGTATGTCCCAAATTTGGTTTCCGTTCTCTAACTTGAGTTTGCCTCAACCAAATGTTATGAAACTTATACACAATGCTTATTACCACAAAACACAGATCAAATTTGAATTTTGGTGGCATCACTTTAACTGTTCTAGAGTTATGCCCCTTTATAAATGGAAAAATTGCAAAATTTTTAGTTTCCGTTCTCTAACTTAAGTTTGCCTCAACCAAATGTTATGAAACTTATACACAATGCTTATTACCACAAAACACAGATCAAGTTTAAATTTTGGTGGCGTCACTTTAACCGTTCTAGAGTTACAACATGTATGCCCCTTTATAAATGGAAAAATTGCAAAATTTTTAGTTTCCGTTCTCTAACTTAAGTTTGCCTCAACCAAATGTTATGAAACTTATACACAATGCTTATTACCACAAAACTCAGATCAAGTTTAAATTTGGGTAGCGTCACTTTTACCGTTCTTCAGTTATGTCCCTTTATAACTATATGATATGCAAGCGGGGGCATCATCTGTGTCCACATGTGGACACTATCCACATTTATTTATTTTATATATTTTCCAAGCTTGAATGCAATATTTCTTTTTGTTATGCATTAGAATAGAAATACCAGTCTGACACTGTTATGTCTTTGCTTTTACAATCTCAATTTGCTTGGAACCCCTGGATCCCATACATGAGTTTCGTGCAAGGATAGAACTCAGTGAAGGTTACGAAAGTAGTTTCGGCAACATGGTTTATCAAAGTTTAAATCAAGGAAAGAATTCTAACGGACCAATCTGATTTAAGTTTTTGTAGATCTGCAAATTATGTAAGATCAATATGGTGGTAAACTGTTTGTAATTTTTGACAAATAAATCAAACTATAAGTTTTGAACTGTATATTTGGACAAATGTAATGCTCTTGTGTAGAAAAAACTATAAAAACCTGTTTCAAATGAGTTCTCGAAATCTGTTATTCCCTGATGGTCCAAGAACAAAAACTTAGTGGTCCTCACTATTATTTCTATTACAAAATACCAAAACTGTATGTCCTTTGCAAAATTTTGGTGGTGAGGACCTTCGGACCATCACTTTTGGAAAACTCTGTTTTAAAGTTGAATAATGATTCAATGAATACTGTTGCTGAAGTTTTCCAATGTTTATACATGTCATTTAATTTGCTTTGCATAGAACTTTTAAATAATCACAAGGTCAGTAATGGTCTATGTACTTCAGCAATTATATGATATAGATTTGTATACTGATACTTCACCAATTTAATCACCACTTTTTACTCTATATTTTTATAAAATTTGATGTATAATCAGGGTTTCCCCTGGTTCATAATTTTTTTGTCACCTCTTTCGCCACTCTGATTTTTTATCGCCAACTTAAATGAATATATTTTTGTTTAGAACTTGTTTTCCTTCTTGCTAACAAAAATATCAGTTTGCAGCATTGTTTTCTCATTTATTATAATTCTACACATCTTTTTTATTATCTACATTGTAATAATTAATCAATTAAGAATTAGAACAAAATTATTTTATAGTACTTTTTAAAAGATACTCTAAAATTTGACTCTAGAAACAAAGGATTCATCTTCAATCAGTTGATTGGATACTTGGGGAATTTCCTATCCAGTAAAAGGACAAAGAATTAAGCCAGATATTTTTCTAACATCTGAACCCTTTCTTAAAAACAACAGTTTACTTTTCCGGACCATCTTTAAAAGTAAATGTTGAGATGTAAAAATATGTTTAAAACAGGTATGCCGCTAAAAGGATTGTGAATTACAAACTTCAAAACAAATATTTTGATCAAAGTTGTTAAAAAAAACATTTAGTTGACATGTGTCGCTATTTTACCACACATGTTAATTTAACAAAACAATTAACACCTTTATTAATTAGTCCATTGTTGTTGATTGCTATCAAATATTTTCAGCTGATTATTGATTTTTCTGTCAAAATCGATAGGTGAAATCCTAGTATTGTCTGATCAGAGAAAAAGTCAAAGAAACCAGAAAAAAATTAACATGATGGACAAAGTCAAACTGTTATTATTTCTTTTGCTAATTCTTTTGCCAGTCATGATTTTAATCGCCAAAATTTTTATTTTTTCGCAAATAGGAAATTGGCAACCGCCAGAAGAAACCCTGTCTAATGATATTTCACCAATTTAATCATCATGTTATACTCAAATATTTTTATATCATTGGATAACCCAGAACTAGTCTACATTTTACTAAAGTTAAAATTTGAATTTAGGTTTATTCTTAGACAAATTTTACACTGTCATAAAAAAATTTAACAAAATTCTTCGATAGAAAGTTACAATATGCTATGCAAGGGTCATTTGTAAAGTTTTGTTGTACTATTCATTTCCCACAGTCAGATTGTTTAACATAGCAATACATTATCACTTCTACACTTTCCTCTGATTACTTACTTTAGGGAACCTCATACTTTTTGCTATGGTTAAGTAATGGTTGTGAATATGTAAGTATTTGGTATACAGGACAAAGATAGTAACAGGGAATACCAGGACAATGAAGCAAGATTTTTACAATAAATTTATATAACACCATAACAGTTCCCATGTCCAGTTGTGATTTTCTTTTTTTTACTTACAGGAGGAAGTGACAATCAATTACAACAAACTACATGCTGATCCCAAACAAGGCAAATGTTTAGATATAGGTAAGTTTAAAATAGATTCAAAAAGTTAGTGTTTTTTTCACACTGAAGTGCTGAAAATTTATTTGTAAAACTACCTCGGGCAAAGTTGACCTTGGATGGATTTGGCTATTATTTTTAGGTCCTTTTTGGTCTTATAGCTCCAACTGTTTCGGTTCTTATACATTCTTGCTTTCAAATTTTCGCTTTAGGTGTTCCTGATGAAGGTATATCCAGAAAAGCCCTCCGAAAACATATAATTTTGAAGTGTTTGTTAAATTTTTTTTACTAAACCTGTTTTTGTCTCACCTTGGGACATGCAAGACATACATATTACTATCAGGCGGCAGTGTAAACTATTTGTATAAAGCTTTATATTTCTGTAGGTAGAAGACCTGGATGCATCATATCTTGTATGCAGATACCTTAGGTTACGAAGTTTCTGTCAATCACATGTCCATTGTCCTTGACCTCGTTTTCATGGTTCTAAAAATTTGAGTTTTTTTGTCATGTGAATTTCTCACTTATTATTAGTAATAGGATAACTATATTTGGTATATGGGTTCCTTGCAACGTTTACATGTCCGTCAGACAGAGTTCACCTGACCTGGACCTCATTTCATGGATCAGTAATCAAGGTTAAAGTAACTTGGTTAGGTCTGTTTCTCAAATGCTATAAGAAGTAGGTCAACTATATTATTGTAATGGGTACATGTCAGTCTGTCAGGTTTCATCCTACCTTGACCTCATTTTCATAGTTCATTGGTCAATTTTAAGTTTTTATGTTTTGGTCTGTTTTTCAAGTACTTTAAGAAATAGGTCAATTATATTTGGTATATGGAATGATTGTAAGGTGTACATGTCCAACTGGCAGGTATAACCTGACCTTGACCTCATTTTCATGGTTCAGTGGTCATAGTTTAGTTTTTGTGTTTTTGTCTGCAAGTACTATAAGCAATAGGTCAACCATATTTGGTGTATGGAAAGATTGTAAGGTGTTCATGTCTGTCTGACAGGTATCATCTGACCTTGACCTCATTTTCATGGTTCATTGGTCAATGTGAATTTTTTTTTTGTGTTTTTGTAAGTTTTTCAAGTACTATAAGCAATAGGTCAACTATATTTGGTGTATGGAATGATTGTAATGTGTACATGTCTGTCTGGAAGGTATTCCTCTGACCTTGACCTAATTTTTATGGTTCAATGTTTAATGTTAAGTTTTTGTGTTTTGGTCTGTTTTTCAAATACTAATAGCAATAGGTCAGCTATATTTGGTGTTTGGAATAATTGGAAGGTGCACATGTCTGTCTGGCAGGTATCATCTGACCTTGACCTCATATTTATGGTTCATTGGTCAATGTTAAGTTTTTGTGTTTTGGTCTGTTTTTCAATTAGCATAAGCAATAGGTCAACTATATTTGGTGTATGAAAAAATTGTAAGGTGTATATGTCTGTCTGACACAATTTATCTGACCTTGACCTCATTGTCAAAGATTTAAAAAAATGTTAAGTTTCTGTAATGCTTTTAGTAAAACCTTTATCTTTAAGACTTTCAGCATAAAATCAATTGTCAGTAAAGCAGGAGAGACATTTCAGAGTGTGCACTCTTGTTTTAATAAAAGTCAGAAAATATCAGACAGTACAATGTATCTAACAAAACAGTAATAATAATTGATAATAATAATACCTATATGAACCAGGAGAATAGAGGTTGATTGGTAACACCAAACCATTCCTAGTAGCAATGTGTTGATAGTAATTACTTCACGAGAGAACAAAATCTTGTTCAAGGAAATATTTGATTAGCATACCGGATCAACTATTTTTACTGGAGTTATGCCCTTGGAAATTATATTGAAAATTGCATTGGAAGTAATCTCACACCTACATTTCTTGTAGGATATTTATGAAAAAGTTTTAAAGAAAAAATAAATATATTGGAGTTATTTCCCTTGGACATATAAAGTATACGTATTGGCATAATATATATTTTTTTTTATCTTATTTTAGTTTTAAAGAAAGTGAAGCACAGAGTGGTAGAAACCATGAATACAAATACAGCAGATGCATTAGGACTAAGTAGAGCTATCTTGTGTAATGGTAAGATAATTTGGTAGACATATTTGTCCTTTATGATGGCAACAGATCTTGTAATGCATATCACTGTTTTTAATTTGTTAAATTGTAGAATATGCATTATAAACATGGTAAAAATCTTTTTAATCATAATCAATTCATAGCAATGCTCAAATGTTATGAAATAACTGTTGTAATTCATATTGCTTTATATGTATGAAGAGAAATGTGAATCATATAATCTGCTTAACAAATACTGATGGATACTACCATCTTGATTTTCATGAAACTTGTTACATTTTTGTCGAGCCTTCGACTTTAGTCGAAAAAGCGAGACATAGCGATCCTACATTCTGTCGTCATCGGCGGCGTCCACAAATATTCACTCTGTGGTTAAAGTTTTTGAAATTTTAATAACTTTCTTAAACTATCCTGGATTTCTACCAAACTTGGACAGAAGCTTGTTTATGATCATAAGATAGTATCCAGAAGTAAATTTTGTAAAAATAAAATTCCTGTTTTTCCGTATTTTACTTGTAAATGGACTTAGTTTTTCTGCCGGGAAACATTACATTCACTCTGTGGTTAAAGTTTTTAAAATTTCAATTACTTTCTTAAACTATCCTGGATTTGTACCAAACTTGGACAGAAGCTTGTTTATGATCATAAGATAGTATCCAGAAGTAAATTTGTTAACAAAAAAATTTCCATTTTTTCCGTATTTTACTTATAAATGGACTTAGTTTTTCCGTCAGGAAACAATACATTCACTCTGTGGTTAAAGTTTTTAAAATTTTAATAACTTTCTTAAACTATCCTGGATTTGTACCAAACTTGGACAGAAGCTTGTTTATGATCAAAAGCTAGTATCTAGAAGGAAATTTTGTTAAAATTTTGTACCTGTTTATCCGTATTTTACTTATAAATGGACTTAGTTTTTCTTCCAGTTAACATTAGATACAGTCTGCAGTTAAAAGTTTTTAAAATATTTATTAGATTCATAAACTATCCTGGATTTATACCAAACTTTGACAGAAGCTTCTTACAATCAAAAGATAGTATCTAAAGGAATATTTTTATTGATTTTTTTCCTCATTTTTGTTGAGCTTGCGATTAACAGCAAAAGTAGGCGAGACACTGGGTTCCGTGGAACCCTTACAAATTTTATTAACATAAAATCAAAGGTTAAAGGTAGCAATCTAAAGTTGCACATTTTCTGAGAACTTAGATAAACATGATATCTTCAATCATGTTTTCTTCCATCTGTTTGAGAACTTAAATAAACATGATATCTTCACTCACTTTTTCTTCCATCTGTTTGAGAACTTAAATAATCAACAATGGGGTTTTTAATCATTACTTTCATTCATTAAATTTTCTTGTTTCTAGATGGACTGGTAAAGAAACTAGAAGAACTAGAGAAAGTTGCAGAAATGTATAAAGGCTTAATAGGTCTTACCAAGTCATTATTGAAGACAACATTTGAATTATCTCAGTCTCATAAGGGTATGTAATTGTACGGCAAGGTCTCACAAACAAGTGAGGGCCTCGATGACTGTGTGGTCTTAAGTAGTCCAACTACTGTATCATTAGCCTTTCAACACTGAGGTTGTGAGTTCGTATCTGGCACGTGGCAGGTGCGTTAGACTCAAATCTTAATTGACTAGGATTGTCAGTTTTCTTACAGAAGGTAGTGGTTCTCTTGGGCTTCCCCCGTCAATAAAAATTGACTGCCAAGTAATAGCAAATAGTGCTTAAAGTGGCGTTAAACACCAATCAATCATTCTCACAAACAAGGGTAAATGTCTTTATTTGTCTGTCATGGATCTTTTGTCATGCACCAATGTGAATAGAGCTTAGACAATAGGCTAAAATATTTAACATTGTAATTGTTGGTACATGCAATCAAAGCTAATAAAGTTTAAGTGAAAAAATTGCACATTGAAAAAAACTGATAACCAACTGTTCAACAATTATACTGTAAATAACTATTTAACTAGCTATCTAAAAAAAAAGGTAAACATTAAAATACCTGTTCATCAGACAATTTCAGGATTTATAGGAGGGATTGTACTTGACCCTGCATCAAGTCAGATTGAATTTATAGTACAAAGTGTGCATACACATTCAAAATTAAATTTTGTTGTCAAAAAGTACTTTCAAACATTTCAAAACATCAAAAGATGATGTAGTTCTAAAAATCAAAGTTGACATTCATTACACATTTTAAATGTCTAAATTGTTACAAGTCTTCCAGGCAATCGTAGATAAATTAATACCGCACTGAGTGAGTTCATTGCAGTTTTCCTTGAATCTTTTTACCTAGTCGGTTTTCCAGCAGAAATCTATTATGTTCACATTTTTAATATCGCATAAAATCTTTGTAAGTTTATTTATTTCTGATGTTATTACAGCATTTGGAGAAGTATTCTCAGCAATAGGAGTAAGAGAGCCTCAGCCTGCTGCTAGTGAAGCATTTTCTAGGTTTGGAGAAGCTCATCGCAATATGGAAAGATTTGCTATCAAAATGTTGAAAACAGCTAAACCTGTAAGTCTACACAAGGGTATTGGAAGGACTTGCTGATGTGTTACAAGCATGTGCAAATGAAATTAAGTGGTATTTTAATATGTTGAAATTAAATGTGAACGACCATCTTTCTTATTTATAGTTACAGAGCATTGTACAAAGGATACATTTTATCTTAAAATTGTTAGTTAAAAAAATAACCAAAAGGATGAACTGTGTTCACTTTGGGCTGATAATCAGGTTCAGTAATGTGTAGTCTGATCACCTATGTTTTATTTTTTTTATTATTTCAGTCTATGTTTAGGCGTACACAGTTTTGTAATTCCGTAATATATGTTGAATTTTCTTGATTTTCTGTTGTTTTACTGTTATTTGATAAAAATATAGCTTTCACAAATTTTGTCCACCACGGATAATTTTGTTCTAAACGGAGACTACTGAAACTTACTCAAAATTATTTTTTAGTCCTGTCAGAAATAGTCAAATCCATTGTGTACGGCAGGCAACTCTTTATGTTCATTTCATTTGAAACATGTGAAAAACATCGGCTCTAAAGAATAAAAATGTCGAATGGGAATATACAGAAGAAAAAATTGAAAGAAAATTCCAATGTTTTCACAACTTTTTTCCTAAACATTTAAGCTATGTTTGAACAAGTTACCGTGTGTGCATTAAACTCAAGAAATTTGTTAATTTCTGTGGTAACTGCATGCCAACCTAAAAGATGAATTTTAAAGGCAAAGCTTAACTTGGTGATATGTATTTATACATTTCCGTTGACTTTTAACATTATTTTTTCCATTTTATAATTAGTCCATGTCACAACTGTATGTCCTTTCTCCAAAAGTTAAACACAATCCTTGTAGCTTAATTATTTTTCATTTTTCCATGTCAAAGATTTATACTATTGAGGACATATTTGGAACTTTAATGAAAGTTAATAATTTTTTGTTAACCGACTTTTCGTGTTGACCTATCTTTATGAAATATGTGGTCTTCATATTTTGTTGCCATTTCATTTACAATTCCATCAATACTAGTTCAAGTTATGTTATATTATTATATCAAATGTTGATTTATACTTTAGATATGTTAACGTTTACAAATACAGCAATAATTAATCCTTTGAAAATAAAAGATTGGTTACTATATGTTAAGATGTTTGTATCTGTGTAAGATGGCATGTGTCACAACAACCAACTATATGAAGATTTCCTGGATACATACATTTAAATTGAGCAGAGAAAATTGTAGACACACTTTTAGTTATGAATTTAGATGTTACCAGCAAGAACTATGTATGATACCTCTGAATAAATTATTTTTAATTGACTATTTCAGATGATAACAGATTTAAACACATACCTTAACAAAGCAGTTCCTGATACAAGACTTACTATCAAGAAATATCTTGATGTCAAGTTTGAATATTTAGTATGTATGAATATTTTATCATACAATATACAAGAAATATCTTGATGTCAAGTTTGAATATTTAGTATGTATGAATATTTTATCAATAATTATAAAATTAAAATAATAATTCATTCATTAGTTAAGTTCAATTATGTTCATTTATGGATGTATCTCATTCAAGTAAATTGTAACCTTGTAAAGTTACTCTTGCATTTTGACACTTTTTATTGAAAAAAATAGATTTATTTAAAATACTACTGCAAAATGTCTGATTTTTAAATAGATGCAAATAATAACTCATTTAGGACAAGAAGTATTGTTTATAACATTTTTTTTTCTCAGAACCTAATTAAGATATCTCTCTGCTGTAAGCCAGAGGCTAATTTGAACCAAACTGCCTAAATATAGATTGAGAGTCAAACAAAAAAGGCCATAATTGCTATGAACAAAAATAAATCACTATATAAATAACACATAGCTGAGAGGGTGATAGAGCAGATTGTTACCCTGAGAAAACATTGTCAACTGAGACATTCTCCCGCTCAGCCATGGGATAGAGTAAATTATTAGCCAATCAAAATCTGGCATTTTAATGTGAAGAATAATTTTAATAATTATCCAATGTGGGTGCCATCAAGAGTCTAGCTTTAATTAGAACCATTTTTGAAAAAAAACCCTGCCTGTTACTAGTTGGTACATTTCAACCAAACTATTTTTTGAAGTGTGTTTTGAATAGAAATCTGATGAACGATACAAGAATCTTTGTTCCTCCAGTTGAGTGTTGTGTTAGTGCTATTAACAACAAAATATTCAGGATATTAAAGTAATAAAGATATGGTGTAACATACAATGATCATTTAAAAAAAGGTTCTTTTTTTTAGATGTATTTTTTAAATTATTCTTTTAAATTGAGATGTATTTTATCCTGAATTTGAACCCAAATATTTAATGATTTTTTTCTTGAATTTTCAGGCATACTGTTTAAAGGTTAAAGAAATGGATGATGAGGAATATAGCTATGCTGCATTACAGGAACCGCTTTACAGAGTAGAAACAGGAAATTATGAATATAGGTAAATTAAAGTAAATTTTTCATAATTAAGTACAGGTAAATAATAATATAACACACCAGAGAGACTAATTTACATTTCAGTTTTCAGCAACAGAAGTGCATTGTGTATTTCAGTGTTCTCCCCAGAAATTTTGGATAGCATCACATTTGGCGTAAAAAAATAAACATTTTTTTTCAATGACATTTGACGTGTCGCGGCGATGATCTATTTCCTTTATGTTATATATTTTTATATTGTTCAATTCATAAATGAGAATACAATTAAACTATAACCATGATAACAGTTGTTTCAGTTTATGTTTTCTATATTCATTTATAGTTACAGAATTATTTTTTTCCTCTTGGACCAAATAAAATTTATGTGTGGTTCCAGTTACCCTACCTACTCAACTAAATGAATGAATGAATGAATGGTTTATTATAGTGCAACCAGTATATATACAATACTAAATATCTAGCAAAAAAAAGAACTGGTTTTTATATAAAAAGGGAAGAAAAAGTATCATATAGCAATAAAATTTCAATTAAAAAACTTTTTTCTTTATTATGTCTATGAAATTCATTGTTTAATGGTACTCAATGAATTAGTCCCAGTTGTTTCTTTATATCAAAATGATATATATTTTTAACAAAGTTAAGCTACTTTAGCATGTTTAGTCAGTATATTAAAACAATGCTTTTTCAAAGAGAATACATTTAGCAAAGATATCTAATAAATAGTCTGTTCATGCGTGTGGAATGCGTAGTTTTCTCTTTTGTGATCATTTTTTCTGTCTACTGTGCCATGTGTGCATCTGTAGTTATTATCATAAAAATGCGGAATTTTGTCATATCTGGTCTGGTCCGGTTCCGATCCGTAGTTTACACAAATATAATGGCGGCGGATGAAAAATTTACGAAAATAAACAATGTTTGACAAGAGATTGGGAATGCATATGACGCTTTAAATGCATTAAATGGATGAAACATTAACTAAAGCCAATTATGGTCTCTTTCTAAAGAAGTATCAAACTTATTTAACTCAAAATCAAAATGTTTAATATACGCCATGTACGCTCTCGATTAACTAGATACCGGGAATGAAAGAAAGTAATTTTTTAAAAGTTGTAAAAATATACGACCTAACCTCTTTTCTTAAAGAGAGAAACCGTTTGTATCTTTGAATTTAGATTATGCAAATGTAGATTTCGAATTGTTTGTCGATTTTCTGATTAAATTTTCTCCATGTTGAAATTTGCGATTGAACCACGTGGTATTAGTCATGTCACAAGTGTCAGCTTGAGGTATTCGTATCCATTCAGTTATCACCCAAAGGGCAATTTACACCTATTTAATCACTCTAAATTGCCTCTATTGTCGGACTTGAAGGGATTACAATTAAAGGTGATATAATTATACGCCCGTTTACGGGACATATTATGGTATACCGTTGTCCGTCTGTCCGTCCGTCTGTCCGTCGTCTACATGTCGGACATTAACTCAAAAATGCTTTAACCAATTTGCATAAAACTTTGGTGAATTGTTTATATCTATTGACGTGAGCTCCCTTTCGTTTTTTATAAAATTTAGATTTTACGTTTCCGAGTTATGGGATTTTATTCATTAAAAAAAGGGGGATTTTCCAGTTTTCAGACAATAAGTTAAGAATGCTTTCACCAACTTGCAAGAAATTGTGGTGAATTGTTTATATCTATTGACATGAGCTCCCTTTTGATTTTTATAAATTTTAGATTTCACGTTTCCGAGTTACAGGGTTTTATTCATAAAAAAAGGGGGGATTTTCCAGTTTTCGGACAAAAACTCGAAAACGCTCCCAGCAATTCTTATGAAACTTTGGTGAATTGTTTGTATGTATTGATGTAAGCTTCCTTTAGAATTTTATAAATTTTACATTTTACATTTCTGAGTTATGGGGTTTTATTCATTAAAAAAGGGGTGATTTTCCAGTTTTCAGACAATTACTCAAAAATGCTGTCACCAATTCTCATGAAACTTTGGTGAATTGTTTATATCTATTGATGTAAGCTCCCTTTTTATTTTCATAAATTTCTAATATAACATTGAGAATTAATTGAACTTTATTTGTTTATAGTCTGACAACAGATTTACTAAGTATTGCACAACAGCATAAATTCAATTCATATAACCAATTTCAAGTTCTTTGAATACATTTATTCAGAAACCTATAAGATGTCAAATATTTAATTACAATCCAAATTCAGACCTGAATCAAGCTTGAATATTGTGTCCATTTTTGCCCCAACTGTTCAGGGTTGGACCTCTGCGGGCGTATCTAGCTGCGCTCAGCCAAGCAGTTTATTTTTATGATCACAAGCGGTAATTAGATGAAAGTTCAAAATTTAGGACATGGTTTTGCGATATAGAGACAAGAAAAATAGCATCCTCAAAATAATTATAGCGTCGCGGTAATTATTATAGCATCACGGAAAAAATATATAGCGTCTCGGTGCCGCGACGCTAAAACGGCCTGGGGAGAACACTGTATTTGTTGAATACATTTATGCTCACCTTGCCTAAGTTTTTTTTATACAATGACTGCATGATAATAAAGCCAGAGCTAAAAATCTGTAGTAGTATGTGGATAATTCAATCTCATAAGACATTTGAACCCATGTAAAAGTGCCATGCACCTGTTTTGAAATGTGATGAGGCATGTGTTCATTTTACGGTAATTATGATAAAACTTTGCTGTTAAATATACATGTAGAATAATTAAAAGGTATTGCAAATCTCTAATGGTGAAGAGTGATATAGAATGTTACTAAAAATATTTTATTTACAGATTAATATTAAGATGTCGACAAGATGCCAGGACCAGATTTGCTAAAATGAGATCAGATGTCTTAGTGAAGCTTGAACTCTTGGATCAGAAACATGGTAAGTGGGCATTTAAAAATAAAAATCTTCAGTAGAGGTAGAAAAATAAAAATCTTCAGTAGAGGTAGAAGAATAAAAACTGCATTCAGAAATTGATGTGATGGTTAAATTATTTTTGCAAAAATTGCGATGAGATAGTTGTCACAAAAATAATTTTTTTTTATAGCATTATTTGTATGGAGCATGTCCTGAAAGTGCTATAATTAAACTTACTAAACTTACATGTGTGTTGATTGTCAAACAATTTCAATAATAAATGAACACAATGATTTCTAAATTTAGAAATAGAAAATTGCTTAATAACTGTTCATGTTAATATTCTATTATGAATATCTATTTCAAATTCAAAATAAAAATCGAACAAAAAAATTGAGAAATTATGCATTTTTATTCGCCTGTCTTAAAGACTGGACGTATTATGGTATATTGTTGTCCGTCCGTCGTCAACACCCCAGACAATAACTTGTAAACGCTTTCACCAATTTTCATGAAACTTATGTGAATTGTTTATATTTGTTGACGTAAGCTCTTTTTTCGATTTTTATAAATTAACGATTTTATATTTTTGAGTTATGGGATTTTATTCATAACTTTTATTTGTGTCAATGGGTACCGCTGTGTGTGCATGACTTTTTGTTTTGGGTGGGTGGGGGGTCTATTTGAGCAGTGCTCACAGTATTTCTAGTTGATCATTAAAACTCATTTAAAGCATAAAGACAAGCTAAAAGGGCGACAGGCATATCATGTGCTCATGGCACAGCTCTTTAATCTTATTACCTGAGTTTCAAAGGTTAAAAGGGAAATCATGCAAAGATGGAGTATAATATTGAAATAATATTTCTAAGAAAATATCAAATATTAACTTTTAGGTGAAAATGCAATACATTAAAAATAACAGTACAACATGGTATCGATAAAACTTCTTTCTACATTTTATGTCAAACATCATAAAGCAGCATCAGATTTCTCACATAATACGATTTCACACAATTTTGTATATCTGATTTGCAAAAAGTATGATAAGTAAAACAAACATACAATATCCACCTATAGAGCTCATCAGGCAGCACCTTAAAGGCTTTATTTCTTACTTGGATATCTGTATAGACTATGGGAAAAGACAGTTTTATAGTTTAACTTGTTGTCTGTAAAAGGAGAAATCATCAAGAAAACAATTGGTGTAGTCTAGTAAGGTTTTTATGCCCCCGCCGTAGCGGAGGGGGCATTAAATTTTACCCTTGTCCGTCTATACGTACATACATACGTATGTATGTACGTCCCAAAATTGGTTTCCATTCTCTAACTTGAGTTTGCCTCAACCAAATGTTATAAAACTTTTACACAATGCTTATTACCACAAAGCACAGATCAAGTTTGAATTTTGGTGGCGTCACTTTAACCGTTCTATAGTTATGCCCCTTTATAAATGGAAAAATTGCAAAATTTTTATTTTCTTCTAAATATCAAGTAATTTTTTAAATTGGAGTTATCTTCCTTTGTCCATGATTATAGTTGAATCAACTACAACCAATGCTTTATACAATGCAATGTTTAATTTGACTTCCACTGATAAAACACAGATAAAGTTGAATTTGGGTAGTGTCACTTTAACCATTATTGAGTTATGCCCCTTTATAAATCGACAGATTGCACAATTTTTAGTTTCTATTCTGTAACTTAAGTTTGCCCCAATCAAACATTATGAAACCTATACACAATATTCATTACCACAAAACTTAGATCAAGTACAAATTTTTTGTTTCCGTTTTCTAACTTTAGTTTGCCTCAACCAAATTATATGAAACTTATACACAATGCTTATTACTACATTATACAGATTAAGTACGAAATTTGGTGTCGACACTTTTACCATTCTTGAGTTATGTCCCTTTATTAACATAAAAATTGCTAAATTTTTCGTTTCCGTTCTCTAACTTTAGTTTGTCTCAACCAAATGTTATAAAACTTATACGCAACCGTTCTAGAGTTATGCGTGTTTACCAATAGAAAAATTGCTGAATTTTTTGTTTCTGTTCTCTACTTAAGTTAGCCTCAACCAATTGTTATGAGACTTGCACACAATGCTTATTACCACAAAACTCAGATCCAGTTCAAATTTGGGTAGCGTCACTTTTACCGTTCTTCAGTTATGTCCCTTTATAACTATATCATATGCAAGCCGGGGCATCATCTGTGTCCAATGACACTATCCACATTTATTAGTCCCCTACCGACGAAGTCGAAGGGGACTTTAGGTTTGCACTCCGTCTGTCTGTCTGTCCATCCGTCAGTCCGGCAAATCAGCTTTCCACACTTTTTCTTCGTTCTTGAAGATATTGATTTGATATTGGTATATAGTTTTATCATGACAAGTTATAGATCAAGTTTGAATTTTGTTCCGGTCTGATTATTTAGTCCAGAGTTATGGACCATATCTAATGTTAGAGTACTATGTTAAACCATATTTCTGTACAAAGGGAGATAACTCATTTTTTAAAAGACATTCTTTGTTATTAAAATTATTTGAAGAATTTTTTGGCAGGTTTGTTTGTTATTTAGTATAAACTAATTTTCTGAATGCTATATATATATATAAAAAAATTATGAAGAGAAATCCTTTGATTAGATAATAATCTATTTTTATTAATGTATATATTTCAATACATTACATTGTGTAGATAAAAGTTGTTGACATTTTATAGATAAGTTACAAATCTATATTAGTTTGTGACAAATGAAAGAAAAAATATTTGGAACTATTAAATTATAATTGATTATAATTTGAAAACAGATATACACTGTATTACATCATATATAATTTTAGAGAACTATTAATCATATCTGATGTTTTTTTCATCATGCTTATAAGATATTGATTGATCATTGGTATATATATAGTTTTATCATGACAAGTTAAAGATCAAGTTCAAATTTTTGTTTCGGTCTGATAATTTTGTGCAGAGTTATGGTCCTTGGACTTGAAAAATTCAAGCATATAATCAGTTTTCCACACCGTTTTTTATTCTTGCTTGAAGATATTGACATGATATTTACTTTTGTTTACACCATGACAAGTTATAGAACAAGTTAGCATTATGTTTCAGTGTAATGTGTTTTTATCTGGTAGGGGACTATGTATTGCCATGCAATACTCTCAGAATGCTTGTTTTTATCTAAGATGTTGAAGGAGAGATGATCTGTTTTAATTTTTATACGCCCGTTTACGGGACGTATTATGGTATACTGTTGTCCGTCCGTCTGTCAGTCTGTCTTCAACATGTCAGACAATTTGCATGACACTTTGGTGAATTGTTTATATCTATTGACGTGATCTCCCTTTTGTTTTTTATAAATTTTAGATTTTAAGTTTCTGAGTTGTGGGGTTTTATTCATTAAAATAGGGGGATTTTCCAGTTTTCGGACAAAAACTCCAAAAACACTTTCACCAATTTGCAAGAACTATGGTGAATTGTTTATATCTATTGACATGAGCTCCCTTTCAAATTTTATAAATTTTAGATTTTACATTTCCGAGTTGTGGGGTTTTATTTATTAAAAAAAGGGTGATTTTCCAGTTTTCGGACAATAACTCAAAAATGCTTTCAGCAGTTTTCATGAAACTTTGGTGAATTGTTTATATCTATTGACGTAAGCTCCCTTTCAATTATTATAAATTTTAGATTTTTCGTTTCCTAGTTATGGGATTTTATTCATAAAAAAGGTGTGATTTTCCAGTTTTCTGACAATATTTTCAAAGTGCTTTGAGGAGTTTTCATGAAACTTTGGTGACTGGTTTATATCTATTAAGATAACCTCCCTTTAGTTTTTTCATAAATTTCTGATCTGACATTAAGAAGTAATTGAACTTTATTCTTTTAAAAAGCGACGGGCGTATCATGCGCTCATGGCGCAGCTGTTTATTAGTCCCCTACCTACTAAGTCGAAGGGGACTTTAAGGTTTGCACTCTGTCCGTCTGTCCATCCATCAGTCAGTCCGGCAAATCAGTTTTCCACACTTTTTTTCTTCGTTCTTGAAGATACTGATTTGATATTTGGTATATAGTTTTATCATGACAAGTTATAGATCAAGTTCGAATTTTGTTCCGGTCTGAATATTTATTCCAGAGTTATCATGGTCCATATCTAATGTTAGAGTACTACAGTTTGTATGTTAAACCATATTTCTGTACAAAGGGAGATAACTGATTTTTTAAAAGACATTCTTTGGTAAATTGTTTGAAGTGTTTGTTATTTTGTATAAACTAATTTTGTGAATGCTATATATATAAAAAAAAATTATGAAGTGAAATCCTTTAATTAGATAATAATGTATTTTTATTAAGGTATATATTTCATTACATTACATTGTGTATAGATAAAAGTTGTTGACATTTTATAGATAAGTTACAAATCTAAATTAGTTTGTGACAAATGAAAGAAAAAATATTTGGAACTATTAATTATATTTGATTATAATTTGAAAATAGATATACATTATATTACATCATATATAATTTTAGAGAACTATTAATCATATCTAATGTAAAGAGTGTTTTCCACACTTTTTTTCATCATGCTTGAAGATATTGATTGATAATTGGTATATAGTTTTATCATGATAAGTTACAGATCAAGTTCAAATTTTTGTTTCGGTCTGATAATTTTGTGCAGAGTTATGGTCCTTGGACTTGAAAAATTCACTCGTATAATCAATTTTCCACACTGTTTTTAGTCATGCTTGAAGATATTGACTTGATATTTTCTTATTGTTTACACTATGACAAGTTATAGAACAAGTTAGCATTTTGTTCCATTATAATGAATTTTTACCCGGTAGGGGACTATGTATTGCCATGCAATACTCTCAGAATGCTTGTTGTTTTATGTTCTGACCTCAAATTTGAGGATTTTGTTTTATAGAGAAATTTTTAATTAAGAAATCATGTTTTTAAAAGTAAACAATATTACTAAAATTACCTTTTGTATAAGTTTTGAATAACATAATGTTAGATGTATATTAATGTGATTTATCATTTATTTTCTACAGTACAAGACATAGTGTTCCAGTTACAAAGATTTGTGTCAGCTATGGCCAAATACCATAATGACTGTCATGGTGTTATGAAAGAAGCTGTTGTGTTCCCAATAGAAGTAGACTTATCAAGAGGAACATTTACATATGATACAACTAATCAGTTTAATGATGAAGAAGACGAAGAGGAGGAACAGGAAGAGGAAGTGATTACAGAGTCCAAAGTGGAGACAACCCCATATAGTGATAACTTAATAAGTACTGATTAAAATGAATGGGAGAGGCTAATGAAAGATGGCTACTACATAATGGCATCCATAAGTGTATATGTTATGATTGAATCTTGTTCTGTTAGGAAACATGACTTTCATTATATGGATAAACTCATCATTTGAGAGAACAAAAAATCATTCAACTGTCTGTTGATTGGAATCTGTTTTTCTAGTTTCAAGAATTAATAAACAATATATGTTTATTATTTTTGTATGACATTTGTCTCTAAAAAAATTTGCTTTTGGAAAGTTGTACTTCTATTATTTTAACCAAAAATTTTGAACTTCATTTTAAATTCACATTACCTCACAACTTCTTTTTGTTTGTACACATATTTTTGTATAATTTCTCTCAGTGAATATTTTCATATCGTTCATTATTTTTCATGTCCAAGTTTTTAACATGAGTAAATAGGGTAGGACATTTTAAGCCTGGCTCATTTGTAAGCCATCTTTTCCTTTGTAACAAGATAGAATAAACTCACTGAAGTGCATTCAAAAATCTGAAGCTGAAGATGCATTTCATTCATATTTTCAAATATAATATCATTTATTTGTTGATCTGCTCTTATTTTATTGAAATCCAGTTTTTACATTCCTTGTTTTGTTGTATTGTGTTATTTATGTACCTTTATGATTTAAAAATGTTATTTTTGAGTAGTTCTCATTTTCCAACACTGAAATCACCATCTTTTGTAGGGTAATCCACTATGTGACAATTGTTATTTTATTCTTTAAATATGGATAACTTAGAAGGCATAGGTGATTTGCTGTTGTTACACCATATATTAACTATATACTGATATCAGCTAAAAAAATAGATCTATTACTGAATCTCTAGTCCTGATGGTAACTTTGAATGGATCTTGTACTGTGTTTAATATATTTCAAGAACATAAATATTTTTCATTTCAATATGAATTTATTTTACACATTTATTGGTGTGATAAAAATGTTGTATATAAGTTCAGTTCTCATTCCAAAACAATAACATTCTCAGATGTTTAAAACTTCAGTTTAATTGTTATCTGTTTATAATTTATACATATTTTATTAAAATGACATTTGTTGTGATTATGTGCAATATTATTAAATTAGATATTAAAATTTGTTGATAAACTTTGTTTTTCTCTTCTTCCTTTTAAAGTCATATGAAATAGAAAAGTTGAATATGTTTTATATACTTGTATGGCTAAGTTTTTCTTTAAACAAGTGTACATGGACTTTTTTGTAAAAAAAATTCCTTTATCTTATCAAATCTTCTGAAATGTACTGCTATTGAATTATTGTCTTCCCATACTTTTATTTGCCCATACCTATTCCTTATGCAGCGACCTGTTGTTAGAAACTTTGACAATTGCAGAGTCATATGACTTTAAAGACATCTTACATGTTATTTTGTAATACTGGTTTACTAGTTACATCTGCCTTATACTTCTTTGGCCACTCTCCAAATAACACTGAAAAAAAGCTGCATCATAAATTTTATATATTATTATAACAAAATAGTTGTCCAATTGGCAATCATACCACATCACCTTATTTTTATATTGATGACACCTCTCAAGCAAATTTTTTGGCACAATATGTATGTTTCTTTTAAACTTAAGACTAGGATATCTTGAAAAGTTGTTAAAAATTTGTTTTCATACCTTATATGTCCTATTGACAATCCAAGGGGTGTTTGTAATTAGACATATATATTGCCTTTGGAAAATGGACATTACCCAGTTTGATCGTCACACCTGCGACATATAGAAATTACAATGCGGTTCAAACTTTAGTTTAAGCAAATATACATTTCAGGGGGTGGTTCATACTTTGTATATAGATGTGTTGCGTTAGAAAGTTTGTCTGTCATATGTCCATAGTCCTAGACTTCATTTTCATGGTTCAATGACTGTTTATTTGTTATGCGAATTTTACACTTTATATGATATTTGGTGTATGGGATCCTTGCAAGGTCTATATGTTCGTCACAGGGTTCACTTAACCATGACCCTATGGATCAGTGATCAAGACTTAAGTTTTCATGGTCAAGTCTGTATCTTAGATATTTTAAGTAGTAGGTCAACTATATTTTGTATATGGAATGATTGTAAGGTTTAAATGTCGGTCTGGCAGGTTTCATGGATAAGTAATCATGGTTAAGTCTGTGTTTTTAAGTCATTTTCTCCGATACTATAAGCAATAACTGTACCTGTATACTGTGTATGGAATAATTGGGAGTACATGTCTGTCTGGCAGAGTTCATCTGACCTTGACCTCATTTTCATGGTTCATTGGTAAGGTCTGTTTCTCCAGTTCTATAAGCATTAGGTCAAATATAGTTGGTGTATGAAATGATTGTATGGGTTGGTTCAAGTGACCTTGACCTTATTTTCATAGTGCAAAAGTCATTGTTATGCTTTTACGATTAAGTCCATTTGCTCATTATAAGCCATAAATGTGGTGAATGGAATGATTGCTAGGTGAAAATGTTCTTGTGGCAGAGTTCATCCAACCTTTACCTTATTTTCACCATTGGTAATTGTTAAGTTTTCATGGTAAGGTCTGTTTTGCAGGTACTACCAGAAAAAGGCCTACTATATTTGTTGTTTGAAATTATAGTATGGTGTACTTTTTAACCGGATTTTCAAAGGAAAATCGGTTATTGATTTGTCTTGGTTTGGTCTGATTCTTAGACACTATAAGTAATAGGTTAAGGATGTTCGCTCCTCTTGTTTTTGAATTTTTGCCAGATATTCGGAATCCTCTGGTTTTATCCATGTAGTGCCATTAAAAAATTTTCCCACCTAACCCCTACTTTTCTTTTCATAATTTGATTACACATAGTTTAAAAAGCCATATTTGAAAATCCTATAAAATCCGTTATTTTTTCATACTTTTTAAAAGAAAAAGGGTGCCAATGTTAAATGTATGAAAAGTCTAGAGAGAATTATATATTCCGCCAAATTTTCAATGGCTTATATCTCGAAAACAAGCACATGTCTTTTAAAAAGCTTGTTATTTTAATACAGAGTAGCGAACATCCTTAACTATATTTGGCATATGCAATGATTGTATGCTGTACATGTTCATCTGATCTTTACCATATTAACATGAATCATTGATTTTTATGTAATCCTTGTTGTATAACCTTTTTCTTCAAGACTTTCAACATAAATTCAATCATAATCAGTGAAGGAAGCAAGACATTTCAGCATGTACACTAAGGTTAAAAGCACAGATAAAAAAACTCTTGCACATTACTACTTATTATTGTCAGGTTGATGACCAGATATGAAGTCAAACTGTTCAGTAGTACTAGTGGAACTATGTGACAAAAATTTGAATTTCATTCCACATATTAAAATATTTAAAGTATTTTTAAACAAAAAGTAGGTTTCTGACAGATTCGAATATAGCACTCCACATTACAACTCATCCTGGTCAAGCTCTGTAGTTTATGATTTGTTGGGATAATCTTGCAGGTCTCCAATGCACAGAAGTAGCATGATCAACATCTTCTGCTCAACTGGTGCTTATGAACTTCTCATTACATGCATTTCAAGAGAATATGCTAATGTGTTATGAATACCAATACTGCTGTATACAGTATACTAGACTAATATGCTGAGCCAGATTTCAACATGCTAGTTCACAGTCTGCATGTTACCAACAAGAACACTTATTAGGACTTAGAGCAGACCCGTCTTTGCTCTAACTCATAAAAGTCTCATGCTTAGTGGAGAAGCAGCAAATAACAATTCTCAAGTCTTTGCTTTTAAACTAATCTACAAACAAACCTACCACTGACTGCATATGAGCAAACACGATAAAAAAGTAGAAGTACTGTCTCACAAGCTTTTGCCCCATGTAGAAGGCTAAAGGCATTGTTCCTTTGCTTTTTCTTTCTTCATGTAGGTGTAGGAATTTTGTCTTCTGAATTAATACATTATATTATTTTTTCTATTTATAGTACACCTCACTATAAGATGCAAAGGACATCTGAAATAACCTTTGTTTAACCAGTGTACAGGACAAATTTATTTGACCTGTATTGTGTCAACACATTACTTATATGTCTTCCCATGCTATATACGAGTTACATTAACCCAGTGATTTAATCCAATTTAGACAGAATTTTTGGTTACCCAAGGATAAATAGAGCACTTAATAAACTATATTATTTCCCCAAATCAAATGCAAGATGTCAAACTAGAGGCTCTCAAGAGCCAGTGTCTCTCACTGTATCTACTGTGTTTTTAGAAATCATATAAAATAAGGTTAAAATCATAATAAATAGTATTAGATACCCTAATAATGATTGAGGCCAAGTTTGGTTTAATTTGGCCCAGTAGTTGAATTAAAAGCAAGTCATCCTATTTTAGTCTTACAATAGTTACTGAAGACCCCTTATCATTATTTAAATTAGTTTTCAAGTTGTGACCATTTGAAATTGTTTTTTTTACAATTTTCCCTTAGACTTCTATAGTAAACCCCTATATTCTATTTTTAGCCATGGTGGCCATGTTGGTTGGATGACAGTTTCATCGGATACATTTTTCAATCAAGATACCCTATTGAAAATTGTGGCCAAGTTTAATTCGTTTTGGCCCAGTAGATTTAGTGGAGAAAACTGCAAAATTTCCTTCAAATTACCAATTCAGGGGCAGCAACCCAACATTTGGGGTTCAATTGACCGTTTTGGTCATGTTGACTTATTTGTAGATCTTACTGTGCTGTACATTATTGCTGTTTACAGTTTATCTCTATCTATAATAATATTCAAGATAATAACCCAAAACTGCAAAATTTCCTTAAAATTACCAATTCAGAAGCAGCAACCCAACAACGGGTTGTCTGATTCATCTGATGAAATATTTGCCACTGGACGTTAAGCAACCAACAATCAATCTGATTCATCTGAAAATTTCAGAGCAGATAGATCTTGACCTGATGAACAATTTTACCCCCTCAGATTTGCTCTAAATGCTTTGGTTTCAGAGATATAAGCCACAATCTACATTTTATCCCTATGTTCTATTTTTAGCCATGGTGGCCATCTTGGTTGGCGAGTTGGGTCATCGGACACATTTTATAAACTAGATACCCCAATGATGATTGTGGCCAAGTTTGGTTAAATTTGGCCCAGTGGTTTCAGAGGAGAAGATTTTTGTAAAAGTTAACGACGGTAGACAGAGGACAGACGATGGACAACGGACGCCAAGTGATGAGAAAAGCTCATTTGGCCCTTTCGGGCCTGGTGAGCTAATAAAAAAGAACAACAAGAAATTTGTGTTAAACAACAAATAAAATAGAATTCATAGAAGTTTGTTTGTGAACATGATACATGACAGTGATGACATCATAAGAACTCTTGCTGAAGGATAACAGACATTTAAAGCAAATTTAAATTATTCAACTTTTAATTTGATAAATTTGAAAACTTCAAAATAATTACATGAATACATATATTAAGAACACAATATCTAATTTAATCAAGATCGATAAATTCAATTTAGAAAAAATTCAGCAAACAATATATATAGCACTAATAGTATAAAGTCAAACAAATGTTCCTCAATGTGAAATGTTATTGTGTAGTACGGTCTTGATTGCTGATACAGTTTGGTCTGTAAATGTCTCATCCTCAATTCCAAGTGGCACATGCAGGATACTTTGCTTGAAATACTGGAAAAAAAAACCCAATAAAATATGATAGGATAAGAAAACAGCTCAATAATAGAAGATAAATCAATATGAATTCAAAACATGCAAATGTTGAAGTCCTGACCATACTTTTTTTCAGAAAGGAGAAGGATGTTAGTGTATACAGAATTTATAACTTGCTAAAAAAGTAACTTTGATAGAATGGATGATTATGGAAATTGCCAGTAAATGTTGACAACCAAGGAATGTCTGTGGTCAACATAAAAATTTGTGCATCAAAATTTAGATGACCATCAATTAATTACACAAATGGAAAGTTACAAAAATACCAATATAACCCCTGATGTAAAGAAAATATAAAAACCAAAAAGGAAGGTGGGATGAAGAAAAAAGCACTTTTGGTGTCTTCAATATGAAGAGTTAACAAGAGTGCACACGCTGAAATGTCTCGCCTACTATACTGACCATTGATTTTATGTTGATAGTCCAACATATAAAGTTTTACTACAAGTATCACATAAAATTGAGAATGGAAACGGGGAATGTGTCAAAGAGACAACAACCCGACCATAGAGCAGACAACAGCCGAAGGCCACCAATGGGTCTTCAATGCAGAGAGAAACTCCCGCACCCGGAGGCGTCCTTCAGCTGGCCCCTAAACAAATATGTATACTAGTTCAGTGATAATGGACGTCATACTAAACTCCAAATATACACAAGAAACTAAAATTAAAAATGATACAAGACTAACAAAGGCCAGAGGCTCCTGACTTGGGATAGGCGCAAAAATGCGGCTGGTTAAACATGTTTCTTGAGATCTCAACCCTCCCCTATACCTCTAGCCAATGTAGAAAAAAACAAACGCACAACAGTACAACAGTAAAACTCAGTTTAAGAGAAGTCCGAGTCCGATGTCAGAATAGGAAACAAAAGAAAATAAACAAATGACAATAATACATAAATAACAACAGACTACTAGCAGTTACTGACATGCCAGCTCCAGACTTCAATTAAACTGATTGAAAGATTATGTCTTCATCATATGAATATCAGGCACAATCCCTCCTGTTAGGGGTTTAGTATTATACCATCATAAAATATATGAGAAGAACATAATCCGTGTCATGCCAACAACTGGTTTTAGAATAAATATGTTTAATTCTGATGCAAAGACCCTATAAGTGAATCAATATAAAAGCCAAAATATGCAATCTTTAATGACCTGACAACAGTATCGTAACTATATCCCTTCTTAATAAGTCTGTTTAAAGGTTTTGTAAGTTTTTGAGGTGAATACTGACATTTTTGTGCTTTGTAAAGAATATTACCATAAAAGATTGGATGTGAAATACCCGAACGTATAAGATGTCTGCATGTTGAGTTATATTTACGAATGATGTCCTTATACCGATGATAAAATTTAGTAAATGTTTTGACTAGTTTATAATATCGAAAACCCTGGTGTAATAATTTTTCAGTAAAAAAAAAATTTCTCTCGCTAAAATCTAATACGTTGTTACACGAGCGAATCGTACAAGTTGAGATATATAAACACCATAAGATGGTGACAAGGGAACGTCACCATCTAAAAATGGATAATTAACGATAGGAAATGAAAAATCATCTCTTTTATCATAAATTTTTGTATAAAGCTTCCCGTTAATGATATAGATATTAAGATCGAGGAAAGGACAGTGGTCATTGTTAGTATTAGCTTTATTGTACCCCACGCAAAGAGTTGCAGAGGGTATAATGTTTTTGACCCGTCCGTCCGTCAGTCCTGTTTCTTGTCATCGCAACTCCTCTCATACCACACAACAGAATTTCATGAAACCTTTTCAGATAATAAGGACATACTACGTAGATGTGAATATCGACAGGAAATTACGATTCAATTTTTTTTCTAGGAGTTACGCCCCTTTGAACTTATTTCCCCAATATACTACTGCAACCTTTTGTCATCGCAACTCCTCTCAAACCACACAACAGAATTTCATGAAACCTTTTCAGATAATAATGACATACTACGTTGATGTGCATATCGACAGGAAATTACGATTCAATTTTTTTTCCAGGAGTTACGCCCCTTTGAACTTATTTTCCCAATATACTACTGCAACCTTTTGTCATCGCAACTCCTCTCAAACCACACAACAGAATTTCATGAAACTGTGTAGATAATAAGGACATACTATGTAAATGTGCATATTGACAGGAAATTATGATTCAATTTTTTTTTCTTACACTTATTTTATTTCTCCAATGCAATGTGGGGACGTGGGGTATGTGAGGGTCTCACTAAGGTTCTTTCATTTAAAGTAAGTTCAACAGGATAAATTTCTTTAGTATACATACTGAAGTCGTCATTATTGAGAGCCAATATATCATCCAAATATCTAAAAGTATTGTTAAATTTTTGTATCAGATGTTGTTTTGATGGGTCTTTGCTGATTTTAGTCATAAATTGTAACTCATAACAATACAAAAACAGATCCGCAATAAGTGGTGCACAGTTAGTCCCCATTGGAATTCCAATAACTTGACAATATACGGAATCTCCAAAGCGAACAAAAATGATATCAAGTAAAAATTCAAGGGCAGATATAGTATCAAAGCATGTCCAATTGACATAGTTCTTTTGTTTATTGCTACTAAACTAGAGGCTCTCAAGAGCCTGTGTCGCTCACCTGTATTTACTGATGCTTTGGAAATCATGTAAAATAAGGTTAAAATCATAATTAATAGTATTAGATATTAGATATTATAATGATATCTAAGACAATAACAAACAAATGTGGATAGTGTCCACATGTGGACACAGATGATGCCCCCGCTTGCATATCATATAGTTATAAAGGGACATAACTGAAGTGGTAAAAGTGACGCTACCCAAATTTGAACTTGATCCTAGTTTTGTGGTATTAAGCATTGTGTGTAAGTCTCATAACATTTGGTTGAGGCTAACTTAAGTAGAGAACAGAAACTAAAAATTCAGCAATTTCTATTTGTAAACACGCAATAAATAATTATAACTCTAGAACGGTTGTGTATAAGTTTTATATCATTTGGTTGAGACAAACTAAAGTTAAAGAACGGAAACGAAAAATTCAGCAATTTTTATGTTTATAAAGGGACATAACTCAAGAATGGTAAAAGTGTTGCCACCAAATTTCGTACTTAATCTGTATTATGTAGTAATAAGCATTGTGTATAAGTTTCATAACATTTGGTTGAGGCAAACTAAAGTAAGAGAACGGAAATGATAAATTCAGCAATTTTCCATTTGTAAAGGGGCATAACGCTAGAACAGTAAAAGTGACGCCACCAAATTTCAAACTTGATCTGTGTTTTGTGGTAATAAGCATTGTGTATAAGCTTCATAACATTTGGTTGAGGCAAACTAAAGTTAGAGAACGGAAACCAATTTTGGGACGTACGTACGTATGTTCGTACGAACAGACGGACAAGGGTAAAACTTAATGCCCCCTCCGATATGGCGGGGGCATAAAAACTGCTAAATTTCTGTAAAATTACTAACTCAGGGGCAGCAACCCAACAACAGGTTGTCAGATTCGTCTGAAAATTTCAGGGTAGATAAATCTAAATCTGATGAACATTTTTGCCACCTGTCAGATTTGCTCTAAATGATTTAGTTTCAGAGATATAAACCAAAAACTGCATTTTACCCCTATGTTCTATGTTTAACCAAGTCAGCCATGATGGTTGGAAGGCAGGGTCAGCGGACAATTTTTTTAAACTAAATACCCTAATAATGGTTATGGCCAAGTATGGTTAAATTTGTCTCAATAGTTTCAGAGAAGAAGATTTTTGTAAAAGATTACAAAAATTTATGAAAAATTGTTAAAAATTGACTATTAAGGGCAATAACTCCTAAAGGGGTCGGCTGACAATTTTGGTCATGACGACTTATTTGTAGATCTTACTTTGCTGAACATCATTGCAGTTTACACTTTATCTCTATCTATAATAATATTCAAGATAATAACCAAAAACTGCAAAATTTCCTTAAAATTACCAATTCAGGGGCAGCAACCCAACAACAGGTTGTCAGATTTGTCTGAAAATTTCAGGGCAGATAGATCTTGACCTGATAATCAGTTTTACCCTATGTCAGATTTACTCTAAATGCTTTGGTTTAGAGATATAAGCCAAAATCTACATTTTACCCCTATGTTCTATTTTTAGCCATGGTGGCCATCTTGGTTGGTTGGCGGGGTCATCAGACACATTTTTTAAACTAGATACCCTAATGATGATTGTGGCCAAGTTTGGTTAAATTTGGCCCAGTGGTTTCAGAGGAGAAGATTTTTGTAAAAGTTTACGGACGACGGACGCCAAGTGATGAGAAAAGCTTACTTGGCCCTTTAGGCCAGGTGAGCTAAAATGACCTAAAAGAGTTTGGACATATGTATTCGCATTCCGACTTTTTAAATGCCCATTTAATTAGGTGTGTGAATTTTTTCTTAATAAGAATATGAGGCAAAGTGGTATATAGGGTAGAAAAATCAAAACTTTGAACAGATTCAAAATCACCAATATATGCATGCAATTTATCAAGTACTTCCAACGAGTTTTTGACACTCCAAAAGTAGTTAATTCCACTATTTTCAAAGGCCTTATTTGAACAATTTATTATCAGGTTTTTGATTGTACCAAGTTTCATTAACATTTATGATTCAAGAAAATGAGGTCAAGGACAGAAAAACCAAGCCACAAATACATGTACACCAGCTTAGAGTATAAAAGAAAGAGACCAAACCATGGAAATTCTATATTGACCAATGAACCATGAAAATGAGGTCAAGGTCAAATAAAACCTGCCAGACTGACATCTACATCATAAAATATTTCCATACACCAAATATAGTTGACCTTTTGCATACAGTATTAGAAAAACAGACCAAAACACAAAAACTTAACATTGAACAATGAATCGTGAAAATGAGGTCAGGCCACACCAATTTAATTTCTTGTTCTACCGATTTTTCCACTCCAGAAATTGGGGCGAGCAAGCGATTTGAAAATTTTAATAAAAAAAAATTTAATTTGCAAATTTTTGAGGCGAAGCTTGAAAAGTAAAGGCGAGCGATTATATATATTTTTTTTCGTAAACATAAAATCATAGGTTCTGACAATATTGATCAAATCAAGATGGTATGAAACTTGATTTACCACTTGTACTTTGACATTTCTTTAATTTATCAACTGCTGAAGTGTTTTTTTCCCCTGTTCACCAAGACATGTAATGCCCACTTTTAATTGCAGCATATTTATGATTTTTGTATTACTGTTACTTTCTAAGGACATCAGATCTTGAAATGAATAATTGAATAATTATTTCAACTGCCTTAAATGATCTCTATTCAAATGTCGAAGATGTCATTCCTCCTTCACTGGACATGATTTATAACTAGTAACACGGCGGGTGTCTTGCAAGAAGCAGGAACTGCTCATCCTTCCGGAACACCTGAGTTCACCCCTAGTTTTTTGGGGTTCGTGCTGTTTGTTTATGTGTGTACTTCTTAGTTTTTTGTGTTATATGTTTATTGCCTGTGTCTCCATCGTTTTTGTGTTCTCATTTTTGTTCTTTGTCTTTTTGGCACTTTATATATAAATAAGATGTGGTATGAGTGCCAATGAGACAACTCTCCATCCAAGTCACAATGTATTTAAAGTTAATAATTATAGGTCAAAGTATGGCCTTCAACACGGAACTTTGGCTCACACTAAACAGCAAGCTATAAAGGGCCTCAAAATGACTAGTGTAAAACAATTCAAACATGAAAAACAACAGTCTTATCTATAACTTATTAGCTGACAGGCTAAGCTTTTTAGTGTCTATGCAAGATTGGAAGAGCAACCGATATTGCAGTTGAAGGCAACACTTCTCCTACTTCTGCGTCCTTTATTCTAACAACGAAAATCAACATAATTTTGTGAAGAATCGTCCTTGACTTTGATAAGAAATCTATGTTAATGCTCGAAACAGTTTAAAGGGTCGCGATTTGACGTTGACTCAAACGCTCTGGCGATCGCTTTTTATTTTTTAAAATGTTTACAAAAAAACCTGCGCAGGAAATAGACTTTTCCGAATGCGGGAAGCAAGAATATTTAAAAATGTATTTTTTCTGTTTAGAAAAAAATATGTGCGGGCAGGTCCGTCGAACAAGGAAATAAATTGGCGTGGCCTCAAGGTCAAATAAAACCTGCCAGACTGACATGTACATCATAAAATATTTCCATACACCAAATATAGTTGACCTACTGCATACAGTATTAGAAAAACAGACCAAAACACAAAAACTTAACATTGAGCAATGAACTGTGAAAATGAGGTCAAGGTCAAATAAAACCTGCCAGACTGACATGTACATCGTAAAATATTTCCATACACCAAATATAGTTAACCTATTGCATACAGTAATAGAAAAACAGATCAAAACACAAAAACTAAACTATAACCAATGAACCATGAAAATGAGGTTAAGGTCAGATGACACCTGCCAGTTGGACATGTACACCTTCCAATCATTACATACACCGAATATAGTAGACCTATTGCTTATAGTATCTGAGATATGGACTTGACCACGAAAACTTAACCTTGTTCACTGATCCATGAAATGAGGTCGAGGTCAAGTGAAAACTGTCTGACAGGCATGAGGACCTTGCAAGGTACGCACAAACCAAATATAGTTATCCTATCACTCATAATAAGAGAGAAATTATCATTACAAAAAATCTGAACTTTTTTTTCAAGTAGTCACTGAACCATGAAAATGAGGTCAAGGACAGTGGACATATGACAGACGGAAACTTCATATAATAAGGCATCTATATACAAAGTATTAAGCATCCAGGTCTTTTACCTGCTGAAATATTAAGCTTTTAAGAAGTTAGTTAACGCCGCAGCAGCCAGATCAATATCCCTATGTCGAGCTTTCTGCAACAAAAGTCTCAGGCTCTACAAAAATGGTGGGCTTTTCAAAATTGAAGAGTTTATTTCATGTTTATAACTATCCAGTTTTCAGCAGAAAAAAATACTGATTTATGAAATACAACATTGGGCCAAGTCATTTACATTTTCAGAACCACTGTCTGAGAAAGGTAACTTATCCTACAATTTGACATTATCTGTTATTTTCCCTTAGGAATTCATATTCTGTTACTGAAATATTGAATCTTTCCTTAAACTGTAGCTTTGTGTGGGATTATCTGTGGAAACTTCTCTCAGCACATCATGTATCTAATTACAAAGATGCCTATCAAGTTAGTAATGTAATTCATAATTCCTCTCCAGACATTAAGTTAGCAATTTAATTCAGAATACATCTTGAGCCAACAAGTTAGTAATGTAATTCATAATTCCTCTCCAGACATTAAGTTAGCAATTTAATTCAGAATACATCTTGAGCCAACAAGTTAGTAATGTAATTCATAATTCCTCTCCAGACATTAAGTTAGCAATTTAATTCAGAATACATCTTGAGCCAACAAGTTAGTAATGTAATTCATAATTCCTCTCCAGACATTAAGTTAGCAATTTAATTCAGAATACATCTTGAGCCAACAAGTTAGTAATGTAATTCATAATTCCTCTCCAGACATTAAGTTAGCAATTTAATTCAGAATACATCTTGAGCCAACAAGTTAGTAATGTAATTCATAATTCCTCTCCAGACATTAAGTTAGCAATTTAATTCAGAATACATCTTGAGCCAACAAGTTAGTAATGTAATTCATAATTCCTCTCGTGACATTAAGTTAGCAATGTAATTCAGAATAAATCTTGAGCCAACAAGTCAGTAATTTAATTGAGAATAAATCTTGAGGCTTCAAGTCATTATCATGTTATTCATATTCTTTTGGGCGATTAAGTCAGTAATGCAATTCAGAATTCCTTTTGAGCCATTAGAGTCAGTAATGTAATCTAGAATACTCCTTATGGATTTAAATCAGTAATGTAATTCAGAATACATCTTAAACCTAATAGTCAGTAATGTAATTCAGAATACATCTTAAAACCTAATAGTCAGTAATGTATTTCAGAATACCTCTTCAGCCTTCAAGTCAGTAATTTTATTAAATATACCTTCTGAGCCTGTGAGTCAGTCATATCCTCTGGTGTAACAATAACTGTTCTGCCATCATACATTCCGTCTGGCATGTAACTTATTATGATCTGCATCCTCTGTAAAAATGACTGAACTGCCCTAACAATGTCTTGGGTTTGGACCTGTCCATTACTGTTTTGTGCTATAATGGTACACACTTTCTCTACCATTTCATGAGAAGATTTACTGGGTACCTCCTGTTAAAATGAAATCACATAGAAATGCAATATACTAAACAATAAAATGCTTCGCCGAGCACAGCCTGATACGACCGCAGAGGTCGAACCATGAACAGTTGGGGCAAGTTTGGACACAATATTCAAGCTGGATACTGTCTGAATTTGGATTGTGATCAAATTTTTGACATAATTTACGTTTCTGACACAAAATAAATGTGGTCAAAGATCTTAATAAACAGCTGCGCCATGAGCGCATGATACGCCTGTCGTCTTGTGTGTGAATTTTTATGCAATAATCATAAATAGTTTCTGACATGCGAAAACCCCCCTTTTTTTTACAAAAAACTCAATATCTCTAAAATAAAATTTTGAATCAAAATCAAAAAGTATACAGATCTTTAGATTAATATAACTAAGAAGTGTGTAAAATTTTAAGCAATAATCATAAATCGTTTTTGAGATACGGCACGACATGTGAAAAACCCCTCCCCCTTTTTTTACAAAATACTCAATAACTCAAAAAAAAATTTTGAATCATCACCAAAAAGTATACAGATCTTAATGTTAATATAACTAAGAAGTGTGTAAAGTTTTAAGCAATAATCATAAACTGTTTTTTGAGATAAAGCGTGACATGTGAAAAACCCCTCCCCTTTTTTTAACAAAATACTCAATATCTCTAAAATAAAATTTTGAATCATCACCAAAAAGTATACAGATCTTAAGATTAATATAACTAAGAAGTGTCTAAAGTTTTAAGCAATAATCATAAATTATTTTTGACATACGGCGCGACATGTGACAAAAAACACACACCTGTTTTAGTTACTAAGTCCCGTAACTCAAAAAGTTTTAATCTTGTTTTCACCAAAAAGTATACAGATCGTTTGACCATCATAAGAAACAACTATATTAAGTTTCATGAAATTTGGATAAGTTGTTCTCAAGTTAAGGTGCAACATGTTTACGCCGGACAGACAGATGGACAGACGACATTTGTATACCATAATACGTCCCGTCAAAATTTTGACGGGTGTATAAAAATTTGAAATGGGACATTTAATTTACCTAGTATGGTCTGATATCCAAAATCTAACAACATGGTTAGATTCAGCATATAAAAAAACACCAAAAACTTAATTTTAGTTGAAATCAAACAAAGTTTAATTTTGGACCCTTCAAACCATGCGGATCCCGTCTTTTGACGGGTTTGACGTCGTCGTTCTCAGTGCGGAACCCGTCTTTTGACGGGTTGCACTGGCAATTTTGTGACCTTTGCAAAAACCTTCTAATCTTCGCATAATCACAAAATTCTGAGTTAAAATTTGATTTGAGATTCTGATATATGTTCATCATTCAATTTGAATCTGTGTAAGCCTTTAAAATAAACGAATTTTTACTTTATCTTGCTTTTATGAAAAAAAAAATTGTTTTGGGCATGACGTAGAAAATCTAAAAATACCTCTAGGGAAGTCCCTTTCTTCCTCGCTTAATTCTTGTTCATTTGATTATTAAAACTGTATGTCTGGGTAAAAAACACGAGTTTTTTGACACGTGTAAAGTTCTTTTGCGAAAAAATATGGAATTATGTAAGTAGAAATATGAAATAAAACAGTTAACGTGAAATACGGAAATTCCCGCGCATATGCCCCGCCCTTTCCTGTATTATATAAATAGATTTCGTCTAAAACCTAAAGAATAAAATGTTCTTTTAAAGTTTACCATCAATTTATTGTTGTTATCTAAATGATATCTTGATAATTTAGAAATCTGATGTTAAAAATAGATTAATTGCACGGAAATAAGAACCGGAAGTTTACTCTCGTGAGAGACGTTCCGAAAGAGAAAATGAAAGTTGTCACGGTTGACACAAACAAATTCTATAGCTTTTTTTCTGTAGACTATATCAGTATCCACGCTTAAGGATCGACACTTCCCGTAAAAATTAATAATGTTAAAGCACAAATCAATCCTTCTTAGTGCTGTTAATAATTATCTTTCCTCTTATAAGCTCTGAAAAGCTTTTTCCAAAATAAAAGAAACGTGAATCGAAGAAAGAAAATGTGAATCCTTTGCCAAATCCATTTATCGTCTGATATTTTCCCATTTTTATGGGGTTTTCAGGTATATTCAAGAAAAATAAATTGAAAAATATGAATGAGTTTTGTTGTTTTTCCAATGAGTTTACCATACTGTGCAGCTATTTTTTTTCTATCCTTTTTCCACCAAAAAAAAATAAAAAGGGGGCGTTTCTGTTTACTTTCTGATTATGGCAGAAGCCAGCAGTTCTACTGCTGAGAATATTTGTGAACTATTTGCTGATACTGATAGTGAAAATGAAGAGTTTGAAGGATTTACTGTAAATGACCTCGATGATGATGACCTAAATATTGACAATGTTTCTGAAAGAGATGATTTGTTTGACATTGATAACTGGGTTATGGGTGAAAAGAATCCAGAACTTCTACAATTTACACAAACTCCAGGAATTAAGTGTGAACTTCCAGACAATGCGTCTGTTTCTGACTATTTCTTTTTATACGTCAATGACAATGATTTTGAGAAAATTTCTGAGGAAACAAACAGATATGCACAGCAGTATCTTGAAAAAAACAATAACTTGAGTAGATTTTCAAGGTTCAGAAAGTGGACAAACACTACTGCCGCAGAAATGAAGCGCTATATTGCTGTTATTTTTGCAATGGGTATTCTGTCACAGGCAGATGTAACAGATTACTGGAGTAAAAACCCTGTCACCTCAACACCATTCTTTCCGTCAACTATGTCAAGAGACAGATTTCTCTTAATTTCATCTTTCTTCCATCTTGCTAACAATGATGAGTTTGTTGCTAGAGGTCAACCAAACCATAACCCACTTTTTAAACTTGGAACATTCTATAATCGTGTTGTCAACAGATTTCACTCAGTGTACACACCTAGTCAATCAATTTCATTAGATGAAGGAATGATTCCTTGGAGGGGTAACCTCTCATTTAGAGTTTACAGCCCTGACAAGCCGGTAAAATATGGAATCAAAGCATACATGATAAGTGACTCCAGTAACGGTTATGTTTCCAAATTTAAGTTGTATACTGGAAAGTCAAGTATTGGTCCAAGTTCAAATGGCGCAACATATGACTTAGTAATGGATATGTTAAGAGGCATGTATGAAAAGGGTTATAACCTGTATTGTGACAATTACTACACATCTCCCCAACTATTTTGGGATCTCTATGTTCTAGGAGTAGGAGCAACAGGCACTGTTAGGTCTAATCATCGTGGAATTCCACAATTTTTTAAAAGACAAAAAACTTACAAATAAAGGAGATCTTTCCGTTATGAGTAATGGTCCCTTGACCTGTGTTAAATTTCTTGATGGAAAGCCCGTTTTTATGCTTTCAACTGTTCACAAAACTAACTTGGTCAACACACGCCGTCGTGACCGTGAGACAAATGAATTCATAAAAAAACCAAGTGTTGTTAATTACTATAACAAATACATGGGTGGTGTAGATCGGGCTGATCAAATGATTTCTTACGTCAATAGTGTTGTTAAATCTTTTAAGTGGTGGAAAAAGGTTATTTTCCATGTTCTTGCTATTGCCATGCTAGATGCTTATATAAAGCTGACTATCCTAATATAACACATAAAGTGTTCAGAAGACAACTAATCAGCGAACTTATATCAAATAACCCATTAGAAAGCGATAAAGTAGGTAGGCCTTCAAATGCAAAATTAGGACGCTTAAGTGAAAGACACTTCATATCTAGAATTGTAGGGGAGGGCAAAAAAAAAAACATTGCACGTTTATGCAAAGTCTGCAACGAAGCTGACAAGAACAATGTAAATATGAACAATAATTTTCAAAAACGCAAACAGCCACGTCATGAGACTTCTTATGAATGTATAGATTGTAGTGTATCTCTGTGCATTGAGCCATGCTTTAAGATATGGCATACACAAAAAGAATATGTTGTTGCCTACAAGAGATGGAAGAATTCTTCCGTCCAACCAGTTGATGAAGAATAGTTTCTTGTTGCATGTGTTTATGTTATGAATATCAATTATAAAATTATTGTTATGGATTATTATTTTCAATTACAGTATCAAATGATCTTTTCAGAAATAACAATTTTAGAACCAAACAGTAGACAAACAAGGTGAATAAAAGGAGATGTGGGGTAAATGTTAATTAGGAGGCAACCAAACTTAAAAGTTGTGTACATTCAAATGATCTTACAAAAGTCAATGATTTGGCAGGTTTTTGCTTGCTTAAAATTCAGCAGCATATAGTCAGTATAGTTGTTTGTATGAAGGAAGAGTATTTTTATTACCTCAATTTATTTGGAACATAAAAAAATCCCATTGCTTTATCAGAAAAGATATGTTAAAGATGTTAAAGTCTGTATAGTGTAGTACAACTTATTAACCACCTAAACCCTTCAAGAAGCAGTCCTACTAGTTTGACAGCATGTTAAAAGTAGTTGTGCAAACATGTAATGATTTCTCCTTAGCACTATTATCACATGTACAGTGATGTAAATTTTGTCCTACAATTACATCTTGATTACCTGTATATAAAATATGTACAACTGCATATAAAACTTGTGTACATTACATTAAGGTTTTTAACTACATAAACTGATCAAAACATCATATAATCATAAAGCCTTAGACAAAACTAGTTATAAATTGAAATTATTCAAACCTGGACAGAAACAGAGGTAATAGGAATTACAAAGTGAGTTGTCAAATTTGTCAAAAAATTAAATATCCTGCTTTCTTGGTTACAAATGTCGAATTTCTGTCGCTCTTTCGTCCTAATTATGCAAATTCTCTTGCAATTGAAACTAAGGAAACCAAGATGTTACCATAGTAACCACTTTTTACTTGACTGAATACTTAAACTAAATTAATTTATGATGTGCTATTACCTGTCTATTATAATGTTGAGACTGTTTGTAGTAAAGCAACAATTTGTTATCTTATTAATTTCTTCTCACAATAAGAGCATCTTTACACAGGTGAGTCATATATTATTTACATTAAATTTCTGCATTTTTGTCATATATGTTTTTTTATTTTCAGTTATTTTCAGTTTACTACAGTTTAGAGTTGTATTTAGATGGATAAGAAATGATTATATAGCTAGGCTAGCCAGTAAAATACATTTTAATGAAAAAAATACTAAAAAATTGCAAAAAATTTTTGTTACCATAGCAACCATTGTGACAAATTATTATATAGTGCTTCAACTATATGGATATCAAGTTTTGGACCAATCAAAGCATTTATCATCAAGTTAGGGACAAATTAATAATGATGCTATTTTTATGAAAAATTTAACAAAACAATTCAGCATACAGACTACATGTGTAGAAAACAAGTCAGCATGGTAAGGGTTAATATGGATTAATTTGAAAACAGGGCCCAAAATAAAAAATCTAAATGCACAATAAGATTCAGCATATCATAGAGCCGCAATAATACAATTATTCAGTTTTTGATGAAATCAAACAAAGTTTAATTTTGGACCCTTTGGACCTCAATGTAGACCAATTTAAAAATGGGGACCCAATATCCAAAAAGAGTAATACAAGGTTAGAACCCTCAAAAATTAAAGACTTTAAATTAATCCCATTGAAATCGGTTAAAAAGATTTGTATTTATTTTCAATTGAAGATTTCTTGCTATTGCGCAATACTTAGTTAATCTGTTATATATATAGAGAATATTATATGGCTTTTTCAATATCACATCCGTATCAACCCGAGACACCTATATAATCCCAAGAGCTCAACCTGAGACACCAATATAATCCCAAGAGCTGCTCTTGGGATTATATTGGTGTCTCGGGTTGATACGGATGTGATATTGAAAGAGCCATTTCATATACACTTTATTATATATCTCAAGTAGATGTTTATTTTTCATGTGATGTGACGTCATACAGATTAGGGGTTTTTGATAAAGCCTTTGCAACAGTGACTGCTGTCGATGATGTCACGCCATACAGATTAAGGGATTATATTGGTGTCTCGGGTTGATATGGATGTGATATTGAAAAAGCCATATCATATACACTTTATTATATATCTCAAGTAGATGGGTTTTTTTTTCATGTGATGTGACGTCATACAAATTAGGGGTTTGATAAAGACTTTGCAATGGTGACTGCTGTCGATGACGTCACCCCATACAGATTAAGGGTGTGATAAAGCCTTTGCAACCGTGACTGATATCGATATCATCACAGACGGCTGATACAGCACAATTGCCATTGATCGTATTACACATACAATTTACATGTATTTACTACTAAGAATATAAAAAAATAATTTACACATGTTAGGTGTGTATCTCCTGCCATATCAGTATTTGTTGCTTTTATATATAAGTCAGAAATAATCAATGTAAAAATGGAAAATTTTTTGGGAAAAAAACAATCCCCCCAAAAAATATTTGAAATTTTGAAAAATCGAAGAAAAAAAATCCCCCCAAACATTTTGAACCCCCCTTGGAGTAATTACCCCCAAACTCAATCCCAGCCTTCCCTTTGTGGTATTGAACCTTGTGCTACAATTCCTGAGAGATCCATACACTTACACACAAGTTATTGTCAGGAAACTACAAAAATGCTTGTTTTTGGTCCCTAATTCCTAAACTGTTGGTACCATAAACCCCCAAAATCAATCCCAACCTTCCTTTTGTGGTATTGAACCTTCTGGTAAAATTTCATAGAGATCCATTCACTTAAACTAGAGTTATTGTCCGGAAACCAAATGTGTCTTCTGACGATGACGACGACACGATGGCATTATACGAATGCAAATTTTTTGGGGTCGTAAAAAAAATGGCTATATTTTGTACAACATAGCTTAATATGAATTGAAAACTTTAAAAAAAAAAATTGAAAAAGAAGCGTGTTAATTTTTTTTTTTATCTAGTACAAGTCATGCTTGAAATAGTCAATTTTTAATGATTAATGTCTCATAATGTAATTCACAATACATCTTGAACCATTAAGTCAGTTCAGGAGCTTGTCCTCATGAACCAAACACTCTTTATAAAGAGAAGATTATGAAATCTTGGGTTATGAGAAATGCTCCAAATTGTCAATGTGACAACCCACTACAATAAAATGAATGACATCTAGAAACCAACAAATTGTCTTTGATAATAATTGTCTCTACAATATTTCAAGCTCAAAACCTTTCCATGTTAACAGGATATGTCTCTTTGCAATCACTAGTTTAAACCAAAAAAAACCCAAAAAAAACACAAGATTTGAACACTGCAGTTTTGCAAATGAGAAAATGAAAAAGTCAAAAATCTTTTTAATTAAACAGATATTTCAAGAAATTAAATAGAAGAGAGTTTTACTACAGTTTTTATATTTGGTAAATGCTATTCCCATCTCTACTTTAAAATGCTGTACACAAAAGAAATTCAGCAATGAAAGCAATTTTTTGGGTAATTTGGAGTTTCCCTTAGAATAACATTTTCATCACATTAAATATACAATGGTCTGATTTACCGTCTCTAACCATTGATTTTATGTTGAAAGTCTTAAAGATAAAGATTTTGCTACAAGTATCACATAAACTTAACATTTTTCAAGATCCATGACAATGACGTCAAGGTCACACAGACATGTGCAACTTACAATTATTCCATACACCAAATATAGTTGACCCATTGCTTATGGTAATTGAAAAACAGACCAAAACACAAAAACTTAATGTTAACCAATGAACCATGGAAATGAGGTCAAGGTCAGATGATACTGGCTAGAAAGACATGAACACCTTACAATAATTCCATACACCAATTATAGTTGACCTATTGCTATTAGTATTTGAAAAACAGACCAAACACAAAAATTTAACTTTGACCAATGAACCATGAAAATGAGGTCAAGGTCAGATCACACTGGCTAGACAGACATGTACACCTTACAATCATTCCATAAACCAAATATTGTTGACCTATTGCTTCTAGTACTTGAAAAACAGACCAAAACACAAAAACTTAACATTGACCAATGAACCATTAAAATGAGATCAAGGTCAGATGACACCAGCTAGACAGACATGTACACCTTACAATCATTCCATAAACCAAATATAGTTGACCTATTGCTTACAGTACTTGAAAAACAGACCAAAACACAAAAACTTAACATTGACCAATGAACCATTAAAATGAGGTCAAGGTCAGATGAAACCTGCCAGTCTGACATGTACTCCTTACAATCATTTCATACGCCACATATTGTCGACATGCAGCTTGTAGTATCTGAGAAACTGACCTAATCACGTAACTTTAACCTTGATCACTGATCCATGAATTGAGGTCAAGGTCAGGTTAAACCTGTCGGACATGTAGACGTTGCAAGGAACCCATATACCAAATATAATTATCCTATTACTCAAAATAAGTGAGAAATTCACATGACAAAAAAACTTTTTTTTTTTTCATGCAGTCACTGAACCATGAAAATGAGGTCAAGGACAATGGGCATATGACAGACAGAAACTTCGTAACATAAGGTATCTGCATACAAGATATGAAGCAACCAGGTTTTTTACCCTCTGAAATATAAAGCTTTAGACAAAAAAACCCAACTTATTAAAGTAAAGCAGTAGGATGACTTATTATTGTGACCTGGGTGTTTATCTAATGTAATTTTGAGAAGTAAAATATGGAGCCTAAATGACAATTACCAATTGAAAACTTACAATTTTCTTACTTTTGATTTTTGGGAGTACTTTTCTGATCAACTCTACTCTTAACTGATAATGTAAGGAGATGGAGTAATATAAGTTAACAGATTGTTTCTGGGTCCTATTAATTATTCAATTAATATGTTAATGCCCAACTGTGTATATTATTTAACTTGAATTTCATTAATAAAATATGTTTACAATAACTGATGCTGTTTTCAAATCATTTTGAATTCTGAATTCCTACTTACAAGATCTTTATCCAACTTTAGAACATGCAACAGTGACAACAGAATTTCTCTCTTTCTATCCAGAGCAGGTTCTATTGATTTCAGTTTTTTCTCAATCAATGGCAGAGGTGATTCAATTAAAGTTAAACTTTTGACACCAGGATTGGTAGGACTGTCTGGTTTCTGAAATGCCATCTCTAAACACAACCTGGCTCCAATAGAATAACCAACCAGATGTACAGGTTTATCTTGATGCAACAGGTCTATCTCCTGAAATTCATATGTGAAAACGTTTTCTCCACTTTAAACAATGGTTTAATATTGAACTATCCAATATTGAATTGATGAATCTTGCCTTAAAAACATCAACATTCTCCATATATGCAGTTTTTTTTTATCTGTAATATGTTGTAAGAAAAGCAGTACTGTGGATTCATTTATTTTTGTAGGTACCAATTTTCATTGATTGAGACAAACTAGCATTTTGTTGAACATTTAAATCTGTGGTTCCTCTTTACACAAGAAATCCTCAAAAATCAGTATCCAATGAATAATAATGAATCTACACTATTTAACATTTTATACAAATATTTCAAAATGACACACTCTTTATAGAAGATATGAATTTTGCACACACAAATTAGATCACTAGTCGTACCTGTAAAAAGTGACCAGCTAAGGCTTGAATAGAATATAAAGGTGAATCATCTGTGCATTGTATAACATAGAAACTGTGATGTTCATCTTCAGTTAAAGGTTTAAATGTCTCAAGAGTTTCTGAAAGTATAAAAACACATAGATGAACAATCCAATAGTTGTCTTACAAAATGAAACCATCCCTCAATCCTTTTGCTTAAAAATACAATCAATTTTAAAGAAACATATATATTAACCTTAACTAGTTGTCCGTTTATAAAGAAAAAGACCCATACCTCTAGTCTCCCAGTAAACCATGGCAAAAAGTTAAAAAAGAAAGTTTGAGCAATGGTAAGAAAATAATACCCTCTGCATCTTAACTTACAATCTAGTCTTGAAATTTCAATCTAATCTCAGAAAAGGACATTCCAACCATAATTTTACTGCCTCAGTGGTCTATTGCTCATCTAGAATGTGGGATGTAAAACGGTTATTTACTAGGTCAGTTCAAACCAGACTTTAAATTAATGCTTTTCTGCTAATCACACAACATTTAAGAGTACGGTCATAGACAGTTCAACTTGAGTAAACTAGAGGCTCTAAAGAGCCTGTGTCGCTTACCTTGGTCTATGTGAATATTAAACAAAGGACGCAGATGGATTCATGACAAAATTGTGTTTTGGTGGTGGTGATGTGTTTGTACATCTTAATTTACTGAACATTTTTCCTGCTTACAATTATCTCTATCTATAATTAACTTGGCCCAGTAGTTTCAGAGGAGACGATTTTTGTAAAAGATTACTAAGATTTACGAAAAAATGGTTAAAAATTGACTATAAAGGGCAATAACTCCTAAAGGGGTCAACTGACAATTTCGGTCATGTTGACTTATTTGTAGATCTTACTTTGCCGACATTTATTGTTTTTTACAGTTTATCTTTATCTATAATAATATTCAAGATAATAACCAAAAACAGCAAAATTACCTTAAAATTACCAATTCAGGGGCAGCAACCCAACAACGGGTTGTCCGATTCATCTGAAAATTTCAGGGCAGATAGATCTTGACCTGATAAAACAATTTTTACTTCATGTCAGATTTGCTTTAAATGCTTTGGTTTTTGAATTAAAAGCCAAAAACTGAATTTTACCCCTATGTTCTATTTTTAGCCGTGGCGGCCATCTTGGTTGGTTGACCAGGTCACGCCACACATTTTTAAAACTAGATAACCAAATGATGATTGTGGCCAAGTTTGGTTTAATTTTGGCCCAGTTGTTTCAGAGGAGAAGATTTTTGTAAAAGATGACTAAGATTTACGAAAAATGGTTAAAAATTGACTATAAAAGGCAATTACTCCTAAAGGGGTCAACTGACCATTTCAGTCATGTTGACTTATTTGTTAATCTTACTTTGCTGAACATTATTGCTGTTTACAGTTTATCTCTATCTATAATAATATTCAAGATAATAACCAAAAACAGCAAAATTTCCTTAAAATTACCAATTCAGGGGCAGCAACCCAACAACAGGTTGTTCGATTCATCTGAAAATTTCAGGGCAGATAGATCTTGACCTGATAAACAATTTTACCCCATGTCAGATTTGCTCTAAATGCTTTGGTTTTTGAGTTACAAGCCAAAAACTGCATTTTACCCCTATGTTTTATTTTTAGCTGTGGCGGCCATCTTTGTTGGTTGGCCGGGTCACGCCACACATTTTTTAAACTAGATACCCCAATGATGATTGTGGCCAAGTTTGGTTTAATTTGGCCCAGTTGTTTCAGAGGAGAAGATTTTTGTAAAAGATGACTAAGATTGACGAAAAATGGTTAAAAATTGACTATAAAGGGCAATTACTCCTAAAGGGGTCAACTGACCATTTCGGTTATATTGACTTATTTGTAAATCTTACTTTGCTGAACATTATTGCTGTTTACAGTTTATCTCTATCTATAATAATATTCAAGATAATAACCAAAAACAGCAAAATTTCCTTAAAATTATCAATTCAGGGGCAGCAACCCAATAACGGGTTGTCCGATTCATCTGAAAATTTCAGGGCAGATAGATCTTGACCTGATGAACAATTTTACCCCATGTCAGATTTGCTCTTAATGCTTTGGTTTTTGAGTTATAAGCTAAAAACTGCATTTTACCCCTATGTTCTATTTTTAGCCGTGGCGGCCATCTTGGTTGGTTGACCGGGTCACGCCACACATTTTTAAAACTAGATACCCCAATGATGATTGTGGCCAAGTTTGGTTAAATTTGGCCCAGTAGTTTCAGAGGAGAAGATTTTTGTAAAAGTTTACGGACGACGGACGCAAAGTGATGAGAAAAGCTCACTTGACCTTTCAGGTCAGGTGAGCTAAAAATGTGTCTCGCAGTAAGATACCATTTCCTCTTACACCAGTCAACTTTTGAGCTACATGTTAAAAATCTGCTCATGGTGTCAGTGAGTATGAAGCAGGGCATATTCATATTAACATGTAACATTTGAACCCATGAATGAATAGAGCAATCAATTCAACCCTGTTCAGGACAACCTCTAGCACTTGACGGAATCATATCAAATATTGTCCACAATGCTTTAAAAAATTATAAAATATATGTGTATTTTTGGATTGATTTTTAAACAAGATGTTTAGGAATTAGTGGAATGGTTGTCAGGTTTTTTCTGTTGACATTATTTTGAGAGTAGACACCATGAGAATGACTTATTCTACCTTACGTCCAAACTAACCAGGTATTTACAAATGAGTTTAATTTTGAAAAAGCTTCCTTAAGTGATAATTTAGTTTACATGCCCATATCATCCATTAGCTAAAAACTATAAATTGGAATCAAAGGCTTTCAATTTAAATCATTCTTCTAAATAAAGACAATCTTAATGCAGTTTATGTACTATATTTAAATGTCATTAAATTAAATAACTTAAAATCAAATCAATTACCCGGTAGCATATTAACAATAAAGACGGGTTCAGGATCATTCTCAACTATTTTGATAGGAACAATCTCTTCCACTGGAATGAGAATGTCTGCTGTAATCCCATGATGCTTTACTTCTTCCTCTTGTTTAACCTTCTGTTGTTTGGTATCTTTGTCTTTACTGTATTCCCTGAGTTGTTTAATTGTAAGGTTCCTTATTTCATCCACTTTCAAGGGTATACCAAACTGTCTCTCCATTACTTGTCTGATTTCAGTTGTCATCAGGGAGTCAAGGCCTAGGTCAATAAGTTGAGTACTTGAGTTTACATTTTCAGTGTCTGTTATTCCTACAAAGTGGATTATTTCAATAATAAATGCTCAATTCTGATAGAACCTTTTTCAAATAAAAAAGTTCTAACAATTTGCTTTAATCTTTCATACTACATTAGTTTATACCAACAAATGGCATTTTATTGAACTAGATAAGTAGTTCAAAGTTCTATGGGCAACAAAAATATCAAGAATCAATAATATTTTTCTAGGCATTCAAAATTCTGAATCAAATGTGACTGTGTAGATTCATAACCTGTTTGCAACCTTGCAGACAAACATTATGATCTTATATGCAACACACACACACACACACACTGGTGGTGGACAACAGTAATATCAAGTATCATTAATATACTTCATGGCATTGAAAATCATAAACAAGACAAATTGAACAAACAGAGTGATTCCTTAATAAACCCCCAACCCCTGAAAATATTAGAACAAATGTAAAATCCAACTATGAAAGAAGTAAAAACTTCTCAGATATACTCCATTCTTACCAATAACTTTCATTACAGCATTTAATGGTGTTAGCTTCCTCTCCTGTTCATCTTGCCCTGTCTCTACCGTCTTTTCTGCCTGTACAAAGCTAGATGCTACTGCATATGATTGGGTCATCAACTTCCTCAAAGTACTTAGACAAGACGACATTCTTTGTGGTAATGTCCCTCCTACATTTGTATCATTACCTCCCATTTTATCTATAACCACTCCCACATCACCTATAGCTCCCCACTGTATGGCTAATCCTGGAATAAAGGAAACTTCCATTTTCATTCCTTTAACTTTTAACAGTAACCCTACCAACACCCTTTAAGAAGGAATGACCACACTGTTTCCCAGAATATTATTTATTAGACTCAGGCTATAACACAGGATTAGATACAAAGCTCACAAAAATAAATCTATCCTTTTTCATAAGGAGTAAAATTAAAATCTTGTTTCCAAAATAATATATGGACATTCCTTTTTACATTCAAAGTGACAACTGCAGACTTTGGGCATATAGCAGTTCATGGAAATGTTCTGTTAAATCATAGTAACTTAATTGCATATAGCTTATAAAGGAAAAATTACCACCTTTGTAACATTGGTAGCCTATATATAATAACTGAGAGACATGTGTATTGGTTAACATACTTTAATATAATGCTAGAGCTAAGTAATCAGCACAAATACATATTGCAATACGACGCGCCCTTATCTGCTATGTCTATCAACAAAACACGTGCGTGAACTCTGAATTATATAATTATTTATGAATGAATGAAAGTTACAATATTAAAACCTTATTTCAAGAAAGACATTTTTTTTGGTTTCATTTCAAATAGATGAAATCAGTCAAAAATTAAAAGAATACAAGACCTGGAACACCATCTTTCTTTCTCTGTTCACACAATCTTTCCATAGCTGAATTAGCATATCCATAATTAGTTTGACCAACATTTCCACGTCCAGATGTTATGGATGAGAACACCACAAACCAGTCCAGACTGTCCTTACAACAATCCCTTGTCACTTTATCTAAATTCATTGTACCATCTACTTTTGGTTCACAAACTTTCTTAAAGTTTTCTGGTGTCTGGTTCTCAAACAAGCCATCTTCTAAAACCTGCAAATTAGAAAAAATTACCATATAAAAGTGAGCTTTCATAAAATAATCCTTTGAAGATATTTGAGGTAATAAATTAAAAAAAATAGTAATATGTTTAACACAAACTATCAAGAAGCAGTTTTATATAATCTTGATTAATTTGTGGATTAAAAAGAAAACAATCCTTCAAAATATGTTTATAAACTCTGGATGATTATGAGCTGGACAACTGTATAGACAACTGTCTATTGTTGAAGACTATGTTGCCCTATAGATGTCTTTTGGTTATTTTTGTTGCTGGGTTACTGTAATGTCAATTTCAGTAAACAATTTTTGTGGATTCCACGTTTATGTATAGTGATTAATAGAGAGTTCCGAATGAATACGACGCCAATAATATGACAAAATCTGTGTTGACTTTTTGTGGAAATATTTCTAATTTGGCGAGTTTTTTGTATTGATAATATTACTGTAAATTCAGAAATTATTGCGTTCATTTATTATTGCGATTTTTGTGGAAAGGACAAAAATGCGAGATTAATTATTGTGATTGCAGGAAAATCTACATACAGTTATTTAAATCAGATGTCAGAATGCGAGTTCTTATTATTGCCATACTCACTCAATCGCATTATTCACATTAATAAAAACCTTGCAATAATTTCTGAATTTACAGTATATAAACCTTTCGAAGCTTGTCTGAGTTGTATTACATAAGTTTAAGAACATTTTTCGGTAAATTTAAATGGCGAAGTCCTCTCAGATGCATGTTATATTTTCATTAAATAGATATTTCAAGGGTTGTAAAGTGCGACTAGATAATTATATGTTTGTGTTAGTGATGTTTCATTGATTTATGATTAATATTGTTTATGCAGTCAAGAATTATTTCTTATTGTTTTATGCATTTTCACTGGGTAAAATAAGAAGTTTACAATTTTGGTATATAATAATTTGTCAATTGTTCTCGGGATAACATGTATTTTGCAATGTTTTGATCATAGAATTCGAAATTTATTATTTAGTGAATGACAGTATTTTTCTGTTTTCTTTTCAGTAAATCGTATTATGACATATTAGGAACCTATTGACCTGTATTAGAATGTATTTTGATGCTTCACTGTGTTCACTGAATTTAATAAAGATCAATAAACTCTACTCTGGAATACGTATTTGCCTACACCCTAAGTTACTAGCCAACACAGTTACAGTCTCAGTGAATTATTCATCACATCTTATTTTATTCATCTCATAGATCTTAGCTCATCAAGTATTTATAAATACCTGGATTTTAAATGTTTAGATTTTAGCTTTCCTGATGAAGTCAAATCTAGAAAGAGCTTCTAACATGTCAAATTTATAATGTTATTTTAATTTTTTAATGTACTAATATTGGGCAAGAAACTGCATAAAGTATCGTAATATTAAAATATGGTCAAATGTAAAATGATTTACCATGGCTAAATTGAAGACTCCTCCTACTGGTCCAATATCCCGAGTTTCCTTTAACAGTTTCCTGCACCCTTCCTCAGTTGTTACATTTCTAGATGACACCATTAAATTGATGTTTCTTTCTCTTAGTAGCCTTAGTTTTCTTTCCTGGTACCCAGTTGTTATGCCAGACCTTGATGTCAGTATCAGTTTTGTGGCTCCTTCATTTACAAGCCACTCAGCTAGTTCTAGACCAAATCCACCCAGACCTCCAACTAAAATGTAGGACTTGTCTGGTGAACAAAGTTTGGGTTCAGTTAATATTTTAATGTCTTCTGAGTCCTCTCTTATCTAAAATATAAATCATCAATTCATTTTCAAATATATTTGTGGATAAATAAGAATGTAATCTTTCAAAATATGTTTATAGTCACAGGACGAGTCAGAGCTGGACATATTGTATAGACATCTGTATATTGTTAAAGACTGTATGATGCTCTCTTGATGTCTCTTAGTTATTTTTGTCTGTAAATTAAAGTTTCCTACACATTTATAAATGTTTCCTATCTACCAATTATGATATTGCCTGCTGTATCTTAGGTAAACCACAATCATTTTGTACTGATATCTGTTTGAACAAAGCAATCTGATATGTTTGTAGTATATTCATTATCAAAATTTGGAATTGTCTACTTGGTCCATCTGTTTTAGTCGAGTCTTTTTTACCCAAAACATTTCATTCTAGCAGAATCAATACAAGGTATTGGTATTTTATTTTTTATATTTTACTTTGTAAACAGTTGATGTATTTTAATTTCACTGTTCCATATCATTGGACCAGTTTTTACTGATGTAATAGGGAAAAGTTTGAATTATATTTTTTAAGATATCTTACTTGTATAAGTACAGACTTTAGATTATTTGGGTCCTGTATCTGTTGAAATGCTTTTTGGATTTCTGTATGTTTATAATAACTGAAGTCCAGAGGATGTACCACTTTGTCCTTTATGCCTTGACTGACCAGTTCCTTTATACTTGTTAATTCTTCTGGCATAAAATGATCTGTCCTGATGTGGTAGTAAGTTATATTCTCATGCAAAATGTCTTTGTCTAAAATCAGGAAATATAAATTGTGTGCATTTTCATAAATTTTTTAGCTTTCTTGTATCGATATTTCGCACAGGTTTTCCAAAATAATTTTAGCCAACAAGACAAATTTCCTCATATATTCTTCAAAATATTCAGGGATAAGATGTTACATATATATAGCATGTTGTGCTCAATGCACTATGTTCATTTTATCTCAAAAGTAGTGATCAAGTCTAGGAAATTGATATCTATCACAGTCTTTGCGTTCAACCACAGGCCCATCATCCCATGCTTGTAAAAATGCTGTTGGGCCTGTAATAATCATCTCTACAGGCCAACAGAATCATATAAAATGTTCATAAACTTCAGCTTCGGGCCTGTAGATTCAAAAGTTTATCGTGCTATCAAACCAGTCACAAAAGGGTTTAGATTGCATTATTTACCCCCAAAATTGCATGCGACCCCAAGAGACACAAATTAATTTTGAGGCAAGTGCACAATTTTGTTGTCATTTAGCATACCAATAAGCAGGGAACGTTACAATAGTCAGAGGACAGGAAACATATTGGAAATTGCAAAATAATGTATCAAGCCATTTGTTTGAAACCATGTTTTGGAATATAAACGCTTTAAAATTATTAAACGTTTTTGAATAAGAAAGTGGAGCTGGAATACAATTGGTCTAAGTTTGAACACTACCTGTTAATTTATATGTATTGTGTATACAACTGTTCAAAGTTTTGATAATTTACCTCAAAGAAATATCTATCTTTCATGAATAGAAAAATTATTTAGGTGTAATTCCACCATTGTTTTTCCCCTATTAGTCTTTGTTAAATTTGCACTTTTCAAAAAATTGTGCAGAATTTATCTTTGTTTCAAATAAAGAAATACTTGGCATGAGTGAAGTTTCATTCTGTCCAGTACTACAGACAAAATTTCACATAACATTTCATTGCATATAAGATAATAACCATCACTGGAAGTTAACCAATCAAATTTTCACCCCTTTTTTTCCTGTGTACAAGCTTTTGTAACCATGTAACCTCAAGTTTCCAAAATATTCTATAGAAACACCAAATAAAAAAAGAATGGTGCTTTGTAACACCCAAGATATATGTTTATGACTCAGAATTTTTTTACTGCAAATGAAATGTAGGATTAATTTCCTACAACTGTCAAATTCAAAGTAATTCTCCGTTATGAGGCAGCAAGACTCTGGAACTCCTTGCCAAAAGTAGGAGCTTATCAACTTTTGGCCAGTTCAAAATTTTTATCTCTACCTGGTGTTTTTCAGAAAATTGTACCTGCAGTTCTTGTAAATAATTTAACTCCTTGCTGCCCCATGACATCATTCTGAAGCCTGCCGTTTGTTTTTTATTTTTATTTATCTTTTATCATTTCTTTGTTTTGCTTATGCATTACCTGTGCTGTAGCTGCTTGCAGTCTTTTGCTTGTGCTTTATAGTGTTTAATTTTGCATATGCTACTTGGATCTAGATACTTTGTGCTCTTATGTGCTGATATTTGACATTTGTTTTAATATATATCTTGCTTAGCTTTTATTTTGCATGTGCTATCTATGTATTAATACATGTATGTGCTGTCTGTATGTTTGTGTTGTATATGAATCTGATGTTATTACATGTATGTTTTGTTATTTAATATTAGTCGGTTAAAGAGCTCTTAAGAACTCATGTTCCTTGTTATTATGTATATATGCAACCCGACTTTAAATAAAGATTACTTACTTACTTAAAGGAATATTTTTTTTCGACCCTTTTTCGTATGCAACTGGATGTGACGTACTATGATTTGGTGGTATTACACCTTTAAAAAAAATCTAAATATGTTCTCATAATCTATCTACTATTCCTTGTTCAGCCGTTGTGTATTGACCTTGCATAGTTTTAAACCAGCAACTCTCAAGATATTAATAGATTATAAGCAATAAAAATTCACACTGGGTATGGATGTAATCAAACAGAACTGGTGAAACTAAATGAGCATGCAGATAAAAACAAACGGAAATGAAAGTAACTTCAACTGAATAAGAGTCAACTTGAATGAACATATGCAATAAGTACTTACCTAGAATTGACTCCAAGAAAAAAACAGGAATAATTGTTGAAACCAATGCATGCAATGGTTAAAGGCAGAGTGAATATTTGAACGGATTCTCACGAAAAGTTTTTTGAAGTTCTGATTTATTTTTCTCTAATGTTCCTCAAACAGTAAATTTCAATTCAAACTCCATGATTAGATGATAATGTCAACAATAATCATTGAAAAATGCTAAATTTCCACAAAAGTTTGAAACAAAGGAACAATCAAGAAAATAGTTCCAAATCAATGGTATTTGGTCATTGTGTGATAAGCTGTAAAACACTCAGAAAGACAGAAGAATTTCCCACATTCACGACACCCATACTTTGTTTGCATCCGCTCTTCTTGTTTACCAAGAGACACATGACACAATGAATTGTTCCCCACTATATAAGGCATATGTCTTTCACTAAGGGTTGAGGGTACTTCTGCTTACAGATTGAGGACCTCTGGCACCATAGCCACAATACGCACCAATCAAACCAGATGTATTGTCACATGAAAATTGAAGATGAGTCATTGCAGATTTGTTAACATTTTGATGAATGGGACTCGAGAGAAAAAGTCTGTATGCATTATATTTCAAAATTTCAAGAAATTTGAAGAACACACTGAGTAGTATACTTGTTAGTTTCATTGACGATGTACTCAGATATTGTGTTATCCAGGAAAAGTTTGTAAAAATCTATTAGCTCCTTGTCTTCATTTAATATAGTGGCTGTACCAGTTGGACCTCATGAGTATAAATTAGAAAGTTTTGATGCCAGGAGTCAGGGGAAATGTCTAAATCTGTTGTTACTTGGTCATTGATATTGAAAATAGGAAGGGTGGGTCCTGCTTCCGATTCGTTTCCTGATGAATTTTCCTTAAAATCATCCCAAATTCCTTAATTTAGCAAGACGTGTTCATACAGTTGAACTGCTTGGTTGATTTCATTGGTCCAAGAATTCATCGTTGGGAGAATTCAGACATTTCAATTTTTGTTGTTGTTGACAGACGACAATTTTTAATCACGTACTCGAGCTGTCAGTGGAATTGATAATGTATGATAAAATAAGTTATCAATTTGGTATGATATGCAAATGAGTTAAAAGAAACCATGCTATGACTTCTGCGTACTAGAGAAACTTGAAATAGTTACTACCTAATGTTAAGTCAAAATTTGAGGCTAAATCATTTCAAACTTAGAAATGACTGCAATTTTAGGTAATTAACAATATCTATTGTCGTTCACAGAAACAGATTTGAAGCGAGTAAAAATTACTGAACTGAATTTGTTTTTCTCATTAAAACAAAACATAATTTCTCATTTACTAGGATCATTTCACAGATTATATAACTTCCACATCCATAAGGATATTGGGTTGCTGTCTCATTGATGTAAATACCGTAATCTCTTTTTTATCATCTAAATAAAAATATACATGATTATACTAGGGAAAACTAACTTACCAATTAAATTATTACTAAAATCAGAACTCAAATCTAGGTATTTTCCTCCATCTTTTAAAGCACTTAAAACCAGTTGGTGCAAATTTCCTGATGTTGAAGTAAATACTGTATCTACTCCTATAAAGACAACAAGTAATCTACATATACAAAATCTGCCTCTTTCTGTACATAAGAAGCATGAAATATAAGTCACAGTGACCTCCTCTCCAAGATATACCTCATTACAAGTATAGATGGTCCTATTACTTATAGTTACTGAGATATTAACTAGAAAGTTAAATTTAACTTGAGCCAATGAAAAGTAGGTCAGCGTCTTTGGCTGAATGCTGACCTACTCCCAAAGATGATCTTATCATATATAATTACCTAGATACAAGCTTGGACGTAAATCTTAACTGAAGTCAATGAATATACAAATAAGGAGATCACAGTTTTGTGTGAAATATACTTAAATTGAAAATACTTGAAAAATATTCTTATTCATGGGTTATCAATTTTAAGTGATTTCAAGACTGACTTAATTAAGTGACCATCTTCCAAACAAAACCACACACAAAAATCAAAGAGCTGAAAGCTCTGAGGAAAAATGACGCCACTGTCTCTAATATTGTGATATTTTTTATGCAAGTCTTGATTTTCACATACTGTAACAAGTTTAACATTGCAACATGTCTCGTAAGCATATAATTGATATTCGTATATGTGTCTGTTTTTTCAGTATAAATGAATAGGTCAAGACTACCTGAATGATCTACAGTATCCAATTACTACTGGCTGTTTTTTTGTATAAATAAATAGGTCAAGACTACCGGAATGATCTACAATATCCAATGACTACTGGCTGTTCTTTTGTACTAATAAAAAGGTCAAGACTATTTGAATGATCTACAATATCCAATGACTACTGGCTGTTCTTTTGTACATATAAATAAAGACTACCTGAATGATCTAAAGTATTCTAAGTAATGTGATTTTTTTTCTTGCAATTATATTTTTCTAACTCAAGAATATAGACTACTAGTATCCTTTTCAAACCAAATGATTATGAAGAGCCTGTTGTTAGCAAGCTCTTATACCCCACATACTCATTAAATAAGTTACTAGTGACCTAGTTATTTCTGTTACTTGAAGCAAATTATATTTCTGTATATTTAGACAATAGTATAATGCTTGTTTTACTAGTTTTATTTCACCTTGAAGATTAGACAAATAGGGATACTCCTTCGATTTTTTATTTCATGTCAGTCAGGTCGCTTTATATGAAACTTGAAACCACTTCTCTGCTATATTGTTATTTTATAACAACTCTGCCCTTGACCATGTTGACCCATGTAATTGATATTCATTCTTTAACCATATATCATAGTCAGTTAGTTTTTGATTTTGCACTTCCACACCACCTTTCATGTCTTTCAGGTCAAATGTCTGTCTCCATTTAAGTTAATGACATTGAACGATCATGGTATTAAACACAATTTCAATAGTGATAATGCTGTTCTTGTGGGTCACCATATATTCAACTTGGGTAGCATTCCAGTTATTGAAATTTGTGTCAGATTAGAACAATGATCTAGATCTTTAGGAATGGATCTTATTATTTAATATGGAGCCATAGTATGGGACGCCTACACGGTAACAAAAAAAAAAACAAGCTTGAAAGGATACAATGTCAAGCCGCAAAATCTATCACCAGAGATTACAAGTCAAAAGAGGATGGACGGGATACGTCTCTAAAATGCTTGCTGAACTGGAACTACAGCAAGATCTCCAGACAAGACGAACAAAGCGTTGAAGCCAGAAGTTAATATTTATGTAAAAAGTAGTTGAGGGGCTGATTCCCGCTATTGAACCATATTGTCATTCTATTATATCATTGCATAAGTATTTCTGTATTGGCCTTGTTATTGGTCCATGTCTTGGGTGTATTGGTCTGAGGCGAAGCGGAAGGCCAATACTGCTGGCCTAGGACCAATAATAAGGCCAATACAGAAATACACGTAATAGTATCTTTATTAATTAACTACAGTGTTACAATATTTTTTTTATTTCATTTCACAAGAGATAAACATTTTTACCTTGAAGTGGAACTATCCAAATCTCAGTTTCCTTTTATAAGATGCAATATCTAATGATTCGGTGCCGTTTGACTGCTGGCCGAGAACCAATAATAAGGCCAATACAGAAATACACGTAATAGTATCTTTATTAATTAACTACAGTGTTACAATATTTTTTTTATTTCATTTCACAAGAAATAAACATTTTTACCTTGAAGTGGAACTATCCAAATCTCAGTTTCTCTTTACAAGATGCAATATCTAATGATTCGGTGCCGTTTGAAGTATCTTCAGCCTTTTCTCATCTGATGAATTTTTCTACCCTTTCCAGTCACTATTAACATGATTAAGTGTTACAACTTTAATTTAGACACAACACATAAATAGTAATTGGAAAGGTACTGCCATTGCATGTGTAATGCAAATATATTTAAAAAAAAAATAATGTAAGAGTTGAAATTGATACAACTATCCATAAGCCAATTGACCAAAGAACGAAGATTTGCACAAATACAGAATGCATATGCCTGGTTCGGGTTTAAAAATAAACGACCGTTTAAAAACAAAACATGAGAAGCGACAGTAAACAGTAAAAATCGATTTGTACCTTCGACATGATGAAATTATGAGGTCGTCAAGAAATGAACTTTGTGATAATTTACTCGTTCCCCAAACCTGAAATAATCCCATTGTCTACTTTCAAAATGCTTATAAATGAATGGGACCGTCTTTAACCTAAAATATATGCCATACTGAACGTTTCAGCTTGTTTATGGTGAGTAAACCTGCGTCTTACAAACAACTGTTTACCTTTCAGTTTGAGTTTATCGTAACTTACGATCTAAAAACTAGAGACGTTCTGAAATCCTGTTTTGTAAACAAAGATTCATACGCACCGCGTGGGTATAACTGTATTACTAATTTCCGATTTTTAAAATCTTCGTAAATCTGGATAAAGACCAGTTTCTATCCAATGGATACCAAAATGATTCCCATTTTCACTTTTTTTAATGATTGTAAAGTTGAAATGGCATGAAAGGCTGACATTATTTAGGAGAACTATTTTGTCTAGCGATTGCTGATCACGATTGTAAGACATGTGCATAAAAGTGAAAGCTCGAATAAATATGAGAAATATAACAAAGGGATAGCTCCAAATACCATTTAATAACAAAAAACATATGGACAGGTCAAGATATCTTTTTGGTAAATAAAATAAAGTATGTAAACTGGTTCCCGTACGACTACAACACTTTGTTCGAGTGTAGCGTAATACAAGCAGATTCCAGTTAGAATGTAAAATAGTAAATATGAAACCAAGTGCGGTAGGCGGAGGCAATAATCGACTTCTGTAAGTTCTGGTCAATGGTATCAGAAACATGCCGCTGATAGCGTCATTTTCCAAAAAGGTAAATTTTTCAGTGACAAGATGCCTCACACTATACCAGTGCAAAACAATGAATTAGAGAAGTTATATAATACAGCTGTTTGAACAAACCATGACTTGGCATGACAATTGGTTCTGTTTAATACAAGACAATCACAATACCTTTTCCTTTGGTCTGCCTTAAAATTTCTCCTTCAAACTGCTTACTCTTGTCTATAATGTGAATGTTCTGTAATGATGGGTATCTCAACTTCAAGTACTGCTGACACTCAAGAGTACTAACTAAAGCAAATATCTGACATCCCATAAAAGCAGTTATGGAAACAGCAGCTTGACCAAGTGATGAAGAGGCATTGGCTATCAGGATGCTGGATCCTTTACTGATTTCTCCCTTCATGGTCAGGGCATAATAGGCCAGGCCAAATGCTGATGGTACTGTTGCTGCTTCACTTAAAGACCATTCTTCAGGAATATCAAAAAGACATTCCTTACTAACAATTGCATCTGTTGCCAATGCCTGGTAATGAATTATAAAATAATACACATGATCAGTAGTCTAGCTAGGATTATAAAAAAGGCACAGTGTAAATTGCAAACATAAGTAATCTATTATTATGTAGCTGGCCTTGCCCCTTATTTGGCTTGATAAACCTTATACATGTACAATGATTAATATAAAAGTAATGTAACTGCTGAGTGAAGAGGAACAAAAATGATGGTCAATGGGTATATAAGAACTTGGACTTTAGTACAATGATTGATTGATTGTTGGTTGCTTAATGTCCAGTGGCAAATATTTCATGCATGTTCTGGACGATTTTAGCACAATGAAATAAAGTGTAAAATAAGGGTCATAATAGTGATTAATTTCAATCTCATATCAGTTGACATATCAGAATTTAAAAAAAAAAACATCAGCCAGATGGCACTCAAAGCAACAACTTTGCATTCATCCGAAATCAAACCCTAAGCATGGAAATCATTTAAAAAGTGCAAGATTATTTAATAACTACTAGCAATTTTAGTATTAAAACCAACTTCAAGCTGTACAATATGTATGTTAGTTTTTAGTAACTATGTCAATAGGTTGCTGTTTTACAGACATTTACTGAAAATCTTAGTTCATTCTCAAATAAGTTATATAACTATACCTGTCCATCAATGACTCCCATTACTCTCCTTCCCTTCTCATTTACTCCTGAAAACTCTGTCCCTAGATGAAATTTCTGGTCAGCAGGGATTCTGCCCATGGTAAACATCAGATCTTTGATACCAAGTGACACATAGTGCATCTTACAGGCAACATCAGACTTCTGTGAACACGTTTGTTTAATCTGATCCCTCCAATATAGACTGGACAAATCTCCTTTTCTAGCTATATCTATGAAGCCATTTGACTTCTTTTCCAGTATCTGTGCTACAATTAACATTGGGAACTTAAAACTTATAAATATACTATTCGATGTACTGACTATATTTTCTTTTCCATTTTTACAAGCAGGTAATTCATATTTAGGCTAACACTGTTTGTTAATAGCCTAAAACCACAAAATTGAATAGCATAATTCTCACAATTTCTCATTTACTTTTTAGTTTTTGTGTTATTTTTGCAGTCCACTTTTGGATTTTATGAAAACACTGGCTAATTAAGCTTTTTTTGTCCACATAAATTATGTTTTCAGAAAACAAGCCCAGCACATTTTAATCAACTTTCTTTTATTAGAAATATCATTATCAATATGTATACAAGAAACTATCAATCATTATCAATGATTATCATTTTGATAACCTATTTTTAAGATATATTACTGTAAATTCAGAAATTTCTTATTGCGATTTTTGAAGAATGGACATAAATGCGAGATTAATTATTGCGATTTCAGGAAAAGCTGCATACAGATATATGCGTCAGATATCAGAATGCGAGTTATTATTATTGCGATACTAACCAAGTCGCATTATTCGCATTAATAAAAACCTCGCAATAATTTCTTTACAGTAGTTTGTTTTAACAAATGTGTTATGCTTTCATGCTTCATGCTGCAACTTTTTAAATCATTAATGAGTATAAACTATCACCACATTTAATATCAGTTTTCAGCAAGCATGTCAACATGAACAATTATTTTGTGAGAAAGACACTGATATATTATATATGGCATTACAAAAACATTTTCTTACACATTCTAATTACAGTAAAATATGCAATCAAAACAAATTATGGAACTGTTAAAAACCTGTTATTCTTACATGGTGCCAACTAGAAGCTTTTGTGCTTAAATGGAAGCATGTCTGTAAAGGAAGAATAGGCTTAAACAAAAACAGTTAATAGGAACTAGTGTTTTAAACAAAATGTGAAACACCTTTACTCAACATGCTCTCAATCTGGTCATAATTGGTCTTTTACTTTTTAATTTAAGTATAATAACCGTTCTTCTCATGCAATTAATATAGTGCTGAAATAAAAAAAAAAAATAAAAAAAAAATCTTGTGCATGTTAATAGTGCACTAAGGGATTTTTACCAGGAGATATGGGCAGATGTCTGAATGAGCCCCAAGATCCATCACACCATACATTCATAACCATATCATGTTTGACTAATTCCTCTGACAGAGGTCTATCTGAATCTGATGTATTCAAAAAACACCTAAAACCCAAGTTATTGAAAATGTTATGATAGCTAACATGTTCTTTTAGGATATAAATGGTTAATACAATTTTTACATAATTCATATTTTGATATGGTTTTAAAAGATATTCAAGGCTTAATGTTTATTGTTGAATGTAAATGCAATACTAATGTTCTGTGACAATTTTATTTCCAATCAAAGCGTGAAAGCGCTGTAAAGGCAGTTAATTACAGGTTGTGTGTATTTTTAGTCCAGTTATATCATTATCTTGCATAGTACAGTGTACTTATCAGAGGTGGCTTTCAGTATTTAAGATTTAGAGTTCTCTAATGATATTGAACAAGTTATATGAATGTCATATTCTGAGCACTATATGAAGGTGATTGTTCTCACTTGTTTATGAACTAGTGCATTATGTCCAGTTTGTACCTTTTTTTATCTATGTTTATAGTCAAATTAGTTATCAAAGGTACCAGGATTATAATTTAATACGCCAGACGCGCGTTTCGTCTACATAAGACTCATCAGTGACGCTCAGATCAAAATAGTTATAAAGCCAAACAAGTACAAAGTTGAAGAGCATTGAGGTCCCAAAATTCCAAAAAGTTGTGCCAAATACGGCTAAGGTAATCTATTCCTTGGATAAGAAAATCCTTAGTTTTTCGAAAAATTCAAAGTTTTGTAACAGGAAGTTTATAAAAATGACCACATAATTGATATTCAAATACTGTTTAAAATAGTTAGGCATTTTCTTTTTAGTAATAAGTAAATGTTATCAACTGTATTTTATTCAACTCTGCAAATGTGGTTTGTTACTGTTAAGTATGGATGATAGTTGTTTCATTGGCAATCATAACACATCTCCTTATTTATATAATGATCTAATTCAACGACCTCAGGTACAAAAAAAATGTATGTAACTTAACTATGATGGGAAACCTTTGACTTCTTTCTTTTATATAAACTTTTGATTTGGTACCATAGAACTATGTAGAATAAATGTACATTGCAACATGTCAACTCTTTCAATGACAATACTTTTTTAAGAAACTATAACTCCAAGCAAAATTATATTTCTAAGTTTAAAGTAATTTATGAATGAAAAAAGGAGTTCTTAATTAAGAAATAAACTGATTCGCTGAGCGCAGCTGGATACACCCGCAGAGGTCCAACCCTGAACAGTTGGGGCAAAAATGGACACAATATTCAAGCTTGATACAGGTCTGAATTTGGATTGTAATTAAATATTTGACATATTATAGTTTCTGAATAAATGTAGTCAAAGAACTTGAAATCGGTTATATGAATTGAATTTATATTCAATTAAAGATTTCTTGCTGTTGTGCAATACACTGTGCTGTTGCGCAATACTTAATAAATCTGTTGCCAGACTATAAACAAATAAAGTTCAATTTCTTCTCAATGTCATATTTGAAATTTATGAAAATCTATAGGGAGATTACATCAATAGCTATAAATAATTCACCAAAGTTTCGTGCGAACTGCTTAAAGCATTTTTGAGTTTTTGTCCTACAAGAGTGCACACGCTGAAATGTCTCGCCTTCTTTACTAATCACTGATATTATGTTGATAGTCCTTAATATAAAGCTTTATTACATCTGTCACATAAACTTAACATTAACCAAGAAAACTAAACATTGACCAATGAACCATGAAAATGAGGTCAAGGTCAGATGAACCATGCCAGGCAGGCATGTACAGCTAACAATTCTTCCATACAACAAATATAGTTGACCTATTGCTTATAGTTTAAGAAAAACAGACCAAAACACAAAAACTTAACACTGAGCAATGAACTGTGAAAATGAGGTCAAGGTCAAATAAAACCTGCGCGACTGACATATAGATCATAAAATATTTCCATACACCAAATATAGTTGACCTATTGCATATAGTATTAGAAAATAAGACCAAAACTCAAAATCTTAACTTTGACCACTGAACCATGAAAATGAGGTCAAGGTCAAATGAGACCTGCCAGCTAGACATGTACACCTTACAATCATTCTATACACCAAATATAGTAGACCTATTGCATACAGTATAAGAAAAACAGACCAAAACACAAAAACTTAACTATAACCACTGAACCATGAAAATGAGGTCAAGGTCAGGTGACACCTGCCAGTTGGACATGTACGCCTTACAGTCCTTCCATACACCGAATATACTTGACCTATTGCTTATAGTATCTGAGATATGGACTTGACCACCAAAACTTAACCTTGTTCACTGATCCATGAAATGAGGTCGAGGTCAAGTGAAAACTGTCTGACGGGCATGAGGACCTTGCAAGGTACGCACATACCAAATATAGTTATCCTACTACTTATAATAAGAGAGAATTTAACATTACAAAAAATGTTAACTTTTTTTTCAAGTAGTCACTGAACCATGAAAATGAGGTCAAGGACATTGGACATGTGGCTGACGGAAACTTCGTAACATGAGGCATCCATATACAAAGTATGAAGCATCCAGGTCTTCCACCTTCTAAAATATAAAACTTTTAAGAAGTTCGCTAACGCCGCCGCCACATCACTATCCCTATGTCGAGCTTTCTGCGACAAAAGTCGCAGGCTCGACAAAAACTGGAAAATCCCCCCTTTTTTAATGAATAAAACCCCATAACTCAGAAATGTAAAATCTAAAATTTATAAAATTCTAAAGGGAGCTTACGGATTGATAATTTAGTCTTAGATGCAAGATTTTTTTATCAGTTGTTAGTGGCTTTGAACTAGCTAGATAGCTGTTAGTAACTTTGAGTACTCTCAGATCTGTACTTAGTGTCTTTTTGTTGTTTGGATGTACAACTACCCGACCACGTCCACTTGTATTTGTATTTATCCATCTGATGAGTTAAGCCACTTTCAACTGATTTTTATAGTTCGTTCTTATATTGTACTGTTACACCACTGTCCCAGGTTAGGGGGAGGGTTGGCATGCCTTCAAACTAGTTTAACCCGACACATTCTGTATGTACATGTATGTGCCTGTCCCAAGTCAGGAGCCTGTAATTCAGTGGTTTTTGTTTGTTTATGTGTTGCATATTTGTTATATTCGTTCATTTTTTGTACATAAATTAGGCCGTTAGTTTTCTTGTTTAAATTGTTTTACATTGTCATTTCGGGGCCTTTTATAGCTGACTGTGCGGTATGGGCTTTGTTCATTGTTGAAGGTCGTACTGTGACCTATAGCTGTTAATTTCTGTGTCATTTGGTCTCTTGCGGAGAGTTGTCTCATTGGCAATCATACCACATCTTCTTTTTTATATTTACATCAACAGATATAAACAATTCACCAAAGTCAAGGTGAGACAACAAAACTTAGTGGGAAGATCTCTGAAATGTATTACACGGTACAAGTTTTTCTCATTGTTGGAGATTGTACGGTGACAGTAACACCTGTAACTGCTTAAACCCATTTCTTATGCACTTTAGTTCGATAAACTCACTGAATATCATACCACATCTCCTTATTTTCATATGCATTACAATTTACATGTGCATGTAATTATAAATATATATATATATCAGAACAAAATTCATTGCGTCACTTTTATTTATGCATCCTTTGGCACAATACAAGTTCTAAAATTACACAACATCATGAACATAGTACAACTAAATGTTATTTCAGATGAAAGTTTTGTTTCAGTTCCATTCATAGGATTTATTAGAATTTTGTATGTTTTGCCAAGTCCAATAATTTGCTCTATGTGCACATGTTAATTGGAGACTTTTCTATCCCGTATAAGAGTTTTGGAACTAATTCTGTTTCTTTTTTTGAAAAAAGTTAGCAAACAAATCTTGCACATTTAAACCTTTGTCTGCCATCACACTGTCACCTGGATCACATAATTGAACTATTCTACATCTTTCAACTATTTCATAGTCACTGGTGGAACCAACATATGCATTAGAGACATAGTTGACTAAACCAACAGGTGTCGAACATACAAGTATTTTCAGTGTTTCTGTTTTTATATGATGAAAAGGTTGCCTGAGCTCTAGGAGCTTTAGGTTTTATCACGGGATATTCTGTGCTGTCATCAATAATAATCCAAGTCGTAGGAAACTTTAATTTGAAGTTGGATGGTGAAAAATACCTGACTAAACCACTAGATGGCCAAGTGTTAGCCTCACACCACTGTTTAGACATAAAAACAATCCATGTATACACAATATTCATAACACTAGATTCAATCTAGAATCTAGAAAGTTCAAAATTGGTTGTATAATGCCTCAATTTCATCAAAGTCTGATTTTCAACTGACACCCTATCAATTTGAAAATATATGTATCTCAAACAATGTGCTGCTGGACCAAGTGTGGTCAAAACAAATAAAAATTTAGTATACAACTCTAAACCGGTATAAAAATGCATGGCTGTGTCACGTGTCTTCATTTCAAAATTCTCTGCTGAAAACATAGGCATTGATGGTGTTTGCATAATTCCATCTGTGAAGCTCAACATTAGCTCGGCAGTTGGTGGTGGACAGTCATAAATCCTTTCTGCAGTATGAATGACTTCTTCAGGAAAACCAACTTTACAATCAAAACTTTCCTCTAGATTTCTACTACAATATTCATCAAGTTTAGTTCTTTTGTTTTTCACAGGAAACTGCCCTGATTTTTCTTTTTGCGGACGATTCAGACTCTTGCTTGGTCCAGGAAAATAGGCTGGGAATGGCAGTAGACTTAAGTCTCTGAATGGTGGGTTTGCGCCCTGAAAAAGGTTATAAAACATTAGTTTTTTGATAATTAAATGAACTTCCATTAGCAATGTATACTTTGTATTACCTGGCGAAATATTAACTAGATTTATTCATTACAATCTGGATAAAACTATGTTTGCCTGATTCAATGTATGTTATGTAAATCCAAAGGACAAACAATGAGAGACTTATGCAACAAACGTACATTGTTTGTACCTAAATAACTATAATATAGATGAGAGCATGTCATTGTTTTGTTCCTGTTAACATTGTCATTGATATTTTTCAAGAAAGTCTATGAGGCATAGCTTATGCATTCCTGTCATTACTACATTAGCATAATTACTGCTAAAATAATTCTCAGTATGATATACCTCTTGTAAGAAATCATTATAATTGTAGCAATCCCCAAAAATCTCAAACAGATCACATTGAATCGTAATCCAAAAAATTATGACGTCTTGAATTAACCACCCCCTTTTATTCTAAAACGATAATTGCGGTTGTAAACAGACTTTGGTTTATTCGCATGGCGATTACATATATTTCAAAAAGAAAATAGAGTTTTACCATGAATAGTTTCCTGCACGTAGTCTTTTTCAGTAAAATGTGCCTTGCAAACAACAGCTGATTGAGATGGACTCATCGTGTTCTCGTCCAATCTGCGTATGGGCCATGGCGTTGATCCAACTTTTCCTTCTTTTTAAGTCATTTGGAAATGCATGTCCTCCTCTTAAATGACATCCAGGTACACAACAACAAGTACTTGGCATCGTTAATTAGAAATGTAACTGAAATAGTTGCACAGTGCAGAAACCGGAAGATGCGGAACAGGATCGGCTACCACGGCGCCATCTATTCAGGAACGATAATTTGCTACTTTATATAACTGCGAAATAACAATAACGTAAGACGGGTTCACGTGCATAAACAGAAATGCGCTTTAAATTGTATAATATAATTCATGTTCAGTCGACCTTTAATTATTATATCAACGACTGAAATGATTTATAAACATATCGATTGCAGATAACACTCGAAATTAACCCGAGCTCTTTCCACACGGAATTCAAATAATTCTAGTTTGTCAATCGGTTGACTGCTTATAATGCAAAATACAAATATATCAAAAGTTTTTAAAACTAACAAAACACAATGATCGTTTCTCTATTTCCCAATGTAAATGAAATGAAACAAAAAACATTTTATATCACAATAAGAAGAGGAGAGAATTCAACATTTCCGGATCTACTTGGAGCCTAACGACCCCCCACGTAGATAAGTTGGATATCGCGGAAGGAAGGATTAACCCGGCAACTAGAAAGGCATTAAAGCACTGCCTTTAAAAACCACTCTTTATTCATTATGTATTTATTCCTTAGCTCAGACTTATATTTTCAACTGTCTACCATAGTAAATGTAATGACTTAATACTTTACCTTATTTTCTCCCCTCCAGGTTCTTTTCTCAAGCAGTTGACCATACCAACAACACCACTATTATTGTCATTGGCCAATAACCACAAGTTATCTCCCTTAGGCTTTTCAGCAACTTCCAGTAACTTTTTCTTCAAATCTTCTACAGATTTTGTGATGTCTAGGTCTATATTCAATACAGTTTGAGATTGCAGTACATTTGGAAGTTTCTTACGAAGAAGAAAGATTGTATTCAGCAAGCCATCTGATTTTTGTGATACAACTTGGAAATTTTCCTTCTCAAACAACTCCAACCATTTTTCTTCATTAAAATAACAGGCAACAGATCTGGTCTCTGCTGATACTGGAAGTTCTGACAAAAGACCCATGACTGCTAAGTGTAGGTGGACATTGTGTGTTATTTCATGTACCAGTAAAAACCCATCATCATCAAGTACTTTGCTAATATTCTTTAAGGATTTTTGAACATTGCTTTGTCTATGTAAAAAGTTGTGAGCAATGACTAGTCTCATTCCACTTAAGTTTTCTGGAGGATTTTCATCAACATCCCACAACATCTGTTTTATACCAGATGTCTTATCGTCAGATTCTTCCGAAGTAACTTTTGTGTAATCAATGAATACCATAGGTTGGCTATTTAAATGATCTAACACTAATTTAGTAATACTATCTGCTGGTGATTCCAACTCCAGTACTTTCATGGTGCTCACTGTACTGTTTTCAATGACAAGGTCAAGGCATGGTTTCAGTGACCTTGACTGTATAAGGTTAGACAGAAGTCTATCAATCACAAGCCCAGACTTGTATGCTTCCAGAACTCTCTTGATGTTTTGTACAAAATTATCTGCAGACATACTGAAAAGTTTATTAAGGACTATAAATAACCCATTGTTTGGTAATTTCCAAAACCTTTCCACATTTTCAATGAATCTAACAGGTTTCAAAGATTTAGAGACTTGCTTTAGCATATTAAAATTTGCAAAGTCCAATCCCTCCATACCCATCATTCTCAGAATGCCATTGGCTGCAATGGATGAACACTTTGAACAGTATTCCTTTAGATCTTCTGGAGACAGATCTTTTCCTCCTACTTCAATGTGTGGTATAAACACGCATTCTTCCAGTGTTACTGGTTGTTGGTTTTGCTTCCTGGGTGCAGAAGTCAGCTGAAGTCCATACATCTCTACACTTCCAGCTGTAGTTGTATCAGAGTACATGTCAAGAAAAACAGGAATAGCTACAAGAATACAGTGATACATATGATCTATTACTAAAAAAACAGGAATAGCTACAAGAATACAGTGATACATATGATCTATTACTAAAAAAAAGAAGAATACATGCAGAAAAAACCATTACAATTACTGGCAGAATTAAAACCTCCATTTTAATAAACTTTTAATCTTTCCCATCCTACAAATCAGGTTTCAGGCCACATAATTCTTGTCAAACTGCACTTACTAATATCACTGACATTATACTCCACTAACCTAATACTTGTATGTACTTACTCAAAGGATTACCACTGACAATATACTCCACTAACCTAATACTTTAATGTACGTACTCAATGGATAACCACTGATAATATACTCCACTAACCTAATACGTGTATGTACTTACTCAATGAATCACCACTGATAGTATACTCCACTAACCTAATACTTGTATGTACTTACTCAATGGATGACCACTGATAATATACTGCACTAACCTAATACATGCATGTACTTACTCAATGGATTACCACTGACAATATACTCCACTAACTTAATATGTGTATGTACTTACTCGATGGATCACCACTGACAATATGCTCCATTAACTTAATATGTGTATGTACTTACTCAATCGATCACCACTGACAATATACTTCACTAACCTAATACTTGTATTTACTTACTCAATGGATTACTACTGACAATATACTCCACTAACCTAATCCGTGTATGTACTTAATGGATTACCACTGACAATTTACTCCACTAACTTAATATGTGTATGTACTTACTCAATGGATCACCACTGACAATATACTCCACTAACTTAATACATGTATGTACTTACTCAATGGATCACCACTGACAATATACTCCACTAACCTAATACTTGTATGTACTTACTCAATGGATTACCACTGACAATATACTCCACTAACCTAATCTGTGTATGTACTTCCTCAATCCTAATACTTGTATGTACTTACTCAATGGATTACCACTGATAATATACTCCACTAACCTAATCTGTGTATGTACTTCCTCAATCCTAATACTTGTATGTACTTACTCAATGGATTACCACTGATAATATACTCCACTAACCTAATATGTGTATGTACTTACTCAATGGATCATTCCATTTCATAGAAGACACATGGGTTTCTGGATCTATTTTCATTGATTTGATTCCAGTGGGCAGGATAAGGTCAGATCCTGGTCTTGTCAACAGGTTCATTTGCATCATAGTGTCCAGGAAGGTTATCCAATTATTACTCCACAATAAATCACCAATATTTCCTAGTAACAGAATTAAAATATGTCTTACATGGGATTCAACTGGTCAAAAAAACTGCAAAGTTAAATGTTTCAATAAGAAATGCTTTGTTCATAACATTGTTAATTTTAGCTGGTAGTTCAAGGAAATGGATGAATATAATCAATGTACAGCTTCTTTTCAAATCATATTCTGATAAATTTTAGCTATTGTACAGTGCTATAAATATAAAATTCTCAGAAATAGATATATTTTTTAAATAAACTTTTATGATAAAAAATACCCCCCCCCCTAAAAAAAAACCCAAAAACTAATCATACACACAATCTGTTTTCCATCATTTGTTAAAGAACATATAATGCAACTATCTTTGTTACCCCTGTTTACAGCTTTGAAAATGCCTCTAAAATCTCCTTCATATTCATAACCTCTCAGCCTCAATTCTTTATAGATGTCTGATGGCAATATTTCTATCTCCTTCTTTTTACGAGGGCTTGTGGGAGGCATAACTCCATCCCTGCTGTAACTACATATAGGTTCAGAAGGAGAATAGATAGTTCCACTAGCAACCAGTCCATCTCCTTCACAAATCTCAAACTCTCTTAAATCTGGTATCAAGTTGACTTCAAAGTTCAAACTACCTGATAATTATAAACATGAACAACAGTTTGTAAGCATTCTAAATGTATACTTAGTGAATACTGCCAGAGTTAGATCTCGCCTGTATGTAATTTTAAAAGAAGATATAAATGTTGATAGTAAAATGGCAATACTTTAACATGTTAACTAAGCATAACATGAAGTCAATGAACCATGAAGAAAGGTTCAGGGACAAATAACCTCCATTGAAATAAAATATGCCAATAATAATACAACTGCATACCAAATATTATTGACTTATCACAAGTGGTTCCCCTCAACCTGACCTCATCACCAACTTTTAGCATACAACTATATAAAATTTCTGAAGTTAATGAACTATGATTGAAAAGGGCTGGCCAAATAATCTCCATTGAAACGAGATGTGCAAATGCTGATACAACACACCAAATATCATGACTTACCAAATCCCCTCAAATGCTGATACAACACACCAAATATCATGACTTACCAAATCCCCTCAAATGCTGATAAAACACACCAAATATCATGACTTACCAAATCCCTTCAAATGCTGATATAACACACCAAATATCATGACTTACCAAATCCCCTCAAATGCTGACACAACACACCAAATATCATGACTTACCAAATCCCCTCAAATGCTGACACAACACACCAAATATCATGACTTACCAAATCCCCTTAAATCAAACTAATCAAAAACTTTCTAACATTTAAACTAAGAAACTTTATAACATTTCAACTAAGCAAAAGTTTCAAATTCAACAGACCCTGAATGGAAATGAGATGTGCCAATACTGAAACAACTACATACCAAATATCATCGACGTAATACCATTAGTGGTTCAACCACTACACACTACAAACACAAAAGTTACATTGCCTTTTAATCCAAAAGAAAATGTTTATTGGTGAATCTCTGCCTGATGTATTATAATGAAATTTATTAAAAGATACCAATTTTAGTGTGTACAATGAAAGTGTTTACTAAATATTTATACTATTACCTTGACTGATACATGTAAAATTTTAAGATAAAACATTTTCTGTTGGTGCATTTACATAATTTCAAGCTTCTTTTAATGTATTATGTTCCACAAACCTTTAGAAGGTATCAATGTAGCTCTGTGTATTTTAATGTTTTCTAATACGACTGGCATGCGGTTGAAGATCTTCCCATGAAATTTTGCCAATGCCTTCCATGCTAGGACAATGTAACCAGCAGCAGGGAACAGGACACGCCCATCAATCTTGTGACCAACCAAAAATTTATCTTTAGTATTCTTTGAAGCATCAATTTCAAACCTTGACTCAGCCTGTCTGTCTGAACTTCCACTGAGGAACTGGGCATTTTCTGGAACATGCCAAGACTTTGCATGATCCCATTTGATTGCAGGAGCTATCATTGGGGTTCCCCTTGGCACAGGATGTTCAATTGGAGGGAAAATTCCAAGTGGATTGAAATCTACTCCCTGGATGTAGCATCTATGAATGACAATAAGGTCAATTAACAATTAATATAATGATAATAATTATAATGACCACTCCTATGTGAAAGGATTTCTGGAGGCTCACCTTATCAGCCATGTAATATTATTTTATTTCAGAAGACTATGCATGTATTATAATGATCAGTTATGATGGTCATATTTAGGTCACTGTAATTGTACAATGAATTGCTGTACAATATCAGTGCTCTAGAATGAATCACTTAGTACTATTTTCTTGAAAATGATGGTAGAAAAATTATTTCCCAGATTTTATAGAAAATACTTAGAAGGCAAAATAAAATCTTTATTGCTGCCGTCCAATAAGCATTCGTTTCTGTTGATTCAGAATAAGAAAATGTAGTAAAACTGCAATAAAAATTTGTAAAGGGTTCAGCGGAACCCTGTGTCTCGCCAGCGATTGCTGCTGTCAGTGTAAAAGTGTAATGTTTACTTAAAAAGTGAGTCCATTTATCAGTACAATACAGAATTTTAAAAAAAATTCAAACTTTTTCTTTAGATGCTATTTTTTGGTCTTGAAGATAAGCTTCTGTCCATGTTTCAAGACAATTCATGAAGGTTACAAACTTATCATGTCAAAAAAGTTTAATCCCAGACTGTCTGTAAATGTTAATTGTAAAAAACAAAGTCCATCAATCAGAAAAATACTAATAATGAAAAAATATATTTTCAAAGATACGTTCAGACATTATCTCTTAATCATTAAGCAGCTTCTGCCAAAGTTTCATAAAACTCTATGAAGGTTTGACAAAGTAATTGATGTGTAACAAACTTTAACCCCAGACTGTATCTACTTGTTAATTGTAAAAACAAACTAAGTCCATTTATTAGTAAATTAAACAAAAATGAAAATAAATATTTTCAAAATTTTGCTCTGGATATTGTATTTGGTCATAAACAAGCTTCTGTCAAAATTTCATAAATTTCCATGAAGGTTTGACAAAGTTATTGATGACTGAAAAACTTTAATCTCAAGACTAAATCTGAATGTTAACTTTAAAAATGATGTTGGATAAGTTGTTTAAATAGTTTCAGGAGGGAAGTGAGAAAATTGGTTTGATTCCATTAAAGCTGAAGGGCCGGGGGTTTCAACATGGAGTTTTAAAAATGTTCCTGTATGCTATTGAAAAAAAATATTTTTCTTATTAATGTAATAAAAAATTGGCTTGCCCCACAAATATGAATAGTCGTCAAACTGATATGTACTGATAGTAATGCAACTTTATATTAAATATCAATGATCTATCACAAGTAGTTCCTATCAGAAAACTTAACAATTGTTGACGCCACCGCCGTCACCAGAAAAGCAATCCCTATGTCTCGCTTTCCGCGACTTTCATCGCAAGCAAGCCAAAAACCGGTGTAAAATGAATATTCTATCAGCAATATGAGTATTTGTCAATAAATAGGTAAATAACTTATCTTATAATATTTATGATTCAATGTATGTAACTTCCTTAAATATTCATAATAAAATCCACGTTTATAATATCTAGTTTTGTGTACACTTAACCCACTCAAGGTCTACATTGACTATCGACTGCATGTAGTCAAAACCTGTTTTAAACTACATGTAAACACTGACTTTTATCAATGGGAACGTAAAAAAGTTTAGTTTAATTGTTGAGTACACTTACACCACACCGAGTTTAGCTCAATGTGATCACGGCCTAAGTCCATCTATTGTAAATAGGGAAAAATGAAAATAAATATTTTCAAAATTTTGATCTGGATACTGTATTTTGGTCATAAACAAGATTCTGTCCCAATTTCATAAAATTCCATGTAGGCTTGACAAAGTTATTGATGTCTAAAAAAACCTTTAACCACCAGCGCTGGATTCTAGGATGGCTATGACTCGCTTTCAAAAAATAAATTTTGCAGCCTGAACAAAAACCTGTATCACCACAAAGGTATACAGGATTGTGTCTATCCCGAAATCTAAAGAAATTTTCCTTATGATCTATACAGCAGAATTATTTCTTATATGTATAATAATAAATGATCTAAGCACAGATTAAAAAACCAAGTGTGTGAACACTGAAATGTTTGGCCTGCTTTAGTGGTCAATATTGTATTTCATGCTGAGTCTTCAAGATGAAAAATTTACTGCTAGTATCCCATAAACTTAGAATTGTTAATGATCCATCACAATAAAGTCAAGGTCACATGAACCTTACCTAGTTTTCTATCTAGTCCTTCCTGTAGCTCAGTGAATGTGATGAATATTTTCAACTCTACTCCTTGACGAAGACGCAGTCATGGTCATGGTCATCATACATCAAATTCTTTGCATGATGTCTCTATTAATGACTTGCTGCCATTTATACAAAAGCCGTTAGGTATTCATCACATTCGCACAAAACTTTATTCATTACCCCTTTCAAAACTTCATTCTCTGTTCAATTTATGTTTGGAAACCACTGTTACAAACCCTCATTCAAACCAATACAAACTTACAGCTATCATTTCGCATATTGCAAGTCACAGACTTTTCAAACCAGTTCGCATTGGAAAAGATGAAAAAGAGAAAAGATCTTTTCTTAAACTTTCCTTTGCCAACATAGGTCTCGATGGCGTCAACTTAGGCAATATCCTTCATCATAAATTAGTTCAGTCGAAAATACCTCCTTATTTTAAAGATCAGTCTGTACCAATAATTTCTTATATCTATACCAAACCAATTGCAACTAAAATTTTCAATTACAAACACGTTTTGCAGGATCTCAACATTGACGACTTCAAGTCTAAACCTCCTGATTGCACCTGTGCTAGTTCCCAATTCACATATAATCCGGCTGGCCACGTTATTACCGGAGACCTCAACATTGTCAATAACACTTCCCTGCGAAATTTGTTATCCAAAGGTCCGAAATATCGTGAGCCTAAATCCATCAATTGGAAATACAACTTCAAAATACTGATGGATTCAGTCGAGGATTATGCCAGGCAATAGGCTAAACGCGAGAAAGAAGACGTAGATACTCTTTCCGAATGGATTAAGGCTGTGAGGTCGTTGATACGAATCCGAATTAAGAAACTAAATGGGTCTATCAATACCCACGCTACGTCAATTTTTAAAGAACCAAATGTTGCAAAACACTTGTCCTACCTCCATGACAAATATGTTGTCCCCGCAGATAAAGCCCCAAACAACATCGTTTTTGTGTGTAAATATTATTACATAAACTGCTTGATAAATGAATAAGGTATTGACAATTCACTTGGAAACTCAACATATACCCTCACGACACTTACCAAAGAGGAAATCCTGGATAATCATAGGTCTGTTCTATGTTCCTTTGGAATTTCAACCAAAGATGAAGAACTGGATCTTCCATCACTGTATTGGATACCTAAACTACATAAGTGTCCTTACAAACAACGGTATATTGCTGGGTCTTCCAAGTGCTCCACGAAACCTCTTTCTAAATTATTAACATCTATTTTATCAGCAATCAAAGCCAGGCTCCAAAGTTATTGTGAAACTGCCTATTCTAGAGGTGGCCTGAATCAGATGTGGATACTAAAAAATTCCAAAGATCTTTTAGAGTACATACAATCTAAGACTCTCTCATCTTGCAATAGTATTAAAACATTTGACTTTTCTACACTTTACACAAGTATTCCCCATTCCAAACTAAAAGACAAATTGAAAGAGTTGGTATTACTTTGTTTCATTAAAAAGAATGGCGAATGTATATACAAGTATCTTGTCTTGGAGAGGGATAAATCCTACTTTGTAAAGAATCACTCTGATTTAAACAAAAATTCTCTGAAACTGACATTATCAAGATGCTTGATTTCTTGATTGACAACATATTTGTTACGTTTGGAGGACGCGTTTTTCAACAGACTGTCGGAATTCCAATGGGAACCAATTGTGCCCCTCCTCTTGCCGACTTGTTTTTTTTATTATTATGAGGTTGACTTCATACAGGAACTTCTTAGGAAGAAAGATAAAAAGTTGGCAATATCCTTTAACTTTACGTTCCGCTATATAGATGATGTTCTCTCACTAAATAATATAAAATTTGGTGACTATGTTGAACGAATCTATCCCATTGAACTAGAGATAAAGGATACTACAGATACAGTTAAGTCTACCTCATATCTTGATTTACACTTTCCATTTCTATGTAGCAACATTCCAGCAGCGCCTGCATACAGAGTATATATCTCCCAATTGATACGATATTCCCGGGCTTGTATTTCCTATCATGATTTCCTTGATAGAAAATTGCTGCTCACAAGGAAGCTATTAAACCAAGAGTTTCAAATGGTGAAGTTGAAATCATTCCTTCGTAAATTTTATGGACGCTAACAAGAGTTGGTTGACTGTTATGGAATAACCGTTTCACAGATGATATCGGATATGTTCCTTATGTCGTAACTACAATACCCTTCCCTTTTCACGAATGTGACCTACCGAATTAGACTATTTACCGGATTTGTAATAACATAAGCAACACGATGGGTGCCACATGTGGGGCAGGATCTGCTTACCCTTCCGGAGCACCTGAGATCACCCCCAGTTTTTGGTGGGGCTCGTGTTGCTTAGTCTTTAGTTTTCTATGTTGTGTCATCTGTACTATTATTTGTCTGTTTGTCTTTTTATTTTTGGCCATGGCGTTGTCAGTTTGTTTTCGATCTATGATCTATGACTGTCCCTCTTTTACCATATGGACATTTTCACCTTACAATCAGGCATGTAATATTTGCAACTTGACCTTAAAGACCAATTCATTTACACCATCCACTTGCAGGCCATATATTCAACTTATTAACTTTTTAATACCATATAATGCATTTGTACTGATAATTCTTCATTTAAAACTTACTTTCCCAAATTTGAGAAGAAGAAGTCTGGATTACATGGATGCTCCCTCTTCATTAGACTAGCCATTGAACAAGAAGAATCTAATGATCTCTTTAAAACAGCCTGTAACAGACCATGTGGTGCAATCTCCATAACTATAGCATTTGATGGAATATGTTTTAAAGCTTCCTGAAAAAGCACTGGACTGACCAAGTTGTTTACAAGATAATCTGCTGATGACATTTTAGCAAGGTCAGTGTTCCATTTTGCTTCTGGGATTGATGAACTGATCCATTTGCTTGTTCTTGGTTTTGGTTTTAAAACCTTTAGAAAGAAATATATAGAAGTAACTTTTTAAATATGTTCTAAAATTCTACTTTGGAGTATTTGTAAATGAAACTATACAATGGTATACTTTTTGAATATGTAACATACTTGTAATACAAACATATATTAATAGGACACAATGTCCATTTCACATGATCACACTCTATGCTCAGTGAACTATGAAATCTGGGTGGAAACTCTTAATTTGGCATATACAAGTCCACTTCATTATGATCATGTGTACGAAGTTTCAAGTTGATGTGACCACAAACTACCTTAAACCATAACTTAGAAATACATGTGAACCTCTCGATGTAACAGGTGTAATACCACCATTGATTTTCCCCCATCAGTCTGTTAAATTTGCACTTTTCAAAAAATTGTGCAGAATTTTATCTTTGTTTCAAATAAAGAAATACTTGGCATGAGTAAAGTTTTATCCTGTCCAGTACTATAGACAAAGTTTAACATAACATTTCATTGCATATAAGAAAATAACCATCACTTGAAGTTAACCAATCAAATTTTCACCCCTTTTTTTCCTGTGTACAAGCTTTAGTAACCATGTAACCTCAAGTTTCCAAAATATTCTATAGAAACACCAAATAAAAAAATAATTTTGCTTTGAAACACCCAAGATGTATGTTTATGACTCAGAAATTTTTTACTGCAATGAAATGTAGGATTAATTTCCTACAACTGTCAAATTCAATGCAACGGGTTCAACCGGATGTGACGTACTACGATTTGGTGATATTACACCTAAAGTACAATAGTCCTGTTTTGAGGGGTCTCCTCCCATCCTAGCGTTGAAGAGGGAAAAAATCCAGTGTTTAAAAAATTCTATGAATGAAAATTTTCCGCCACTATTTTTTACTACGCTGTGAACAAATATTTATTATTGAAGGTGTAAAAGTCGGAGTGTATTGAACTTCTGATTACGCAACATTTGGAGATTTTGACCCTGTTTTAATTTTCTCTTTGTACTCAAAGGAAAGGTTAAATCATAGTACTTTATTTACAAGCAGTCAACAATCAAAATCAAAATCAAAATCAGAAACAGAATCTTCTCAATAATTCTTTCAACTGATATCATTCAAATAGAGAGGCTACAAGGGTACCGTAAACACATTGATTTATTACATTCAGATGGAAGATTGAAGAAAAAACACACAGACAATTTTTACATCAGACGGTTACATTTACAATTTTTTATTTCACTGCCGCAAGAAAGACAACTCTACCAATTGAAAACACTAAAATAATTTGCCCGATCCCTACCACAGGCGATGTCATAACCTCCTCTCTTGAGCGGTCATTTTTAATACTTCCCAAGATTGACTGCTTCATACAGGTTTGACTGTAATATAATGTATCTTATTTCAAGATATTTTAAATGGTCAGCCTTACCTTTGACATTTCCTCTTTCAACCTTGGTGCTACCTTATGCATAATACTAGAATGGAAAGCCACTCCAGCACTGTTGACTTCTTTAGCAAAAATCTGTTGCTCCTTCAATTCCTTTACAAAGTTTGAAACTTTTTCTAGTGGACCAGATATTGTAACTGTACCTTTAGCATTATGACATGCAGGTATAACACCTTCTGGGCACTTCTTTTTTGCCTCTTCCCATGTCATACCTATAATGCAAAATGTCCTTATAAAATTTTTTCAGCAGGGATTTTATCTTCTTTTTTGGCAAGTCAGATCTTCCACAATAGCATGTTCAACAAAGCTTTCTACATTTGTCATGAAGTGTACTCTAACATTGAAACTTAACTTGAAATATTATGATTGATCAAATAAAGTGTCAGTATTTTCTATAACATGACTGATTTTTGTAAATGCATCTGCAAATATTTATTCTAATTGTACTACTCGTACATGATAGAAATTAAAAATAAAGTTTAGCCTTGGGATCGATCATCATAAGTTTACTTGCAAAACACATCAATAACTTGACCTTGAGAGCAAGGTTCAATAAACAGCTGCACCATGAGCACATGATATGCCCGTTGCTTTTTCAAGGAATAAAGTTCAATAACTTCTCATTGTCATATCAGAAATTTTTGAAAAACGAAAGGGAGCTTAAGTCAATAGATATAAACAATTCATCAAAGTTTCATGAAAACTGCTGACAGCATTTTTGAGTTATTGTCCGAAAACTGGAAAATCCCCCCTTTTTAATGATTAAAACCCCAGTGTTCTCCCCAGGCCGATATGACGCTGCGGTGCCGCAGCGCCTTCATAATATTTTTGTAGATCCCGCAGCGTCTTAATTGGCCGCTGTCCCTTAATACTTGATCCCGCAGCGTGTTAATTTTCACATTTTCATTATAAATGTTGGTTAAAATTGTCAAGTTACTGATCACCGCTGATGGGTCACAATAACTGATAATTAGTTTTACCTGAGCCACGCTTATCTCAGCCTTATCGGACTATGTTATCAGGTAAAAGCGTAAATGATCATCAAGAAGATAGATATTTTTTGAAGAAAATTAAAAATTTTAAAAACTTCAGTGCAGAAATTGAAGAAATAGATCGCAAATACATTGTATTTACGCATCGTGTGTGTGATCACTTGACCATTTATATAACGAATTTATTCATTTGTCGAGAAGAAGAATCTATTTAAACACGACCAATGAACGTGTTGAATACACATGATAAATTTGAATACACATTGCTAAAGATATTTAAGATGAAAATTATGAATGAAAGTATTAGTAGTTGAAAAAAATAAAATAAAATTTAATTAAAGATAGCGAGGAGTGATTTACTTTAATAGAAAGTGAAAAAATGTTGCTTGCAAGGTAAATTCGTCTGAAACTGTCATATTTTTAGAAATAAAATGATCATTGAACACCGATCGTGAATCCGTGCGTCGGGAAATATGTGACAATCAACACGGGTACAGAATCGCCGCAGCTTCTGTATAATGTCACTGGTAAATAATTTCAATGGTTTTAACTTTAACGAATTTGTAAAGTTTCGTTTATATCTATCTGCCAAAGATAGGATTAAACAATAATACACATGGAAGCGTAATGTGAAACTACAGAAACTGGTCAGCTGTTCATTTATAAAAAAAAATTGTTTTAAAAAGTTGTATACCAAATATCTTAACCCTATTCGATTTTATTAATTCTGAATGAACATGTTCTCTGCAAATAACAAAGGAGTGAATTATAAGCAAAAGGTAGATGATGGAAGTAGAAGTTTTTTTCAGACCAATGACTTCTAATGAAAAGGGGAATACACCTCCGTCTACACTGTCAGTATAAGCAGATTTCATTGCTTCTCCTAATCCTAACCAAGCTCAAGTTTTAGCAATTGATAAAAGCAAACATCATGTTTCTGGTTTCAATGACAAGTGGCTGACTGAGTTTTCATGGCTTAGAAATGTTAAAGGGGGTATAAGCAAAAGTTATTGTGAGTGGGGGTTTAATTTTTAACCCTGAAGAGGATAAAGACAAAGTTGAGGAACAGACTGTCCAACAAAATAACACTATCTTGAAACAATATCCCTAGAAGGAGCAGAGAGTAGAGATGAATATTTATATTTTGACTTCTTTAATTGACTGAATATAAATAACTTTTGTGTTTAAAATCAATTTATTTCACATATATATTCTTGTAATTCATTAATACTCTGCATTATTAAACACACAACACAAAGCATTATAATTCATATTGCATGTCATGATTTATGACTTATTGCTTCAGATCACAAACGTTCACTCTAAAAAAAGAGTTACGCGCCCTTGAATTTTGCGCCTTAAAAAAATCCTGGGGAGAACACTGAACACCATAACTCGGAAACGTAAAATCTAAAATTTATAAAAACGAAAGGGAGCTCATGTCAATAGATATAAACAATTCACCAAAGTCTAATGCAAATTGGTTAAAGCATTTTTGAGTTATTGTCAGACATGTTGACGACAGACAGACGGATGGACTGACAACGGTAAAACGGGCGTATAAAAACAAGAACAATGATCTTCTCAAGACTTCCTTATTTGAAATATTTATAATTTATCTAGGATATTGTCATACAATTGAAAATATTACAAATTTGGACAAAATATTACAGACATGCCTGAATGTTAAAATGATTGTGTTTTGAACAAGGTCAAAGTCATCTGTTGGCCACATCCATTTATGGTGATGCACACACATCATATTTACTTTAAACCAACAAATTGCAGCTATTTTGTTAAACACACCTCTCCTCTCATATAAATACACAAAGAAAGTTAGAAAATCAAGAATTCAGGGTGAAACAATGTTTCATTTCCTTAAATGGCAAAGAAAAAAAAATATTTGCAGGCTCACAAAAGTTACAGAACATCGAAATAAGAGATACTCAGTGTACTATTCACTTTCTTTGAGAACAAATGATTTTCAAGGGTGCATTAGGTTCAGCAAAAGAAACTATAGTTCAAACCTCAGTAATATGACATGTTATTGCCTACTCCAAACCTCAGTAATATGACATGTTATTGCCTACTCCACTATTTGACTCTTACCTACAGCTGCCATGCCTCCTGGTGGTAGATTAGCCTCGGCTATACAATAACCTCTCCAGTAAGCTGCCAGAACTGTTTCTTCTGCTGTCTGACATCCATCAGCATATCCGCAGCCAAGCTCTCCAACTGAGTGTCCAACAAGACCATCAGGTTTTATATTCATACTAAACAACATATCAACCAATGCTACCTAAAACAAGATGTCCTGCGAATTATTACTTATTAATTTTACTACCTCAATGTTGTTCACTTTATTTTGAAGACAGTTAAGAGAATATATCAATCTTTTATTTTGGTTCCATACATCAACATGCTATGACTTGAAATTGCTATGAAAATGTGATGAAAAGTTCATATATGACAAAGGTGTAAGTTTTTGGCAAACAGGAAGCAAACATCAAAGGAACTGAAAATAAGGCATAACCAGATGAAGTTTGGTGTCATTTATTTGGAACTCTCTAATATTTGTTGGTGTTAAGAAAAATGCAATAGAAATGTGTTACACCTAGACAAATGTAAAGCAGTATACCTCCTTCCTTTGGAGCAGGTATAATGCATGGGTTTTACTGAATACATCTCAGAAAAAAATATCATAATAGTATAAAACATGTTTTCTGATTGAAGCAATCCATTGTGGATAGGGGCTAGTGTTTCAGTGAACTATATTTTAACTGAACCTATTTAATATGGATAAAATTACATTCTAAATGTATCCTGGCCAAGTCAAGTCAAAGACTTCTAAATTTGCATTTCCTGCTTCTGCCCTAAGCAAGCTGCATTTAGGAGTAAGAGTAAAGATTTGTTTTGAGTCAGAACAATGTGTTCAGGTAAGGTGACATGTTTTACTGCCAATGTTACCTGGTGAACTAGCAGGTTAAAAATCAACATTAGCATCTCAGTCTAGACAAAGTAAGGTTCATGTTCATATATTAACATGTTCTTGTCCTGGTATGTACGTATTATTTTCCACTGGACATTAAATATCTATCCATCATCATCACAAGACTCAACCTTAAAGCTTGTAAAGAGTGAACACAATATAATTAAAGGGGAATTTGTCCATGGGACACAGATGATGCCTCCGCTTGCATATCATATAAAGTTATAAAGGGACATAACTGAAGAACGGTAAAAGTGACACCACCAAAATTTAAACTTGATCTGTATTTTGTGGTAATAAGCATTGTGTATAAGTTTCATAACATTGGTTGAGGCTAACTTAAGTTAGAGAACGGAAACGAAAAATTCAGCAATTTTTCCATTTGTAAAGGGGCATAACACTAGAACGGTTAAAGTGACGCCACCAAAATTCAAACTTGATCTGTATTTTGTGGTATTAAGCATTGTGTATAAGTTTCATAAAATTTGGTTGAGGTAAATTAAGTTAGAGAACGGAAACCAACTTTTGGACGTACGGACGGACAAGGGTAAAACTTAATGCCCCCTCCGATACTGTGGGGGCATAAACATAAGGAGATGTGATATGATTGCCAATGAGAAAACTATCCATCAAAGTTCAAATGAAGTGGATGTAAGCAATTATAGGCAACCGTACGAACCTGTATAGCAGCGATGGCTATAAAAGAATTGGTGACTGAATCAAATACATTGACATCTCCTTCCATAATCATATCATACAAGCTGATACCATGTGGTCGGAGGGCACGGTCACATTTCATTATGGAGGTTCTAAACATATTTATTTGCATCATCTGTCTTCCCATCTTAGGCCACTGTGTGCCCATGCCAGAGAAAATGAACCATAATGGACGCTGGTTCTCTATTTCTATTTTCTGTAAATTATAAATCAGATATTACAGTATATATCATTCATGCAAAACATTTCATTTCATAATCATTCAAAATTCTACACTTCTAAATATATGTATTAAAGGTGAAGGTAGATATAAAATACTTTTTCAAAACGATTTCTGCACATGTTCAACTGGTTTAACCCAACAAGGTGGGCAACAACATTTTGTCCCTGTACCAAGACAGGCTATCTGGATTTTGCAGTTTATCTTGGCATATTATTTTCTCACAGGATTCTGCTGTTGGTGGTTGGTATGGTATATTGTACTGTCCAATATTTCTGGTAATTCCTGTTCAGTGTTCTACCGAAAACCAAAACAATTTTATACTGGGGACTTGGGAAACCAATTTTTGTGGATTTTGTGGGTAAAGGTGAACCACAAATTTAAAATTCAATGAAGTACAAATTTTCTATTGGATTGTATAAAGACTTTGGCAAAAACACAGAATCAAATATTTACGAAAATCCTCTAATCCACAAAAACTGGTATCCACTAAAATAAATTAATCTACAGTATAGCATCCTGGTAAACAGGGAATTGGACATGTCTTGTATCTGTAAACTATAGCATCACATTGCCATGATCATGCTAAATCATCCTGTGGAGATACTGCTGTTATCATGCATATTTTTTTGGTATCAAATTCTATTAATTTTACAATTTTTAGTGAATACTTCTTCTTTATATCAGGTAATAATTTTGAAGTAATGTATGCAAACCCCTTTAAACCTGTTGTTTTGTGAGGTTTTTAATAAGGGCCATAAAGGATGTATGTTTACAGAAGAACATAAAATAAAATGATTTTACATGCCCTTTTTATTTCCACAATTGATTGATAAGTGTTTAACGCCACTTTCAGCACTATTGTGCTATTTCGTGGCGGTGAGTTTTTATTGGTGAGGAAGCCGGAGTCCCCGGAGAGAACCGCCGATCTTCAGTAAGAAAACTAACAATCCTAGTCAATTAAGATTGGAGTCCAGTGCACCTGCCACCTGAGGGGTTCGAACTCACAACATACTTGACAGGCTAGTGATACAGTAGTTCAACTACTTAGACCACTTAACAACTGAGGCCCAATATTTTCATTTGGGCCATAAAGGAGGTATGTTTAAAGAACATAAAATAAAATGATTTCACATGCACTTTTTCATTCCCACAAGACCAGGTGCTAAAACAAAAAGACATTAGTGATCTTAAGCATGCTAAGATCATTGTCAATACAGACACTAAGACATTTTATACAAAAAATTATTGAAAACATTTGCAGCTACAATTTTTGGGAGTAAAAAACCACAATGGCATCTTGATCTACAATTGTCCAAGATTCCATTTTTTATTAACTTACTTGAATTTCCTGTATATGATTCTGACCATTCAGGACAACATAACCTCTGTAAGGCAACTGTTTATTCCAAGGTCCACTGGTTTCATTTAACAGATAATGCAAGTAAGAATCTTTATGATGGGACTTCATCAGATGAAATATTGATTCTAAACCTTTCTTTGTTCTTGTGGAGTAAATACAGAGTCTTTTCTTTTCATTTGCGAAATGATATTTTTTGTCTTTGTCATATGATTTCAATATTGTATGAACATTCACACCTCCTAGTCCAAAAGAGTTCACAGCACAATATTCACCATTAAGCCTTGTTCTTTCACTGACAACTTTGATCTGTCTATTCTGGATATTTGGCATTATGTAATGAAGATTTGGTGGAATAACACCATCTTCCATAGCAATTATCACTTTTGAAACAGCAGCCAGTCCTGATGTGGCTTCTGTGTGACCAATGTTTGACTTAACTGAGCCAACCAGTAATGGTTTACTTTTATTTTTACAGATCACATCAGCAATAGCATTCATTTCAATCGTGTCAGACATCTTTGTACAGCTACTGCTGGCCTCCATGTAAGAAATGTGTGAGGGATCTAAACGAGCTTCTCTGTAGGTCTCTTGTAAAAACTGTCTTTCTTCTTCAAAATTTGGGAAGTTAAAATCTTAAATAAAATAAATATGAAAACATTAAAAATACATGTACAGTAAACTAGACAAAAGGGTATGACAAGTATGCTAAGAAGTTCAAGTGAAAAACATAATAAACAGCTGCGCCATGAGCGCATGATACGCCCGTCATCTTGTGTGTGAATTTTTATGCAATAAGCATAAATAGTTTCTGATGCGAAAACCACACTTTTTTTTTTACCCAAAACTCAATATCTCTAAAATAAAATTTTGAATCAAAACCAAAAAGTATACAGATCTTTAGATTAATATAACTAAGAAGTGCGTAAAATTTTAAGCAATAATCATACATCGTTTTTGAGATACGGCGCGACATGTGAAAAACCCCTCCCCCTTTTTTAACAAAATACTCTATAACTCAAAAATAAAATTTTGAATCATCACCAAAAAGTATACAGATCTTAAGGTCAATAAAACTAAGAAGTGTGTAAAGTTTTAAGCAATAATCATAAACTTTTTTTGTGATACTGCGCGACATGTGAAAAACCCCTCCCCCTTTTTTAACAAAATACTCAATATCTCTAAAATAAAATTTTGAATCATCACCAAAAAGTATACAGATCTTAAGATTAATATAGTTAAGAAGTGTGTAAAGTTTTAAGCAATAATCATAAATTGTTTTTGAGATACGGCACGACATGTGAAAAAAAACACACACCTGTTTTAGTTACTAAGTCCCGTAACTCAAAAAGTTTTAATCTTATTTTCACCAAAAACTATACAGATCATTTGACCATCATAAGAAACAACTATGTTAAGTTTCATGAAATTTGGATAAGTCATTCTCAAGTTACGGTGCGACATGTTTACGACTGACAGACAGACAGACGGACAGACGGACGGACACCGGACAAAAATTGACGGGTGTATAAAAATTACCATTGCAACATTCAGAAACCATTGCTGCCATTTGTGCCACCTGATCACAACAGATGAGAAATCCTTATAGAGAATCTCAACAGCATCAGTTTTGTAAATTCAGAAATCATTTATTTAAGGAAAGTTATTTTTCTTACCAGGCACCTTGAACTTCGACCTATTGACTCTTATCATTCCCTATGTCTTTCATCTGCATCAGTTTTATTTAAATCAAGTAAGGGAAACTCAAGTTATAATTCAAAATCTATTTGATCAGACACAAAAAGAGATTGAATGACAGTCAGCCAAGGCGACCATTATATACTGAAGAATTTTTTTTCGGGAAACATAAAATTGGTACGAGTCACACAACTCCCACAAGGATTGTCAAGTCAAAAACAAGGTACAGTATAGTCAGCTGCACATGATGACATACAATCCAACCAAGCATGAAATCTTTCAGGCAAATGTTCTCAGAGAATTTCCATTAACAAGTTATCATTGTGCTACAAGTTTTTGTACCTCTGCATGTAGCATTTCAAACTGGTTCTATTTTCCCATTATACTCACTATTATTTTCAGTAGTAAATGTTGCTGATTTTGAGTGAATCAATGTACAGTAAACTCTCTTTGCTTTGGCTTTCTTTTGTAAACACATCACAACAACTCCTTCACTCCTTCCAAAGCCATTTCCTGAAATTCATGAAAGTTTATTCATTTTGTTGCATAATTATAATTTCTTCCTATTAATCTATATAATTTTCTCTTTACATTATTTTATTTTAACAAATAAAAACATCTGCATAATGATCGAACATTGAACAGAAATCATGCATAAAGGTCTCATTAGTAAGTTTCTTTTAATTTTTACTTCAAGTATAGTTGCATTACTGTGTTTCCTAGCTTTATAATAATGTAACATACATTAACATAATGTTATCTTTATTTAGCCTTACCCCTGCCATCAAAACATCTACACTGACCATCCAGAGACAATAGATTCATTTCTGCTAGCTGAACAGAGGTGGCAGGTTTCATACATAAATTACATCCTGCAACAATGGCTGTATCACAGTCACCCAGTCTTAAACTAGAAACAGCTCTGTCTAATGCCAGCAAACCAGAGCCACAACCATTTCTTAAACCATAGCTAGGACCTGTAATAACAAGAATATATTACAATCTCCCAAATTTAATACTTGATACAGCTCAGTCTAATGCCAAAAACCAGAGCCACAACCATTTCTTAAACCATAGCTAGGACCTGTAATAACAAGAATATATTACAATCTCCCAAATTTAATGCTAGATATAGCTCAGTCTAATGCCTGTAAACCAGAGCCACAACCATTTCTTAAACCATAGCTAGGACCTGTAATAACAAGAATATATTACAATCTCCCAAATTTAATGCTAGATATAGCTCAGTCTAATGCCAACAAACCAGAGCTACAATCATTTCTTAAACAATAGCTAGGAACTGTAATAAACAAATCTTTGTTTAATGATACCAGCTCTGTGATCAATCACAACAATACCTTACACTATGGCAAGGATCTATAGTAAAAACTATTTTGTCTCAAAACTAGAGGCTCTCAAGAGCCTGTGTCGCTCACCTGTATTTACTGATTGGAAATCATGTAAAATAAGGTTAAAATCATAATTAATAGTATTAGATATTAGATATTATAATGATATCTAAGATAATAACAAAAAACTGCAAAATTTTTGTAAAATTACTAACTCAGGGGCAGCAACCCAACAACGGGTTGTCGGATTCGTCTGAAAATTTCAGGGCAGATAAATCTAAATGATGAACATTTTTGCCACCTGTCAGATTTGCTCTAAATGTTTTAGTTTCAGAGATATAAACCAAAAACTGCATTTTACCCCTATGTTCTATTTTTAACCAAGTCGGCCATGATGGTTGGAAGGCGGGGTCATCAGACAAATTTTTAAACTAGATACCTTAATAATGATTATGGCCAAGTATGGTTAAATTTGTCTCAGTAGTTTCAGAGAAGAAGATTTTTGTAAAAGATTACAAAAATTTAAGAAAAATTGTAAAAAATTGACTATGAAGGGCAATAACTCCTAAAGGGGCCGACTGACAATTTTGGTCATGACAACTTATTTGTAGATCTTACTTTGCTGAACATTATTGCTGTTTATAGTTTATCTCTATCTATAATAATATTCAAGATAACCAAAAACTGCAAAATTTCCTTAAAATTACCAATTCAGGGGCAGCAACCCAACAGCAGGTTGTCAGATTTGTCTGAAAATTTCAGGGCAGATAGATCTTGACCTGATAATCAGTTTTACCCATGTCAGATTTACTCTAAATGCTTTGGTTTCAGAGATATAAGCCAAAATCTACATTTTACCCCTATGTTCTATTTTTAGCCATGTCGGCCATCTTGGTTGGTTGGTGGGGTCATCGGACATATTTTTTAAACTAGATACCCTAATGATGATTGTGGCCAAGTTTGGTTTAATTTGGCCCAGTGGTTTCAGAGGAGAAGATTTTTGTAAAAAGCTGACGACGACGGACGCCAGACGCCAAGTGATGAGAAAAGCTCACTTGGCCCTTTGGGCCAGGTGAGCTAAAAAGGTTCCATAGCTAGGACTGTAAATTTTAAAGAAATATAATGATCAACTTTCAATCTATAATCTGAATGATCAAATTTTCATAACTGCATTTTCTACTGCTGCTCAAGAGAGATATAACCCCATAGAAGTAAATTTGCAAATTGCAATATTTACCAATATAAAACGTTATTTTCATTATTTAAAATGACAGCAATCAAGTAAAAATATTTCCAGATGCATGCTTGTAGTTTATGTTAAACCTACCCCTCAGGTCGAATGCAAATGATATTCTGTTAGCAAACATACTGGTGGTACAGCCAAGTGGAGAATAACCTGTCACATTACTATTATCTGTAGACAGAGCTTCCCATGCTTCTGACATTCCACATCCTATATATACTGCTGTGTTGGATCCTCTGATAGTTGCAGGGGAAATTCCTATTTTAACATACAGGAAGTACATTACACAAAAGATAAATTGATATTCAATGTAACATTAAACTACATCAAATGAAAATAACATTTTATTTATTGAAATCTTTTCAAATAATTATTTTAAATAATATCTTTAAAGACCAGTTATCCTTGACATAATACAATAAAGATATATATAGTATTATCAACATCTTGTAGTAGAGAAAACTGATCAAACTTTTGCTAGTGACCTGTATTGAACTTCCATGGATGTGTGCGAATTTACTCTTTGCTGATGGCTTCTTTGTGACTTTGAGATGAAGAATAGCAAAAAAAAATTGTGGGTCTCAAATTAAGATATCACATCTTTCTTTTCCATTGGTCATCACTAAAAGACTCAATGGCTGGTTGCAATAATAAAGGTTTGTTATTTAATGAGTAGTTTGATATGCTTTAAGGTGCAAGTGGCAAATTTAAGGAAAAAAACTCAAGATTTTGTCTAAAACACAGAAGAATGTGTCATGTTCAGGTAACTGTGACATTGGGGTCAAAATCGTAAATTTGCATATAATTTTAAAAGCTTGCAACACAATGAACATAGATATGGGAAGATGTGGTATGAGTGCCAATGAGACAATTCTCCATCCAAGTAACAATTTATAAAAGTAAACCATTATAGGTCAAGGTACGGCCTTCAACACGGAGCATTGGCTCACACCGAACAGCAAGCTATAAAGGGCTCCAAAAAATTACTAGTGTAAAACCATTCAAACGGGAAAACCAGCGGTCTAATCTATATAAAAACGAGAAGCGAGAAACACGTATGAACTACATAAACAGACGACTACTACTGTACATCAGATTCCTGACTTAGGACAAGTGCAAACATTTGCATGTAATTTTATATTTATCTTGCCACAATTTCATGGTAAACTTTCTGGACCAAAATCTTCAACTTGAGAGAACAGATTTATGGAAGAGGGCACAGAACAGAAAACATAATGCCTCTTATCCTTGTAAATGGCTCGTCATCAAAATAATTTCAGTAAATTCATATTGCCATTTCATTGTTTTTTTGTTGGTTATTTTCGCCCTTACCTGAATCTACTAGTGCTTCATGAGTTAGTTCCAACATGACACGTATCTGAGGATCCATACCGTCAACCAGTTTGGGAGGAACACATACCTGAATCTACTAGTGCTCCATGAGTTAATTCCAAAATGACACATAACTGAGGATCCATACTGTCAGCCAGTTTGGGAGGAACACATACCTGAATCTACTAGTGCTTCATGAGTTAATTCCAACATGACACGTAACTGAGGATCCATACTGTCAGCCAGTTTGGGTGGAACACCAAAAAATGCTGCATCAAATTTACTGATGTCTGCCAGGGTTCCAGATTTAGAAGACAGACCATGTGATACTACAAATAAAATAAGTCATAGCAGCAGAAAGTCTAAACTTTTTTTTATAAAAGTATGACATGAATTGTCCACTTACAACACTTATGCAGAAGTGTTGGCTTTAAAATACAAGCTGAAAATTTATGTATTACCGTAGATACTCGCCTAATAGTCGATCCTACTATAAGTCGGGGGCCCTTTTCAGCTCCAAATTCTAAGGATTTAGTCTTGACCCTCGTATAAGTCGGACAAAATTTGGGCATTTTTTTTTCAGCTGACAGTAACTGAACGCCGGTAAAACCAATGCAAATCCAGGAATAATATTCATTTCTGCATTAATGTTTGTTTGGTTTGAATTTAGTTGATGCTCATCATGATAATTTATATTGCTGTTAATAATAAAGATGTATTAATTTCTCTTGTTTTGTTCACTGTTCAAATGTTAGATTAGCCCTGGGAACAGTATATCTAACGTCAATATATATGTTCCTGATTAGCCATGTGTTGTTTACATAATGCATCAATGATTTTGTAGGGTATGACTAATAACCTATTGTTTGAGAAAAGCGAATATAAACCAATATGAACCTGAAAAATTTAAAGTCAATCAACACTTGATGAAAATATTTTTCACAGCATACATAACTTGGTGTTAAATGAGCATGTACACTTCATAATTCTTATTATATTGTGATGATTAAAGGATTAAAAAAATTAAGTGAAGCTAATCAATATATTAAAATAACTAACTCCAACTCATTAGTGTCATCTGTTTACCTATCACTGATAGTTTTCACACCTTTAGTAAATACAACTCTTTGTCTCTTAATTGGGGTTATCAATGGATTATATTGGCTTGTCAATCAATTTTGTAATTTTTTACCTGAGACACTTTAATGGATAATATTTTGATTTTGGGAATGAATCTTAAAATTATTTTTTGATTATTATATGATTTATAAGCATTGAATTGATATCATGATATCACAATAATGACACAATAACTCCGCTGAAAACATCCTTTCACATATTTGGTACATTGTTATCTCCTTTTCATTTTTGGTTCTTGGCTCTTCTTTTGGGTTTATAGGAAAATCAATACACAAACCGGAAACAGTAGAATTTCAACACGAATTTGCAGAAAATGTTTACCAAAGAACAAATAAAACACAAAGACAGTATTGTAGTCATTTATTTTCAACAAAAACTTTTTATTTATTGATTTATGTAGGTTTGGCAATCAAAAACGTAGTTTTGACCAGGAAATTCACTCCTGACCACTTTTCTCAAGCTTGGATTTTTCCTCTGGTCGCTAGATCTCGTCTATTAGTCGGTCCCCCTCTCTGGATTATGAATTTTACTCCCAATTTTCCGACTAATAAGCGAGTAGGAACGGTACAAAAAAATGTTGCATAAAAATAAAACCACTCGTAACATGTAGTATATCCTTTCTAAGAAGGTTCTAAGGATTGAACATTGCATTGACCAATGAACCTTAAAAATAAGGTCATGGTAAAATGGAACTGACAAATACCTAACAAATTATTCTATGAACCAAAGATAGCTGACCTCTCATTAATACTACTTAACAATTTAACCTAATCAAACAATTTTATCATTGATCAATCAATGAACCATTAGGTTCAGGTAAATGAACCTGATCAAATAGACATGTTAAACTTACAAAAATTCTTAGCACCAAACAATGTGCATACATGCGAGATTACTAATTGAAATTTCACGAAATGCTGCATACAAATAATGCTAACAGAATTTTTAGTGCAAGTTTTTATTATTGTGCAACTTGTTTGTCGCAATAACAAAAACATCACAAGAATTTCTAAATTTTCAGTAGTTCACCTTTACTGTGAAACTGACTAAATCATGAAACTTTAACATCGACCATGGACCATAAAAAATTAGCAGATATGAAGATCTAATAAACCGCCAATCAGACATGTACATTTTACCATTATCCTATAAATAAATTAATGTGTGGCTCGAGTACTGATTTTTGAATGTAGTTAAACATTCGTTATTTAAATATATCTACAGAGAATTTAGCATGATAGTTGTGTTTTTTTTTATTTCAAAATATCTAAGTGGTGATTAACCATGTTAACAATTTACATATTGACTTGTTTACACCAGTATGAATAGATGAAATGTTTGTTTAGACTTTCTCTAAAATAAACAATTCTTTACTAAATTGCACTTGATAATAACATACATGTTTACATTTTCCCTTAATAATTAAAAGTCAGCAAATATCTATACAGTACATCTTTTGAGTCAATATCATTAATCTCAACACACTGATTTTAGATATCTTCAACCTTTATACTTAAACGGGAGTTATAAATTTATAGACAAGTAAGGTATGTCACTTTCAAACTTCATTATTTATCAAAAATTATAATTTCATCTCTGTGGGAAGATCTGAGTATTTCCAATCTCACAATTTCTACTGCTATTCTTGGGAATGCAATTCTTCGATTTAACATCTACATAAAAATATTTTAGGATGGGGTAAGGGGAAAGGAGAGGGCATTATTTTCAGTATAAGTATAAATTAATGACACTACATGACCCAATGTGTCATTTCTACACGTTCTTGAGATTTAGAATGAATGCTACATGCAATGAATGCTATCAGAATCAGGAAATTTTGAATCATTCCCATAGTTCTTTATGAATAGAAACAGTACCATTATTTCTATTTAAGTAGCTATCCTGAAATAAACAGTTATCACAGAGATATGTCTTGCCTTTTTGTAATTTTGATAATGCAAATGTTGAAATTAAAATAGCAATACTTCAACATGCAAGTTTTGCAAATATTCAAAGTCGATGAACCATGACTGAAGGAACATTGCTAAACAATCTCCATGGATATGAGATGTGCCAATGCTAATACAACTGCATACCAAATACCATGGACTTATTATAAGTCGTTCCCTTTAAACAAACATAAACACAAACATTAACTTGTAAACTATGTAAAAGTTTCAAAGTCAATGAACCCTGATGATGGGGTGGGGCTATATAATCTCCATGGAAATGATACTCGCAAATGCCAATAAATTTGCATACCAATTATCATTGACTTAACATTAGCAGTTCATCTTAAACTGATCTAATCACAAACTAATACATGTAAACTAAGCAAAAGTTTCAAAGTCAATAGACCATGACTGAGGGGGCGGGGCCAAATATTCTCCATGGAAATGAGATGTGCTAATGCTTATACAACTGAATACCAATTAACATTGGTCTACCACTAATGGTTCTCCTTGAACTGACCTAATCACAAACCAATACATGTAAACTAAGCAAAATTTTCAGTCAATAAACCATGACTATGGGGGCGGGGCCAAATAATCTCCATGGAAATGAGATATGCCAATGCTTACAACTGCATACCAAATATCATTGACCTACCACTAGTGGTTCCCCATAAACTGACCTAATCACAAACTAATACATGTAAACTAAGCAAAAGTTTCTAAGTCATGATCAATGGACCATGACTGAGGGGGCAGGGTCAAATAATCTCCATGGATATGAGATGTGCCAATGCTTATACAACTGCATACCAAATATCATTGACCTACCACTTGTGGTTCACCATAAACAAGACCTAATCACAAACTTAATACATTGTTGACGCCGCCGCTGCCGGAAACAGCATACCTGTCTCGCTTTCTGACTCCATCAAGGCGAGACAAAAATTAAATTATTGCAAGAACAGTGTTCGCACAATGTAGAGTGTTTAGGCTACATGAACCGGACATTTTGTTTAAGCTTAATTTATTCTTGATTGTTACTGACTAGTATTGTACTATATTTGGCATATAAAAGTACATTTAAAAACAATCAATATAAAAGTATACTTACAAAAAATCTCCTTTTATTCATGTTTGCTACATTATTTACCTGGTTCCCATCTTCTATTTTCTGTTACCATGTTGTCTCCTCTCATCAAATGCTTTTTAAATTCCTCCATATTTTCGGATTCTGGCAGACGACAGGAAATACCACTAATAACAACATAGTCCATTGAACCATCAGGTCTTTCTCCTGGATTAGAGAATGGGGAAAACCCCTCTTCATAACAAACTGGCATGTTCACCAAGTCCTAAAATATAAAAGAATGCAAGGCAAAAATAAAGAGTAGGTCTACTGTGTAATCCATTTTATCATTTCAAAGTAACTGGATTTTAATCTGCACATTCTGTGTTTTTCCTTTGTCTTGGGGCTATTCCAAGAAAAACTGTAAATGGGGTTTGGGGATGGAAGTCAATTTTTTTCCAGAAGAAAAATCCACACAATCTTAATTATAAACAAGAATGCATGCCTAGTGATGGTCATCATTCAACTCGTCGTATTTCAAAGTATTGACAAACAGAAAGTAGGTGTCCGACAGGTCTGAAAATTCTTCATATGTCACAACTCATCAGTCAAGTTGCAGACCAAATATGAAGTCATTCTGTTCAGCAGAGAAAAGTGTGACTTAGTCAAGAGTGTTTTTTTTTGTTTGAAGTTGCCATGAAAATATTACACAGGTATTATTAAGATTTGGAAAGGTGGAAATTTTGGAATGGTGACATGGAAAAGAAGGGGCATGCAGGCAAAATCTTTCAATGCAGTTACATAACTCAGCAGTAAGCAAGCTTTCCTACAGATTTCCCCCATGACAGTCTGATTGCAAAATTGAGCATGACTGTAATTTGACAGAATATCTTAAGATACAAAAAATATTTTTTCAATGTATAAAATAAAAGTTTTTGTGGCAGCTTATTGTATGCAACAAATAAAAAAAAAAGAATTATGCACCTGTCCAAAGTCAGGAATATGTTGGTAATGTATGCATGTCCTTGTTTGGTATAGTTTAATATATTGTAGTTCAGCATCATTTTCTCATCAACATCTAAATCATGTTCATAAGGATAACAAAAATATCACTAATATTTTTTGTCATTTATCAATCATAACAAGGAATTTATGTTAAAAAGTATCCAAAAATACTAAAAAATAGACACTATGGTATATGACTAATTTTACATTACAGATATCAGATAAATCTTGTACTGTAATTGTTATCATCACTAGAGTCCACATATAATTATAATAATAATAATTCTTTATTTAAAGAGGGTTACACAGTTAGCTTTAATTATAACTAATCTTCCTCGAGGCTCATTAATTCAATATAAAAATTAATACAATGAGCAGAAATGTACATGATTATGATTAAGTAATAAAATTAAAACATTATTCAACCATGCAGTTCTTAAAGATTGTAAATGAACCATCAACACTAATTTTGATTTAAATCTGAGACTACTATAACACAGAGATTGGTCACTACCCGTACTGACCAGTCAAATTGGGGGTCAGACCTATAATACGACAGTCCCATAATTCGACAGTCCTGTAGTCTGACAGTCTTATAATCTGACAATCCTATAGTCCGACAGTCCTATAATCTGACAGCCCTATAGTCCGACACGAGGTCACTTGTCTCTGAAAAATATGCCTATATAGACATGTAACGTTTGTAAATTGGTATATTTTTTCACAAAAAACTTTCAAATCAGTCAGTATGACGTCTTGTACAGTTTGAGCTTGTGGTATCGTATGTATATACTGGTAGAATCCTTCGTTATTTGAAGTACACATCAAAAGCTGGGAGTGTACACATGGTACAATGGAATCCGCCGTGGAGTACACTCCTTATCGGTATTAATGGGATTGTGTCACTAATGTATTTACAACAATATGTACAAGGGCACTCCCCACCTCAACAGAAAGGGAGCACTAGGACATCGGGAATCTGTTATTATGATGGAAGAAGCTGAAGTACTCGTAGAGAACCACGGGGCTGCTCGGCGGGACCAGACAAACCGAAGAGTTATCAGCAGATTGATTTCCAAGTCAAAGTTGGGGGCAACTTTGACCACCGAGGCCCCAAAGTTTAAACTCCGGTCTGGGTACCAGAGATGTGAGAGGGAGGGTGAAATTCACCCTTCTGATTAATGAAATGTCTCGCGCTCAGTGTCAGAATCGAACCCTCAGCGCTGCAGCCATTGGTCTCAACTACTATATGCTTTTCTGCTGTGTGTGAAACGTCATTGCCGATCTTAGTTCTGTTCTTTTTCACATAATTGGTGTCATGTCGTAATGATTCTGTGACTAGGACTGGATTGCTTAGGTCCATATTATAGTTTACATAGAAGTGTTATCATTTATCAGCAAAAAGTTCAGGTTTTTAATATTGGCAATTAAACCAGAAAAGACAAGATAGTATAGAGATATATATTGCCATACAAAAGCAGTGATAAGGTATCATTCTAAATCCATCACTATGAACATCTTCTGAAAGTGTTACTGCATCTGGAAAATTTGAAATAATGACACTATTTCTATTTTATCAAAACTAATTGCTCTTTTACGAACAAGAGAAAGATAAAATCAATTTATAACGGCTATGTAAATCAATCTGATGTCTTCGTCTTTTATCCTCAGGGCTAACGCCCCTCATATATATGAGAAGCATACATCTAATAAATGCGACATTTCACATTCAAACACATATTACGTTACATGCATGCGCATGTATTAAAACAGAAATTCTTGTTATCAACTTCGACATGATGAACAGTAATGGAATCTTAAATTAATTGTTCAAACAGTATAGGATTTAATTTGGATCCCATTAAAATGCATAACACTTTTTAAATTTTAAACACTTCTCGCGTTTCAACAGTATACTAATAAGCTTATATGAAGACGAGATCCATAATAATTATCCTTTGCAGCAGCAAAGCTTTGTGTCGGACCGTCGGATTAATGGACTGTCGGATTATCGGACCGTCGGACTATCGGACTGTTGGAATTTCAGGATGTCGGGTTATAACTACGCTCCCGTCAAATTGTAATACAGTGCCTACAATCACGTGACGCAAAATGATTGACAAGAAGGCATCGATCTGCCATTGTTGAAGACGGGAGAGAAAAAAATAACTAATTTTATAACCGATGTGGCTGATTGAAGAGTGCCACATTTCGGAAAGTATGAAAATAAGATTTGAAATGTTAATAAATATTTATTTTTAAACACTTTGAATAAAAGTAGTTTATTTATAGGCTTTAAATATAGTCCTCAAACCTGAAAATAACAGTGAGTTAGTACTAGTAGTCCGTCAGACTTGGTCAATGTGTATTGCTAATGGGTTAAATTCAGATGAACAATTTGTTTTCCGGATATTATTACTGCATTCTATAGTACTAAAGCTGTTATCCTAATGCTAGCAATTTAAAGGTTTGGTTGGCTTGTTTGCTTTGTTTGTATAAATATTTCAAGCATTGTTTGCTCAAGCATTGTAATTAAGATCGACATCTGCAATCAATAGATAGGCGGGGCTTCATCTTGTATACATTATACTTAAATTTTATTGGACGTTATACTTGAGGTTAAGGACACCCAATTGTAAAATGGAAACATCACATGAAAAATGTTATTCTCAAATGTTTTATTAGCTGGATTAAATCCTTATTTACATTATTTGTGATCGTTTCATCGACATGTTCTAAACCTTGTTTCAAATTTATACAAAGTCACAACTAAATCATTACATTCTTATCGTTAAAAAAAGCCCACTTTGAACCCTCCCTTATTATTTAAGATCAAGTAATTTTTCATGTATTTTTTTTATCATTTCAATATTGTGCTTTGGAAGCCTGATGCTCGAAGAGAAAAACCAACTTTCGGAAATAAAACTCCAAACCTTGTCAACAAAGAAAGCAATCAAACGTCTGCAACGAGTGTGCTCAAATTATCCAAGATTGATCGAACCTCTGATGGCTTATAAGGACTTGTTGGAACCAGCAGTCCTAAAGGGGCTGTCAAATGTCAAAGCCATCTCGGACTAGGTTCGAACCCACAGCATTAGAGTTGATAGGCGTCATTTGAACTCTGGTGGATAGTTGTCTCATTGACAACTATACCACATCTCCTTTTTTATAGTGATTACTGCAGTTGAACTACTTAGACCACTCATCAACTTTATCTTAAGTATATCAGTTGAAGAAAGAAAGTGGATGCACATGAGATAACATCTTCAACATAGAATGATAACACATATTGTTCTACATGAAAGCAAACTTTGAAGGTCATATATATTTCTGTTATTCAATGAATAAGCTCTCGGTTTATTAAGAAGCAATATCGATCTTTCTCAAATTCATTCGATAGCTATCAAATTTAAATGGAAACTACATTTATTAAAAATAACAAAAAATGAGTAAGTTTTGTGATCAAGAACTTTACTTAGCCTAAACTACTTAAGTAACATTTTTTTTATTAGTCACTTTCATCGTCAGCATCACAATCTGTGTCGAAACTTTCCATGGTAACACATTTCAAAGCTGCATCAGCAAGAAGATCCATAGAAGACTTTGGTTGTAGGTGGACTGTAGCTGAAGGTTCATTTTTCACTGAAATATCATTACCAAACATACTTGTAGAATGTAGATGCAGGTGACGTCTGAGTATTTGTGCTCATAGATTGGAATGGTGGATATTGCCACGGATAACTGGGGAAATATGGCATCATGGAAGGATAGTGCTGATGGAAGGGAAGTTTAATCAGTTGAACGACAGGAACCTTTTTTTTATCTTCATCCTTTCTTTTTGGGGTGAATGAAGGATGTATATCTTTGGGTCTTTTTGTCACATCTTCCAGTTTGTCTTTAAATTCAAAGTAATCATTCCAACAATTCTCTGGTATAACTCCATTGTATGTTATTTTAAGACAGTGAAGGTCTTTCATCAATTTTGATCCATCCTGATATTTCTTTGGGTTAGTTTGCCTCAATCTGTTTCTCATGGATGACATGAAGTCTGTTTTCTTGACATCCATAAACGATTCAATTTGAACTTATTTTTCGTCCAGTTTTCGGATCTTTTGCTTGAGCTGTGCAATCTCCCTCTGTTTTGTTCTCATTTCATTTGGTATTCTGGATGTTTGTCTGCTTGGCCACACAAGTGGATGCTTGCGCATGTTTTTGGAGCACGATTTATTGTTTTTATTGTTATCAGCTTTGTGGCAGTTGGTACACCTTCTACCATCCTTT